TGAACTTTCTTAAACTCTGTGTTACTAATCCAATCCAAGGCAAAAAACTAATCCAAGGCAACAATTTCACTCTATACAAGGTCATCAATTCAGTTCTCTATGGTTTGAAATCGGCCATATTTGCTATAGTCTTTCGCCAACTTAGAAAAAATACCATATCATATAAGCAACGAACGCGCCCTGCCGCTGTCACGTATACTTATATGTATCCAGACGTTTCTACTACTTAGCAGAACATACAGATAAACACTACTAAATGAAAAATACCACTGTTATTTATTATTACAAACAGACATACCACTTCTAAATCTGTAGATGTAGAAGTTAAGAAACCTAATTAATGCAAAAGGATATCTAAAGATACTTTCATAAAACAGGTACTGTGCTGATAAGAATCATTGGCTAAGATATCCCGTCCTTAGTGACCAATACCTATGTTTATTAGAATATATTAAGATAATAAAAAAAGACATTTAAGTCTTAAGTAGTTCTCCTCATTGAAAGTAATTATTGCCTTAGTTTTAAACTAAATCGAGGCCGTTTTAATACTTTAACTGGTGTCAGTACAATGTGAAATTTTCTAAGCAAGATTATTGTTTTGGTCGATCGATTTCTATTTTCGGACAAAAAGGTTTCATATTATGTGGGATTCAAACTGATTCTGAAGGTTTCACTTTTGATTGGTTACTTAAATTTTTATCAATTCAAAAATTGAATTTATAATAAACAATTTGCTGGAAGAGATCGCTATAAGTATTTCCTTATTTTCGAGTTTTAAAAAATAAATAAATAAAACAAATATTTTAAAATTTTGAAAGAACACATGGAGTAGACGTTAAATATCTCGGTAACATCACAAGATTTGGATCTATAATCTTTTAAAATTACACAACAATGATTAGCATAGGTAACTATAGTTAAAAGAAATTGAACGAACTGTAATTTTGAAATTTTACTTGAATATAGGTATGCCACTTGCTGAATCTTTCGTTTCAACCTACTTAAGTCCCACCTGGCAAGGTCTCCCTGCATACTAATTACCCAGCAAATCAACCATCTTGCTCAAGCGCTCAGATTTTGATTGAATTTGACACGGGCAAGATTTGCGGATCCAAGCGCTGTTGCTGTAAGGGTAAGCAATTGAGCTAACTACAACTTCTTCGAATTTTTCTACCTATTATTGTAATTTCAACCTACCTTGATTTGGTTTAGTCTTACTTGACAAATCATACAATCACACATAGGAATTAAAAAAATGCAGTTTCTGACATTAGTGAACATTAAAACACGAAACGTCGCGGTCGGGCCGAAGTTAAAAATCATTTTCAAATAAGTTTAACTAATATATCGCGTTTTGAAACCGTTAAAGTTTTTTATTGAAATATTAAAACAATTACACCAGTTTACAATTACTGAGTTTCATGTTTGAAAACTTTTATATATTTTTACATGAGGACGACGACGATGAAAAAAAAATTACGACAAGGGCAGGACTTAAATCGGGTTTAATTTATATAGTGCCATCATGTGCAATATAACAACATGTAAAGTTATAAAAGTTTTCACACCGTATCATGATTTTTAAATAAAACTCAAGATCTTCCCCGCTTATTGGGCAATTCGGCAAAAAATAGCCGTTTCTATATGAATAGTAATTTTTTTACTTCAAAGTCCCTTAAATTGTATCCACGGCGCATGCGCGTGAGAATTCGAGTACGTAGGTATCAAGGAAGTTATTTTTCACTTACTCGGCCGGAAGCAATTTTGAAATTTACCGATCGTTTTAGCCGCTGTTATTTAGTAGGGGGTCAAAAGGATTTGCATATATGTAAGATTTAGTTATTTGTAACAAATATGGGTCTTTACATTTTGCGATACTAAACACTTATTGGAATGTCAAACAATTATGTTATTGATATATACAGTATAGACGCGAGTTTCTTGTCAATCCTTCCCAACTTTAATATTTTATTATTAGATTACATGAAAGCTTATAATAAAATTTGGTTACTATATTATTGATACCGTGGCTAATGGTCATTGAATTATCTATATCCTTTTACGTGTGATATGGTACATGTTAGACTTCGTGTGGAAATCTGGAATATCCAAATGGGTAAATGGAATTTCGAAATTCCGTCCGGGTCACGAACCACCGTCCACAGCAAAAGCTGTAAAGTTTAATCGCGTTTCGGTATCAGTGTCCTGTTTCTGTGGGTTTCCGAATATCCGAAGCCAAAGTAGCCTAAGTGAACCTAACGTTTGTCTGTCGTCCTTTATAAAAAAAATACGCTCTAATTAATGCTACGAATGTCATATTCTGTTAATTTCTCTCTCGACTCGACGTTCATACTTCATTTAACTTATCAATGAAGATTGCAAAAGGTATTAAGACACGGGCGGGACTTGAAACGGCAACCACAGCGTTCCGTGCTCTAACCAAGTGAGCTACCATATCAAAGTTGTGGATGCCAATACACATCCCATCTGTGTCGTATTTTTTTCTATTTAAATATACATTTAATTTATTTAATCCTATCATGTGAAAGGACATTATGGTTTTTGACATTTGACATTTAAAATACGGCATATAAAATTAGCGGATATATGCCACAGTGCAGTGGTTCAAAGTTCCGGATTAACGTGCCGCGGTTAATATTTCGCTCGAATTAAATTGAACATCAATGCCATTACCTGACCTACAATAACTCTCGTTTGCCGCTTAAATAAAAAACAAAGCCGACAACGCTGTTCATGGGCGCGGCACATTTCCATATTACGTTTTTGAAGCCTCGTCCTTAACCTTCGACAAGCCTGCTGTAATTCAAAGACACTGTCATTATATTAGCTATGCACAAGCTGCGCTTGCGACTTCGTCTGCGTCACATATTTATTTTGGCTTTATAAATTATAGCTGTAACCTACAACGTCGTCCGCGTCCAGTCGTTCTTGTGGGTAATCTTAAAAGAGAACATATATTGTCGAGGACATATTCTTTGGTATTTTAAAGGGGAATATTTCTTTCATACATAGCTTTTTGAATCATTTTCGCAGCGCACGCAACGGACACTCATAAGGAAGAATAATTTTCCCTATTTTTCCACATTTACCATTGTTTCTTCGAACACGAAAATATTTTTTCAATTCGTATCAGTAGTTCCTAAGTTATCGCGTTCAAATAAACAAACAAACTCTTCGGGTTTATAATATAAGTATAGATTACTCAATATAAAATCTCCATTCCATGGTTCATTAAACCACACGAGATATTGTCTGAGCAAATGTCTGTCTTTTGTGCCCTGCCGACTGAAATAATTCAAAAACGGTCTAATGTTTCAGACGCCTAGCAACAGCTGAAACCTCGGCTTTTGTTTAATTTAAAAATTTAAATTCGCTTCTCCAGCATGCCAGAACGAAGTTTTATCATAGAACAGCGAATAAAAACCTCGAACTAATTTAAGGTAATAACGAGGAAAATCTGATATTACCCGTTATTGGAGGTGGTTTAAAATAAAGAGAAACAACAAAAATAGATTTACGTAATATTTATTAAATCCCGCTAGCATTAGCCAAGAATTCATTTGGATGATCTTGAATCACTAACCGATCATAAGGCAATCTATATTTGGTGAGTTGCTCTGAAGTTGCTTGGATTGCGTAAAAAATAAACTAGAGAAAATGATAGATTTCGTAATAGAACCACAGGCTATGTTGTTTTGCTAACCCAGTTCAATTCAATATATTGTCATATCTCACATACGAATTTTAAATTAAAATATAGTTATATCTCTTAAGGACCTTTAAAATTGTGTTTGTATAAAATATTATATTTAGGAACTAGCTGAGTCAGCGACTTCGTACGCGTAGAATAGTTATTTTGGCTATCATTTTTTGTTTTTGTAAACCTCCTCCTCGTCCGCGTCCCATCGTTCGCAAGTTAATCTTAAAAGGTAGACATATATGTCGCGGACTTTTTTTTAGATCATTCTTTCCTACATATTTTTTGGGTATCTTGAACCGTTTGAAAATAACAAGGATGAATAATTTTTCTCGTTTTTTCGACATTTCCCGCTGTTTCTTCGCTCCTATTAGTTACATAGCTGTGTTATAGACCTTCCTCAACAAATGCTCCAACCAACACACGAATTTCTCAATTCGAGCCAAACAACAAACAAACTCTTCAGCTTTATATATTAGTATAGATAGATATTAACTTGAAGAATAAGTATAGAAAGTCTAGGACAGTGACGTTTTACTAAAGTTAAGTAAGTATTAATATAGTCTGTGCTTACTGGTCACAGAGTAGATTAAAAAACAGAATAGACTAAGAGACAGATAAAATCTCAGTTTTTATTAAATAATATAGATTCGCAACTTCAGAGCGAACAAACTATCGCGCAATAAAGGCTAGATGGATAATTTATCGTAGCTTCACAATTATAATCGTCAATAAATGTTGCAATACCAAATCGCTTGGTACCGAAAAAATATACAATGTCATTCTAATCATTAATACCATAATTATTGTGGACATAATCTGCTACATTAAACAGTAATTCAGTTCATTCAACTATCTAAACGGGGTAGGTATCAAACATTTCTAGCTAGTCTTAATCGATTTTAGAATTGGTGTAGCCGGTGGACTGAGTCAATTCCGTGGAGGCTATCGTCTGTTCAATGAAAGTAGATATTAAGAATTACCGAATAGATACTTGGATTCTAGTGATGAAGAATTTAATATATATATTTTAAGTATTTTTTATAGTCATTTGGATTGTAAAGAGAATCCCTCTCTCAAATACTCTAGTTTAAAACCGTTATTTTTTTTTAATGTACAATACTTTAGGATAGCTAAAGTTAAAAAAAAGAAAAACTATCTAGTCTCATTTGACAGACCACAGTCTTCGAACTTAGATATGTCAACTGCGTCCTCGATACAGGCTAAGCGAGCGTCGTACCCAGTGTACGTACAAAAATAAAAATTTCCATCAGTCTTCGTTCTAGTTCTCGTCGTAGAGCGGTGTGGCGTCACCGAGAGACATCGACCTGGGGGATGTGTTTGTGTGGGGAGTGGACCGCACCGAATGCGCCCGCGACGACCTACCCGAGCTGTGGCCGTGAGGGGTGCTTCTGACATCGTGCCGGGGGGTTGATCTCATATCGTGTCGGGGGGTCGAACGGGAATCCATGCGTGGGGTACGCGACTGCCTTGGCGTGGACATGCCTTCGCTGCTGCGTGGGGTCGAGGGCGTGTCTCTGACAGACCTATGCCGCACCCAATCCTCCGCTGCCTTCTGCCAGTCGGACGGTTCCGTGAAGACTGGAACCGGTTTGTGCCTGGGTATTACCGGTGTTAGGAAATCCGGTTGTCTAGGGGTCGTCGCGAACGGTGTCATGTATGGTGTCTGTGCGGATGGTGTGTATGGTGTATTGATGTAGGCAGGGCCCGGGGTGTGTGCCGGTGTATGGAATGCGGGTGTATGGGCTGCCGGTGTGTGGTACATAGTTGAAGTCATGCCACCGTGAGGAGTCCGCAGCGCTGGCGTCCTCTGCACCGGCGTCCCACTGGGCGGGGGGTCTCTGAAGTGTTCCTTGAACCATTTCAGAAGACTTCCGAGCGAGTCAAACATCCTCTGCCTGAACTTGTACCCGTCTGGAGTTACAGAAACGTACTCGTGCGTGCATTTATTCCTAGGTAAGTAGGACAGTAAAAACCTCCCCGGGTGGTTCTTAGCCGCTGATATGATGTAGTGGATCTTATTGGCGTTTTTGGCTTTCTCTTCTTTGAGCCACTCCTCAGCTTTGTCTCGCATGCCGCCCAGGGGCTTATAATATTTGTATGCTATAAGATCTCTCGCGTGACCAGCCATAGGCGTGACGTATCTCGCTATGATTTCGTCCAGATCTTCGAACTCGGAACCTTGGATCAAGAGACTGCGACCTGGTAAACAGTTAATTTTATTATAATGTATTAGGACACAAGTGCTTATATGAAATAGTGATGGAAATAGCCATCAATTGAAAAAGTATTTCGGGTAGCAAAAGAAAATTTTTGTCATCACAGAACTCGAACCCAATGTACCTTGTCCTGGTCTACCAACTCAGTTACCATGTGCCCTATGAAGAACCAGGATAACAACTGACTATTGAAGAGCAAGGTAAAAATCCCTTTCAGCTATATTATATCGAGATAATGAATCGATGTAACTAACCTAAAGAAAAGGCGTTTTCTTTCCCTTCTTCTCGTACGTCAATGTGTTGACAGATACCATCCGCTACTTTCCACGTAACTGTGAGATGGTCGGAACCCTGGAAATGCCATCAACATTCAATCAATAAGACATTTGGCATTAAATTGATAAAAAACAAACGCAATAAATGAATCATTTATAAAAATTCACAATTGAATCCGATTAAATTTTAAAAGGTAGAGTGGAACAATACATCTTTAAAAAATAATTATACCACGACAGAAGAAAAATATTACAGCTATTTTTATGTAATTAAGTATTGTTGGTAGTTTATGAGACAAGTACATATTTAAATAAATTTTAAAGCCGATTTTGAACCGTTAAAAACGGTTCAAAAACGGCTAGTGTAGCAGTTTTTACTTTGACATTAGGCACTCCTTCCATATTGACTCCACTGATGACCAAGGCTGGTGCTAAGCATCCGAAACGTCGTGCCGTAATTAAAAGTAAGTTTTTTAAGAGCTTTATTTTATTTGAACCATATAAACAATCATGTGGTTCAATTGTTGGAAGTTGAAATACAATCTAAATCAGATGCGCCGTCGACGTTTGTTGGCTGTGGAGGGAATAAACATACCTTACTACTAGGCCGCACAATGACTTCGCCTTGAGCCATGTTCTCCATAAGCTTCTCCGCTTCGGCGAAAGAGATATTTCTAAAGGACGGATGTACAATAACCCGTTTGACGTATTGCATTCGTTCTTTGGTCTGTTTCGCCTCTTTGTCCTTGCGTATGTCTTTCTCTTCGCTCTCTTGGTCATAGAATGGGTCTTTCGTCGGTCTGTAGGAGCAAGATTTATTTAAAATAACTATTCTACTGTAACATATAAAATTGCAATTACAAATGTTACAGAACTTTAAAATGGACAATGAGTAAGTAAATACAAGCTCGAAGCGACAATAGACTACCTCCATTCATTATTTTTATCCAGCAAATCCGAAGACTTCGAAGAACAGTCCACAGAGAATCTCTCCACGTCTATCTTTAGTACACGGCAGTGTATCGTTTGTCCGATGCGCACGCGCTCAGTGGGATCTGTCACGTGACGGTCGGATAAATTCTTTATGTGAATATAGCCGGATAACCCGTTGTCCAGTCGTATCCGGACCCCGGTAGCTTGACCCGGACATGCGCCTGCGTCGAAGTGGTTCCATACCTAGAAATAAACAATTTATAGCCAAGAACTACATAATTTGTCCGCTAATAAATGCTTAGAAAACGTAAAAAAAAGCTTTACTATCCCTCTTCGAAAAAATCATACCCAATTTATATTTTTATTTGCCTGATTTAACTGATGGTAAGTGAATACCCCTTTTTACTGGTGACATAAGTAAACGTATGTTAAAATGGAATGTTTTATTGTATAGAAATCCTTCGCACTGTAGTTAAAGGCAAAAAATCATACAAAAAAAAACGTTGGTGCACTTAATTTTATTGTTTACTTTTCCATGAAGTCGATGTGTTTGTACATTTTTGTGCTAACGTAATAAAGCACTACTTACTAACCTCTGACAATTCTGGGAAATCATTCTTATGACAGAAAGGACACTCCCACAAGCCCGTCTCGTCGTTCCTCACTGGATTGGCCTGGTCCAGCATTTCGCGTTGTGGCTTCCGATGCGTGATACCCACGACCGTGGCCAGCACCATCTTGCCCACGTAGAAGGTCTCAGGTGACTCTTTCGTCAGGATGTCGAATAATTCTTCTGATGTCGGCGACCCGAAGGACACTCGCAAGTCTTTATACCTGCAGTATTTAGGTATACTTTAAGATATTGCCTCATAGATAAAAACAAGTAAACAGAAAGCTAGTCTGAGAATTAGTCGACTTAAAACTAAACTTTACTTTATCAATAACTTGCTGTGTCAGCGACTTCGAGTATTTTATAATATTAGTCTAGATAAATAGTGATCTGTCTGTCTATGAAATACTAAGAAACATATTGCTTTATCCGTACTGATGGAAGTTCTTTAACAAATGACATTATAACTAATGGAATTATTTCGCTACTTAAATGTAAAGATAAACAGTACTAATAAGAAAAAAATATCGTTAATTGTGTTAGACGCCTCAGTTTCAAGACTCACCTCGAGTTCAGCTCAGCGCGAATGTCATACAACGTGATACTCTTGTTACCGAAGCCCTGTCGCTCCAGCTCTTCGGCGAAGGCATCTAGATCTAAGTCCTTTAAACGTTCAGGCGCCTCCAGGATTTCTTCCAAAGCCCCAGCAGGATTAGCATCTTCATCTTCGTACTCCAAAGCGTCTACCGCCATCTTCCTCGCCCACTCATACGTCTCGGGGTGCACCCTTGAACCATCTAGAACTTCGATGTACGCCTCTGTACTATCTCCTAAACTACTAGTGTCAATTTTGATGAAACCCGAACAATTGATGAACACTTTCGGCCCCATATGACATACGGTGACCAATTGTGTACGATTCTCCAACTTTTGATTAGTCTGCTTGAAGAGTTTTATGAGGGCCTGAGCTTTCCTAGGGCCTAAGCCGCAGACGAATTGGAGTAGCTCAGTACCCCGACCAGTTAACACCGCTTCGTTGACATCCACTCCGACTTCGTTCACCCTATTCACGAATTCCAGTTCGATTCCTTCTAGAAGATCCTCTTTGTTGATCTGGTCCTGTAGGGGATGGTAGCGGAGGCATAGGATTTCCTCGTCCGGTCCGCAGAGCTGGGATATCTCCATGAGAGGGTCTTGGAGTAGGCGCGCTTGGCATATTGCCTGTCTAAGCACGTCGGGGTATTCTCTGAAATCGTTCTGGAATAAACATTTTTATTAGTAAGATCTGGCAATGACACAACTAGGAAGCATATGGCGTTACAAACTTCACTTATTCGGCATGGTCCTTCGAGCCAAATCGTTACCAACAACACAACAATTACAGGTAATAAGCGAAGATCTAACTAATAAACTAACTTACTTATGTATTAATTTTAAACATTAAACCCTTCGTGTAAATAATAATTAAAAACATACATTTATCACATTAATTCAACCACACTTACCCGTCCTCGTATGCTGTTACTATAAATCTTGCTAATGTGGTTGTCAGCTATTTCTATTGGTATCCTGGGGAACTGTTCATCTTCTATTAGCTGCTGTATACACTCAGATACATCCGCCTTAATGTTAAGTGCCTCGCGAGACTCTCCACCTATTACTATTACGTGTGGCTTCTTGTTAAAGATGAACCTGCATTTAAAAATAAAGGTTTTCGTTAAGCATACATTATTATTCCTACTGCGTGCAAAAATATGCAAGTATTAAAACATGGGATGAGAATTTATAAAAATGTATAAATTACTATTTGTAATTATTCAGTGAATAATTTAAGTAATTTTATTTAAAGTATGTCTGTTAAATTAAGCCACTTAAACTAATAAAGAAACGTAATTTAAAAATTGCAAGTAACTATTTTGTTACTTAAAATTTTTTTATTGGGGGGGAAAAAAAAAAAAAAAGGGGGGGGGGGGGGGGGGGGGGAAAAAAAAAATTTTTTAAAAAAAAACCCCCCTGGGGGGGGGGCCGCCCGGGGGGAAAAAGGGGGGGGTTTTAAAAATTTTGGGGGGGGAAAGGGGCCCCTCCCCCCCGGGGGGGGGGGCCCCCCCCGGCCCCCGGGGGCCCCCGACCCACGGGGGGGGGACATTTGCCCCCACGGAGCTGAGTGGACTTCTTTACATAGGTAACTTGGGTATTTATTATTGTATCAATTTGTAAAAATTTAATATTTTATTGTAATTCTTCTAATAATGTGATTTTGTGATGTTTCTGAATAAACATATTTGTATACTATTGTATTACATTACATGACACAAAACCTCAAAATCAAAAACCCACCCGATTTTGGCTAGCTTATTAAAAACATTCTTTTAATATCCCAAGGGTTAAATACATATTTAGACCTTCTTAATGCAGTTAGATCGGCTTCCTTATGTTGTCTTTCCATGGGATCCCAAGCGTTACGCCTGTATAGTAGATGCGGGAGCCGCAAATGATCAGCGACTTCGCCCCCTGCTACCACTGAGCACGCGAACGCGCAGTGCTCTCGATCGGGCACGTACGCTATCGATATAACCCTGACACCTAAAATAAAAAATGGAAATTACTATTTTACTCATAGAGAGATAAGAGTGGAATATTACATAAATATTGGAATAAAACATTTTTAATTTTGCCAGGGGGGGAATGGGGGGGATGGGGGGGGGGTTAAAAACGCTTAGATCCCTTAAGTGTATGTTTGACTACACTTAAGAAACTGCTTTTATATCCAGTTATATAGACAACTGAAAAAATTAACAAGAACTTTTTTTACCATTGGATGCATCCCATTCTTCGTCGTCGTCGTCGGAGACCCGAGACTCGTACGGAGCAACTTTCAGCCAATCGTACAAACGGCGTCTACAGCATCTTTAAGCAGAGGGAACCAATTATTGAAGCAAAGAATAAAATTTGTTTTAACATTTTTATTGTAACATCTTGGCTCCAAGTAATAATTCTTGTCTATATTTTGCTTAATTTTCTTCAAAATATTCTATATATATAATGTGTCAGAGTGGTTAAAATAGAGACGCTAGGTAACAACATCTAAATGTATAACTTTATTTATATGAAGTTACAACATGTTAAAACTTACTTGAGCACATATTCCTTAGACTCCTGCAAGAGGAGCGCTTGCAATTCCCGTCTCAACTCGGGCATAACGATTTTGGTGAGCGCCAACGTCACCGCTTCAGCGCGAATGTCGTTCCACGCCTGCACTGTGGCCGCGAACTCGTCCTGGAGGGGGTAAATAAGTTAGATAAATCATCTGATAATAATAATCAATAAAAAATTTCCCATACTAAAATAATTGGTAAACATATTTATTTAATTATTGATTATATAAATAAAAAAATAATAAACTAAATACTTAGCACGGAGCATTGGAAGGTGTTCAGTTCGAATCCCGGCCGTATCATCGTATTCGTGTTAATACAACTAATATACAATAAACAATAAATTATATGGGAAGGCTAGCAACACAAAGGTTTACCTTTTGATACAACTGTTTAAGTTCCTCCAAATAACTGGGACTGGTGTTGCCCTCTATATTCTCACTGATGGATATTTCTAGTAATTTGTCTTCGGCGGCCATCGTCAGCTTGAGGAATTGGTCGCCCGTCAAATCTCGGACGGGTTTCTTCTTAAGGTATTTCAAACTGTTGAAAATCACGGATTTTATTAGTCAACTTTACTGTCTATGTACATAGGTAATGTTTTATTAAGTTGTATTTATAATTTTTAGTACTACAAAGCTTTCACGCCTCTTTTTGCAAAATACATATGCTTACTGTTTAGTCAGTTTTTGATACATAAAACGGATTTACAATCACCAAAATGAGTTAATGGGTTTAAAAGGACTTAATTAAACATCCAAACACGCCGCCAATTTAGTTGTTAATAGTAGACACCCTTCACCGCTCTGTAATCTTTTTCTCTGAGTTTGTGAGAAAGAGACAACAATACTCGTTTAGTTATACCATATACCATAGACAATAAAAATGACAGCAACGTACCTAAAACAGGAATGACTCTCGTCAATCATTTTTATTCCCTTTGTGGTCGGTTTGATTGTGATAGTAGCACGTTCCCTTAACGCGTCTCTGAGCGTGCTCCTAAGTAACGGCTCACGTGCCAATTGCACTCCACACATATACACCGCACGACGCAGCACTTCTGCTGCTGAACCGCCAGCTGGCAGCTAGAATTACAAATAAAAAAAAACATTTATTACTTATACATTATTACCTAAGTTTACGCAGGTAGTAGATATTTAAACAAAACACTTTTAATGGTTTAAAACGGTTATATTTGTATTGAGGGAGCCAAGGTGGCCTTATTTTATGAAGAATAATGATTTCTAACTAGCGAACGACCGTTCGTACTGGAAGTCTATGGGGGAGGCCTATGTCCAGTAGTGGACACTGTAACGGCTGAAAATAACTAATATATGATATCTCAGGATTACTTTTGGACATTGTTTAATAAGTACTTGCGTCTCATATTACAAAATAACTTACAAATTCCTGTGCAGCCTCTAAAGGCGGTACTGCGGGTTGTTCAACTTCGTGTCTCTGATAATTATCTCGAACGTTCTCGGCGAACTGCTCAGCTGACAGACCGAACTTGCGCACGAGTGGTTCTAACAAGTGAGAAGGTCTTTAATGAGACATTAACATAACTATATAAAATTATTTAATAGTATTTATTGATATTACTAGTAAATTAAAAAAGGAAATAAATTTCATATTTTTATTACTAATTTCAACACAAACTCATACAGATGCAAGAAAGTACTGGCTAGTTCGCACAGTGCTCAAAGAACAGATTGGTTTCTTTTGTTACACAACTGATTTTGAGTATATTATTTAAAGAATAAAATGAGGTATAGAACTAATACAAAACTACTTCATCTATAAATCTACACTCACCAAGTCCTGCCTTCCTGCACAGCTCGTAAGGCCCAGAGCGTACTGCATACTTCACTTCAGTAGGTTCCTCTTCATCAGGCAACGCTGCCTCTACAGCCACTGCAGCTTCCTCTGGGTCTTCACCATTCTTTTCGGCTTCTTCACGAGCCAATTTCCTACATTATACCGAGATTTAGAACATAGATAAAATTCAGACTACAGAACAATTGTAATGACTTTTTATATGTGTTCCCTCTGTAAACAAATACAATGAAGGGCAGAATATTATGCAGAAAGAGCATACACATAGTTCTGGCTCGAAGGATCAAAATATACAAAAGAATAAAATATATATAATAAATACTAAACAGTTGTAAATATTTAATTTGAATAACATATGAAGTGGCGCTGCTAAACTTACTTTTTCTCCTGAATTTCCTGTTTCCTCTCCTTGGTGCGTTGCACTTTCTGCATCTCGGGCAAATCGTGGGAATAGTATAATAGAAAGTGTGTGTGAACATCTCGCAGTTCTTCGGGTGTTTGAACGTTTTTCAACCTGTAAGATAATCTCGTTTTTCATGGTTTGTTTTTAAGGAAGTAATTTATTTACAAATCGGGTATTACGTTATTACCAGATGCAGAATTAACATAAAGAAGACGTCTTATTAAATACATTGTAAAAAAGTGGCTGGTTCCTAAAAGGAAAGAATAAGACACAATAAGTACACAAGTGTAGGTATACCTTTCTATATCTTCATCCTTGATAAGTCTCATGTTGTCCGGAATTGGAGCGTCTGGGTTAGCCATGACTTTATCCATTTGGAATTCGCGCATATTCTCTAGGAGTTTAAGGAGGTTCTCCTTTCGTTGCTTGAGTTGGCACCACTATAATAAACAAATAGTGTGATTACCGACACAGATAAAATAAAATAAATACAAATAGAAATTTACTATACTTTGTGGTGTATGTCTAAGTGAGTATGTGGTTTTTTACATAGTAACGAAATTAATATACTATTAAGAGATAAAGTTACCCACCTTAGCATCATATTTATAAACCTTCCAGAGATCATTGATACTCAATTCGGGCTGAACATACTCCTTTCTGTAAAAAGCTATGAACGGCACTTCTAGAGTTTGATTCCGCATGAAGTCTAGTGCTTGACGAATCTTTATCACTGTACTTCCACCACTGAAATGGAATCAAATGCTTAATGAGAGGATATTTTATATTTAATTGTTTATTATGGCAAACATACATAGATGTTATTAAGTATTAATATATAATAGACTGAATTATACCAACTATATACTGGTGTGCGACCCTTAAAAACACACCCAATATACAGATTTTTTTTTATTTGTGAAAGTTAACATAAAGCTAAAATGCATAAAGATGTAATATTTCAATTACAGTAATCAAAATCTACCCTCATAATTTTTTTTATGATCTACCCATAAATTTGTAAAACAGTAATACTATATTTTCTATGTGAACTTACCGCCTGGATCTCTCTCTCGCCTCTTGCGAGTCTGCCTTCGAGACAGGTGGCTTTAAGAACGCCTGCTTGTAAATCCATTCTGCCTCCTCTTCCAGTTCAGTGCTGCCTTCCTCCACTGGAGTTATAGGGACTTCGCGTATTTGCATACGCTCCGGTACGTCTGTTTTACGAATCTATAAATAAATTATGTCACTATAATAATGCATAGAATTTATAAAAAATTGTATATTCTTTTTTTTTTTATTAATTTCAAATATGTTAAAAAATATAATATTAATTTGATTGAAATACAGTACGTGACTCGGACCGAGTTTTCAATATTCCTATCACCTGTTTAACATCCAGATTTCATAACCCAATATCCCGTTAACGATTCATAGTCCAATAACATTTCAGACCCGGTTCTTATTAGCTATACATTGCTACCCTTGTACTAAACCATGCTCTAGTCTCAATCACATCTAGTTATGTACATAGTAGCTAGGTAATATAACATTAGTAACTTTACCAACCTCATTGTCCAAATCAGTAAAGTGGCTCCTTTTCAATTCGCTTGGCTCATATATCTCGAATATAGACTTCTTGCTAGGGCGTTTCGCTTTGCCTTTTTTCAATCTGCGTCTTTCACCTTAATGTAAACAGATTATTTTCATGAGCACAATTACAAAACCTTTTGGGTTACCAATCACACTAGTTGTAAAGCATTCCAAAAACAAATGACCTACCTTCTTCATCATCCTCCTCCATATAATCATCAGTAAGATATCCATCTTCTTCGTCTTCTTCGTCCTCTTCTCGATAATTCTCGAACTCGTCATAGTCAAAGTCAACACCAAATATATCTTGACCTTCCTGCAGTGAGCTGTTGAATTCAAATATATTGTCTTAGATTAGATGTGAAAATCCGAATGCAAGTTTGACGCAACCATCTTCTGTCAAGTCAATACCATCTGCTATTTAATGGTGTATAATTAAATAGTGTTGATAAAAATATCATCAAAACCAATAATTCAACAAACCTAGGCTAAACCTTAGGCTATTTAAAAAAATGTCCGCGACAGTATATCTCTATCCTGTAACATTAACTTGAACCAACTATAGGTCTCGGACGATGTCGTGAGTCACATTATAAATTGTGTGAGGCTTTTCTGGCCATATTGCGAACCTACTGGGGCTTTTGAAGATATTTGCCCATCGTAATGTACATATATAAGGTGTTGTTGAGCGTTCCTCAACAATGTCAATCATTTTTTACATTATCCTTTTAACCGATTACACCTTTTGTCAATTGTTTCAAGAGCCAAAATAGCAAAGAGAAATCCATTTATTGTATATAGCAGCTATTATTTCCTTTTGAATGGGCCTCATCTTACAAGTAATTACTTACGCATCCGTAAAAATAGGCTTCCGTTTTTTCTTTCTTTCCGCTATTGGTCTTCCATCATCATCTACAATAAAGTCATCAGCATCCGACTCCATGTCTTCATTGTCATCATCGTATTCCACCTCCCGTGGAGCAGCTGATTCTGAACGGTTTTCGTCCTCCTATGGAAGAACAGGAGTGAAATAATCTAAAAGTTCTTTAGTGCATTAAAATAAAATGTATTCAATAACATTAATAGGTGAAAACCAAAATTAAGTTTCTTTGCTCATACTACACAATGCTAAAATTCTTACATCATCAGATCCAGGAACAAACAGCTTCTCAGCAATGACTTCTCTCTCCAAGTCAGGGTCGTCAGCGCCTTCATTGTCACTATCGTCATCCTCCAAACGCCTAAGACGTTTGAATTTGTTCTAGAAAAAAAATTAAACTATCAGATGTTGCAATCGAGGAGTTAACATCTCCTGGTGATGCCATCCACACGTGATGGCGAAACGTCGAGAACCTCGTCTCGCTCACATCAGCCGAACAGCCCGAAAGACAATGATATGTTGAATGATGGCCGTGAAAGCCTTACACAATTTATCTACATAAGCAGTTTTAAAAATTATTCTTTATTCAAATTACTGGTTAATTTTCAATCAACATAACAATAACTTAATAATTGTCATTGATAGAGCTAAATAAGATGAAACAAATTGTATTATAAATATCTTTTTGCTTTAATTTTCTATAAAAGTAATATAACAGTACACTTACCCTGGCAACTTTGACACCAAGATTCTCTTCAATCAAATCATAGTCCTCGTCCTCCAGTCGATCATCTAACTCATCATCGCTTTTCTTTCTTTTCTTTGGGCCTACACTGGCATCTGAATCTTCCCCATCACTACCCGACTCCTCAATCGGAGCATCATCTATGAGATCTTTTAATTCTTCTCTAAGACGTTCCTCATCGTCTGTAGGAGCAAATTTTAAGTAAAGCCAATGAAGAATTTGGAAAAAAAAAACAATAAAATTTTCCCTTTTAAGAAAAAAAATAATTTTAATATAATTTTACTAAAGACAATGTAGACAAGCAAGAAGCCAGTATTGAAAATTACTAACAACTTTTTTGTTATATCTGTGCTCTATAATTCACATTAGTCCTTATTAATACATAATAACATTATTTTCTTATTAAATTAAAAATCAAATTATTGAAATTTTTTTTGAAAATTTCTTTTTGTTTTAAGCAATAAAACCCTGGTTTAACAAAAAGGATTTTTAAAGGAGAAAGTTCATTGACTCAATAATATCAAAGTGATATCTATGTTCCAGCAATCAATATAATAAGAAATTTAATTATTTGAAGTTATTATCTAAAAAAAAAAAAAAAAAACAAAGTTGATAATTTTCATGAAATCTGCTATGTGTTTAAAGCAATATATACCTGAGTTAACAATGAGGATTTTTAAAGGAGAAAGTTCATTGACTCAATAATATCAAAGTGATATCTATGTTCCAGCAAACAATATAATAAAAATAAACAATTTAATTATTTGTAAGTTATTATCTCAAAAAAAATTAAGTAAGTTTTTCAGATAAAATATCTAAAACATACGTCATTAAAGGATCATTCACATCGTTATTACAGTTAGAATGTACTGTATTGTACAGTAGTTCAAAACCGTTCTGGAACTATAAATAAATTAAATTTACTCACGTAAGCTATATTTTTAAATTTGATTTGAAAAAAAATAACGTGTACAAACCTTCTTCTTCATCATCTTCATCGTCACTCTGAACAGCAGCTTTACGCTTAGGTTTCTTCCGTTCGGCTGGCCTTTCGTCCTCTTCAGAATCCACCTTAAACATTAAAACAACTCGTATATGGCCCACACTTTAACTTAAACGAAAAATAAAACAAGAAATCGTAATCAGGACATTGTATTAACCTCGCTCTCCTCGGCCTCAGACTCGAGAAAATCAGCCATTATCACTTAGAAAATTACTTCGTTCTATAAATAATCTTAAGATAAATGCTAAATGTAAGAAATAATAAATAAGCTTATAATAAATTATTAGTTACAGCATTACATACAAATTATAAGTTATTTTCATTAAAAATTACAAACATAAATTAAAGATTACAGAGTGAAAGTCGATTGTTAAAAGATAATTTTCTAGCATAGGCAAAGTACACACAGCTAATAAATTATTGTTCAAAGCACTCAATCCATAGACTACGTAAAGCGATACCAGAGATTATTCATCGCTATTAAAAAACCTTACACGTAAAAATTTATTTATTAGTTAATTTGGAAGTACTCATAATAAAATTTTTAAGGTCAAAAAATATATATCAGATTAGTTATCGAACCACAAAAATACGAACTGTTATAATCGAAAAAATAGATATTGGTTGCTATTCTATAGTCTATTCCTGACCTATAAATGTATCAAAATAGAAACATCTCAATCTGTGTATATAATCTCAGTGTACATAATATTATTTCTTCTCAGTTTTCTCAGCTTTAATGATTTTTATTAGTAATTTGTACCTGTGATTGTTTTATTTATCTTATGGCTCCCATAGTAAAAAACATACTACATGCCGGACAAAAATATGTTCCTATCACTGATGGCAGTAAGGTAAGACCATAATATTTATTTTTTTTGATGGTAATTAATAATAATAATTAATTAGATTACATTAATAACGAATTTTCCTTAATATTATAGGCCCACTTCCACTTTCAAACCTGGAAGCTTGGCAAGGAGAGAACTCTTATTGATGATAGTAAAAAGATAGGAAAACAGGAGCCAATGGTACTTGTTATTGGCCACAAATTCAAATTGGAAGTCTGGGAGACAATTGTTAAGATGATGGCTGTTGGGGAGGTAGCCAGTTTCACAGTGCAAAAGGAGGTGAGAAGAGAAAAGAGGTTCTGTGTTATAAGATGTGTTTCTATAGAAAGTATTTTTACAGACGCAAATCCTTTACTGACAGGCGTAAATTTATATAAATAAAAAGCAATGATTTCAACTTGTTTTGTGACTACACTTATTATTATTTAAGAAAACTTTTTACAAAAATCAGAATCAATATCTATCAGCTATTGTAAAGGATTCTTTTCTACCTACCTACATAACATACCTACAAGGAGGAAATGGGTGAAATGGTCAGCTGATAACGTTGACTGATCACCGCCCTACCACAGGTGTCCCCGAAAGAAAATAATAATAATAAAAACTACCTACATTTTCAGCTAGTCTACAGTTACCCATTTGTTTCCAAAACCCTAAGAGAATTGGGACAAGAACAGCACAAAGTAAAACATTCATGCACAATGACATTGCACACAGAAGGCATTGGATATGCTGACCTCGATGACTTAATAAGTAATCCATGTGATTTGGAGTTTATTATAGGTAAGATAAGCATACTTAATTATGCTTGAGAAATTTTACATGACACTACACAGTTGTATGTGTTTCTGATGAAAAGGAAATGTATTTTAGTTAGTAAACTTTTAATATATTTGTTACCATATAAATAAGTATATCTATTTTGTCTGCTTACCCATTAAAAACCTATATACATATATAATTACATGTGTTAACGGTTCACTCATTAAAATAACTACTCATCAGCTGGCTTAGCTGTTAATGATATGTTATCTTGAAGAACTTAAAAATAAAAGGTTTGTTTTTAAAAGCTACTTAGCAGTTAGTACAAAAACTTATTTCAAAGGGATTATTCATATATTTTTATGTACCACGTCATAAGCTTATTACTTTGCTGGCTATATATATAATTTTACTCTCTCAAAACTTTAATATTTTTCACTTCTGATTGCACATGAGGGCACTATGATTTAAAAAATTAATAATAAATTGAAAAAAAAATGTGACTCAGGCAGGACTTGAACTAGCTTCTTTATCATTCCATGTTGTTCTAACCAATTGACACTAGGACCTGGCAAATCAATTTGTTAGAGGCCACAAAAGCAACTTGCACAGTAATATGTTCTCCATTTGTGAAATGTTTTTTAGAACTATTAAAAGTAGAGAAATCAGATGAATATGAAAAAGAACTATGGCAGCTGAATATTGAGGAGAGGCTAAAATTAGTACCTGAACTCAAGGAGAAGGGCAATAAATATTACATTGAAAAGCAGTATGATGAAGCTGAAGACTGTTATGCGCGAGCGTTGGCAATTCTTGAACAGTTAATGATAAGGTATGGCTATCCACTTTCTTATAATATGTACTTACTTTATATGTAAGTATATATTATAAACAACAAAGCAATCAGACATATAAATAAAACACCTTAACGGTTTCAAACTCGATATAATCGTTAAAAAACATTTTCAAATAAGTTTAACTAATATATCGTGTTTTAAACCGTTTAAGTGGTTTATTTAAATGTGTACTACTCGCGTAAACTATAGACAGTATTTAATCAGACATATGCTATTCTAGAAAATAATATTACTAAATACTGGGGTAGTACACATTTAAATAGAACCCTTTAACAGTTTAAAACGCGATATATATTTGTTAAACTTACTTGAAAGTTGTTTCAACTACGGCCGCCGTTTCCAGCGATCTCCCTGTGACCACGGCTGCTGCAAGCATCCGAAACTTTAGGCCGTAGTTAAAATCACTTTTTTACGTACGTTTAACTAATATATATCGCATTTTAAACAATGTTTTATTTAAACAATATTATCGACTTTTTGCAAGTACAAAATTAGTTTTAGAATTTCTGTATGCGCTTTAAAATACTAGAAGTTAAAACTTATGAAACAATAATTAAGCCAATTAAACAAGTGTAAACTCAGTGTTAATTTTTTTCTCTTAGAGAAAGAAAAAAAGATGACGAATGGATATCACTTAACAGCCTAAGACTTCCGATTCTACTCAACTACGCGCAATGTAAGCTCCTCAAAGAAGATTACTATGCTGTAATAGAACATTGTAATACTGTCCTAGAACATGATAAAGGTAAGTTTTATGTTAAAAACATGATTGTTGCAACTGCTGTTGCCGCCTGTTAATTAATACCTACACTCCTTACACTTCACCATAGAGTATGAGGTCCAGGACTTGAATTTGGCAAAATATTAGGGCTTAAGTAGAAGGTGTCACCTCTATGCCTCAGCGAACAAATTGTTTTTAGAGATTTAATATGGGTAGTCATTAAATCAAACTAACTCCTTATAGCAGGGTGGTAGATCACAGCTTCTATACCCTGCCTCCCGTGGAGACACTGTGCCCCAGCTATGGGGAATTATTTAAAAGATTTGCACAATTTAAGCAGATTATGTATTTTATACGTTATTCTATTCTTTTCTATTTGTAAAACATATGTTGGTATTTCTCTGTTACAGATAATGTAAAAGCACTGTACAGAAGGGGTCGCGCACACGTTGGAGCTTGGAATCCTGAGGAAGCTGAAAAGGACTTCCTGCGCGTAAAAGAGTTATGCCCGACGCTGCAACCTGGAATTAACAACGAGTTAGAGAACATTAGATCGTTGAGAAAAGAAAAGGCAGATAAGGACAGAGATGCGCTGAGAAGAATATTTGACAAAGAACGCGATGCTACATAATATTAAAACAAATATGCATTTTTATATAAGTGCTACTCAAAAATAAGAATGAACAACTTCACAATTAGGCTGTTTTTTTTTAAAAGTGAAATGCGAAGAAGTTTAAAAAAAAGTATATTTTAATGCTTAAACGTACAAAGCTGTCATACGCATGTTGTTATAAATGTTAGGCGTGTATGTGTGTATTTCGTAAAATATATTTCGTTAACTTTACTTAAGTTTTCCTAAGTTCTCAAAATCTTTACTATTAAATTAATAATTTTAGTTTAGCTTCGTGAATGTATTTATTGTTATAATTTGTAGTTTTAATGAATGAATAACTATTGAAATGAAATATGTTACCACTAAAATTATATGTGAATGTGCTAATTTGTTGTTTTAATTATATGTCCCTTTTAATTTTATTGTACTTTATATACATTATTGTATGAGACTGTATGAAGCTTATATTATACTGTCTTTATGACATGCAAAATTTAATCTGATTATTACGAATTAAATATCGATCCATCAATATTAGATCCTATTGCTCGAGAGCTGTATGTTTTATCAATCATGCCTACAACACCATACATTCTTAAAGCTTTATAGTTAAAACAACAAGATTTCAGGTTATTAAAAATTTATGAAATCCAAGCACAGTTTTGTGTGTATCTATCGTTATTTGCTTCGCAAATATTTATTATCTATCCTTTTTGTTCGATTGTGACGTTTCATTTATGAATAATGTTTAATCGATTCATATATATGAACAACACTTTACATAACCTAAAATTAATTTGTAAACAAACACAAGGTACTGGTAGATGTAAATTATATTAATTAAATTGTTAAAGACATGACTGAAGAAGCTAAAACGAGTGAAGAATATGCGTATTTGGATAGAGGCGGATTTTCTTCTGAAAAGTTTAAAATTGAACTACGTGGTCTACCTAAGTTTTATGGTATAGCGGTAAGTTAATTCGGTTCTAACAATCAAAGGAGATTAAAAAAAAAAAAAAAAAAAAAAAAAAAAAAAAAAAAAGGGGGGGGGGGCCCCCCCCCCCCCCCCCCCCCCCCCCCCCCCCCCCCCCCCCCCCCCCCCCCCCCCCCCCCCCCCGGGCCCCCCCCCCCGGGGCGGGCCCCCCCCCCCCCCCCCCCCCCCCCCCCCCAAAATTTTTTTTTTTTTTTTTTTTTTTTTAATTTTATAGGGCCCCCCCGTGTGCAAAAACATGTGAAAAATATTAATGTTTTCAAATCAAAGGAGATTACAAATTATATGACAAAGAAGCAGTAAATTGCGTTACCAAATATTAAACCTTTAATGCCAAATAAGCTTCTATTATGAAATAAGATATAAATTGCATATGTATTTACATTGTACAAATTTTAAAACATAAGCGGGACTGGAACCGTCATCCATAGTGTTCTTTGCTGCAGCTCCATCAGATTGAGCTTCTGTGTTAAGTTGTCAGGAAATGGTATCTCAACTGGTTGCTGAGGATGCCGGGTCAAGTTCTTTCAACCTAAATAGATTTTTATTCATATAATAACATAATGTATATGAGAGTTCTTAAAAATTACATATTGCATAATTTAATAATTTATATTATGACACTTTCAGGAACTGAAAAAGCTCATGAATCAAAAGTTAGGATTAAGTGTAAGTAAAATTAAGAGGCAGAGAGTTGGAAACCATTGGTTGTATGCCTGCTTTCAAAACGATGAGGAGAGAGACAAAGCAATAGCTGCTCTTAATGGATATGAATGGAAAGGTATGAAAATCAGACTTCTGTACACTGCCCAATTGAAAAGATTCTACCTATTGTTTTCCTAGAAATTGAACCCATAAACTCTTGCACTTACATAATGCTAGACAACATGTGTAACCATTTAGCTACATAGATATAGGACATTGTTAATAAAATCTAAGATCATTGGCGTATTTTACATTGCTATGATTATGAAAACTAAGTTATGTAAATTTTTGCTTTCTTATGAAACAATTCTCAGGTAAAAAACTCTTAGCGGAAGTCGCAAAACCAGCACCAGATCCATTGGTGAAGAGGAAACAAGAAGGTACTGAAAATGGAAAGAATGCTAAAAAGCAGAAAACTGATGATCAAGAAAACAAGAGCCAAGAGGAGAGATTGAAGAATGCTGTAATTCCCTATTGGAATTTGCCTTATGAAGAACAGGTAATACAATATTAATTTACTACATACAACAATTATGAAAATATTTTTAGGAATTAGATATATTATAAATTATATAGCCACATCAAATTAAATCAAAATTCATTTATTCAGATAGCTTAGTACACTAATAAATGTCAAAGCAGTTAAAAATTCAAAACTGTAAATTTACAGTTAATACCAATGTGCCACTGAAAAATTAAGTTGAGATCTTCAAATAACACTTATATAAAATCAATAGCACTTTAGAACCAGTAGCATAGGCTTAGAAGCTTATAAAAACAGTGTCTTCTATTACATAATTTTCCAGTGAAGAATAGACAAATACATATTAAAATATTAAGACCGTATTTAGGAGAACCATAATTATGATAACTAAAGTTTAATAGCAGCCATTTTTATAGCAATACTTCTTTTTTGCAGCTGAAGATTAAAGAAAAAGAAATTAAACAGATACTTATGAAATTTGACAATGAGTTGTGGAAGATAGACAAGCAGAAACGTAGCAAAATAGAAGCGAATAGAAAGTTATATGATGGGTTAAGCTTTGAACTTAAACCAATTCAGAGATCACCGATGACCGATGGATACAGGTATATAAGTTTGTCGTGCAAGGTAGTGATTCAACTTCGGTGTCTTATTCAACTCTGTACCTCTTAATTGTTAAACACACTACTAGACAACATTTGTTACTGTTGGGTTATGTTGAGAGTCACTTTACCAGGATAACTATTTAACCACCATTTAATAAGATTATATTATAAATATTGAAAACAATATTTGTTACAAAAATTCACGCAAACTCTATAGGAGTTTCACACACTTCTGCATTAGATTTTGTACAAAGTACACACATTTACTTTACACTATAAAATATTTGTTCTCTGAAGGCTTCTCCATATTTTTTTTTATTTTTAACGTCCGAAACAATTTATTGTTTTCCCGAGATTCGAATCCAGGACCTCTTGCGTAACGCAATGCTAGGCAATACCATTGACCATTTGGCTACAGAGGCGGCTTGAAAACAGTGTTTAACCTAAGAAATTAACACAAACTCTAGGAATTTCTGTTTCTCTTATTGAACCTATTTTACTTTTTCTTGATATCAATTCTAAAGTATTCAAATGTGTTGATTGATAAGATAGGTAAAAGAAGCATAAAAAAACACACTTTTGCATAGAATTTTGTACAAAATACATAAACACACACAGAGGTTGTTTTAGCTTTTCTTTTATTGTTAATATTTCAAGTAAATAAATTGGTTATAAGCAGCTTTTTAATTACTAGACATCATAATTTGGTGTAATATTCTATCTTTTTTTGTCTTCCATAGAAATAAATGCGAGTTTACCGTTGGAATGGACGAAGAAACAAAGAAACCAACTGTCGGATTTAGATTAGGATGCTATTGGGCTGGGTCCGTGGCTGTTGCTCCCGTGGATTGCCTGAATCATATTCCTGACAATATGAAGAAGGCTGTTCTTGTGAGTGCTATGTTCATGTTTCTAATCAATTTGTGGAAAATATAGATAGGATGGGTGGTAGGAATATCAAAATTTAATCCAGGTCACAAACCACCACATAGATAAAAAAATTATAATGAATAATTGATTTTAGTTTTTGTCTATGGTTTTTTTGTATATCCAAAGCCAAAAAGGGAGACACCCCTTCTTAATTGGATGATATAATCCTGGTGTAGTTTAATATCCATCAAATGAATCTCTATAAAAAATACCTGTCCCTGTCTTACATCTACTCAAACGCTCTTGTTAAACGTTTTAAAATAGCTTCTCTTATGACTGAAATATTGTGTCATTACAGGTGTTTCAAGAGTTCGTCCGCAAGTCAAACATGCCACCGTACAGCCCAGTTGATTATTCAGGGTATTGGAAGTGCCTCACCGTCAGACAGTCGACAAACAATGGAGATATCATGCTAATCATTGCTATGGATCCACAGGTAATGTTATATATTATGTCTGTTTTTCTGCGTCATTTTTTTACAGGCTTGTAGGTGATGAGACTTTTATGCCCTGCACGACTGAAAAAAATATTGTTAAGGGATTTGAACGTAGAGTCGCCTACCTCGACCGGAAATAAATAAAAAAAAATTATTTAGATTCGTCGAAAAATTATTGTCTGACTGTCTGTCGTGATTCTGCAGACCTTGGTACCTCGTTACTTAACAACATTTGTTGTTTTGATGGAAATGCGAACAAAATTCATCTTATATAAAATTAAATTCATATAACGGACACGGAAATGTATTTGCTATATAGGAGTTATAAGAAGAATATTAATATAGCTTTGTATGATCTGATTTTGTATTAATTTACAGACCTTATCCTCTGATGAGTTAGAGAAACTAAAGCAAGAACTAAAAGATTACTTCAGCGTGGAAGATGCGACAGCGTGTGGGATCAAATCTGTCTACGTACATTTTGTTGCCAAGAGGTATTTAATTATTTATTATATTTCTTACCTAAATTATCTGTGAACAGACTAAGAATGGTCTTCCATTTGACCTGATGTGAGCTTCTTTAGAGACAAATACAGACAAGCAGAGGTTCACGCGATGGAAGGTAAACTACACAGGATATTCCACCCTAATATAAAAAAAGATGTGTTGCGACCTGTTTATTAGTTTTGGACATTCCGTTGCACATACTTAAACAGAAACGCGATTAAGCTTCAAGCCTTCCTCGTAGTGGTTTGATATCCTGTTACCCGTTTAATATTCAGATTTCCAAAGTTATAATTTTAGAAAAAAATTAATAAAACACTTTAAGCAAAATATATTAGTCACCTTATTTGTATTTTTTCTAATATAATTTTCGTGTCAGTTATTTATTTTAATATAATGTAAATAGTACTCGCGTATAGACAATACTCGATTATGAAAAGAGTTAACCCACCAGCATACATTAGTTATCTTAAGACACTTACCTACTGCTCTTGCTTAATCCTCTTAGGAGAGCTGGCGAAGAAGCAGCAAAGCCGATACACCTCCTGGGATCCACGCACATTACAGACACCATACTCGGTAGACAATTCCGGATATCGCCAGAAGCGTTCTTCCAGGTACGGTTCCATCTGTTTAATAAAGAAAGTGATGTAAAGTATTATAAATGCATTCTTTAGTTGCATTTAATTGATAATAAGTTAAATTAGTTTAAGCTTTATTATTAATAGTGTTTTTTCAATAAATAAATGATTAACCTCCATTTTTCTATGAAAACTTTTAAAAGCAATTTTTTGTTAATAAAAGCACTTTTTAAAGGTTTCAAACGACTTTTTAAAAGATTTTAAAAAACTGTTCCAAAAAAATACACCATTTAAAAATCCCAGATTTGTTTCCAAAAACCAATAACGAGGGAACAGAGCAGCATCATGGAACGCTGTGGATACCGGTTCAAGTCTGACCGTGTTGTGTGTTTTTAATCTAAATAAATTTTTACTTAACACTATTTTAGATTAACACAGCGGGTGCAGACATCCTCTACCAGAGTGCGATAGACCTCAGCCGTGTTGATGAGAAAACTACCCTCATCGATGTTTGCTGTGGTACTGGCACCATCGGCTTGTGTTTCGCCAAGGTAAGACTTTTTATACATTTGTGGGCGGTAGTTCGTAACCTGGACGGAATTTTCGAAATTCCTACCACCTATTTAAGTTTTTTATTATGCGACAAAAAAGCAAAGCCCTTGATGAAAGGTGGAATAGCCCAGCCAAATAGCATCTTAACTTAGTATCTTTAATGTGACTTTGCATATTGAAAATGTATTAACCCAATTTAAGTGTCCAGAAAGTTGTAATAGTGAAATCTAACTCGTCTTAACTGTTTGAGCAGCACTGCGGGCAGGTGCTTGGGCTCGAATTAATAGAGAAAGCAGTAGAAGACGCAAGAGCGAACGCACAATTGAACAACATCGAGAATTGTGATTTCTACGCCGGTAAAGCGGAGTACACACTACCGGCTGTTTTGGCTCGCGCTAGCAGCGATGACATCATCGCTGTTGTCGACCCACCGCGGGCTGGTCTACGTAAGTACTATAGATAGATGAGAAGCACTAATCAGACAATCGACAGAGTCGATCTGATGCCCCCCCTGGTTCCGCCGTTGTGGACACAATTTTATATATATACGGATAGGTTACGTATATATATAAAATATAGTATACATGTGTTGGTACACTTTTAACGGTTTAAAATGCGAAATATACTTTAACTATTAGCCGACGTTTCAGATGCTTTGCAGCAGCCGTTGTCTCGTAACAGTATATTTCGTGTCTAAAATCGTTAAAAGTGTTTTATGTCCATATTTATATCGTATTACAATTTATGTTACCTTCTTTTTTAGATACGAACGCAGTTGTTACCCTTCGGAATAACAAGAAAGTGAAACGGCTGATCTACATATCGTGCAGCCCGGCGTCAGTCACGAAGAATTTTGTGGATCTTGCGCGTGCGTCGTCAAAGACGTTGCATGGGGCGCCCTTCATACCCATTTGTGCGATCCCAGTTGATATGTTTCCGCACTCGAAGCACGTCGAACTAATCGTACTATTTGAAAGGGAACAGGTTGGTTGGTTTTGGTGACGCTAGAGGGCGTTTTTCAAAATACTGTTCAGATGTTTTAAACATATGTTCAGTTAAATAATTAGTGCTGTTTTGATTTCGTAAGGATGCAAAATTCAAGCTCTTCAAAGGAAACACATCTTAATAATTTTATTAGACCTTAATAGTCACAGGAGTTGTGATGATAGTTTTTGAATCGTACAAACATGTTACAAAAACATTTTATTTTATAGAAAAAATAATATTTTTCACAAGTGGCACATGATGGCATTAAGTTCATTAAAATTCTATGCATGTAATATGTGTACTACTCGCTCAAACTACTGTCTGTAGTACACATTGAAGTAGAACACTTAAACGGTTATAACGCGATATATATTATTTAAATTTATTTCAAAATAATTTTAACTACGGCCCGACGTTTCGGATGCTTTGCCGCAGCTGTAGTCACGGTCTCCCCGTATAACTAATATATATCGCGTTTTAAACCGTTACAGTGTATTATTTAAGTGTATGTATGATAGAAAAAAGGAGCTATGGTTGCTGGTTCAAGCCCCATTCATATCGTAACTTGATTTATTAAAAAAATATATATTTTACTTTTTTCTTTCTAGGAACCAAACGAAGTAGAAACAGTTGAATCAAAGGATGAAAAACCAGACATTGAAAATATGACAGAAAACGTTGTAAACGATGTGATTAATACAGAAAATGTATAGAAGAGTTAAAATACAGTTTATTGTATACAATTTATAAATATATTTTGTATAATAAATAATTATTATCTCGTACTTTAGATTTTTACTTAAAACAAAGCTTCAATAGTGATGTTTTTTTACAAGGCAAATGCACAAAATGGAAATAATAACGTATCTGTGAGCTGGCACTGGAGATATATTTTTTAAATATAACAAATAAAGCACTTTAAATTGCTTAAAACGCGAAATTTACTTAATTATAATTTATTGTAACTACCTCCCGTAACCATAGCATCCGAAAAGTTGGATCGTAGTCAAAAGAAATTATAAAGAAGTTAACTAGTATATTTCGCCTTTTGAATCGTTAAAAGTGAAAATTTAAATTAGAAACCTTTATATAGACTACGATTTATTTCATTCTACATATAACTAAATTTTACACAACATCGTATTACTCTCATAAATAAAATACAATATGTATTTAATAGTGTTAATAAAAATACGATTATTTTGTGGACACCTCATCTGCAATTCCCTAGGGGCTAACTGCTCAGTAATTTTGAAGGAATTTAATAAAGCGAACGACGCTCGCATTCCTTCCCGTAGATATCGCTATGCCATGCAGTAAATTTCAACACGATCTTTCGCTATGGGCCCTATTGGTTACAGTAGGGTTAGCAAAAAAAAATACATTTAACTATTATTAGACAGTTCATCCGCTTATTATAAGTGTGCCTCGCGTGCCTTACTTAAGTTCATATTTTCACTTAAGTATCGTTTAATAAAATATTATTAAACTGAAGAGTTTGTTCGTTTGAACACGCTAGTCTCAGGAATTACTAGTTATAATTGAAAAATGATTTGTGTGTTGGATAGACCATGATTGTATCGAGGGAGGTTGTGGTGATTTAATAGCACGTTGGACCAAGGGGACCAATACAGTAGAAAATGTGGAAACATACGGGAAAAATTATTTATCTTTGAGGGCTTCCGTTACATGTGCTGCAATATGGTTAAAGAAACTAAAAAATATACATGACAGAAGATCTCCTCTTTAAATAATCTAAAAATATGTTCCTGATGATTAATTAGCAAGAAAAAGGGGACGCGGATGACGAACGGATACAGATATATGTTCGCCTCAAGTCTCAAAGACGTAATAGGAATTCACACACATTTTGATAACCTATTTTCCTGACTGTACTTGCCTTAAATATGAATTAATAGCGTCGCATAGTATAGTGTGCGGTGGAGGTCGGCCTTACCCTTGATTGTATCTTGGAGGCTCCACTTCAGTCGCGTTCCAGGAGCGCTGACGGAACCCACCTGGAAACTTTCCAACCAAATATAAATTGTACAAAATGCGCTTTCATTATCTTATTCTTGTGATATTCTCGTTAATTCCTCAAATATATTCTTTCTCAGTTTATAAGAAATCAGGTATGTTTATTTGTATACTTTATTAAAAAATACGCGATACGCTTTATATACGAAAATTTTGACATAACTTTTTTCCCGCCAAAAGAACGCCAAGTCGCCGAAAGCGAAGCAGTGTTGGACCCAAACGGAGATTTATCGATAAAATGGCGAATCGATTATGTATCCCACAAAATTCGCTTCGAAGTGAGCTTATCCGAAAAAGGTCCAGCAATCAATTGGTTTGCAGTGGGGTTTTCTGATAGAGGAGATATTAAAAATGCCGATTTATGCTTAGCATGGACAGACTACCACGGAAACGATCATTTTGAAGTAAGTTACAATTGTGCAATATATTGTTTCATTTGGGCAGTGTAAAACTTGTCAGTATTGTCAGAGATCGAATTTATTTAGAGTCGAGTAGTTAGTTACGACATTTGTGTTCTGTCTAACCGAAACTGTAAGCTTAATACAGGCTCTACACAATGTGGTTATTAAATGAAACACTTTCGACGGTTCAAAACGTTGACTATTTACAAATTCACGTTGGCAATAGCATCCGATATGTCGGAACGAAGTTATAGTAAATTAAATATAAGTTTTATATGTTTGGTGTTTGAAACAGTTGAAAGCTTTTTAATTTCATCTGTACTCGCGTAAATTACAGATAATACAATGCTTTTAACCATTTCATTTTTCAGGATATGCACTCGGACGAAGAAGGAAAATTATTGCTCGACATCAAACAGAATTGCGACAACTTTCACGTAAACGCCAAGAGGAGATGCTTGACTTTCGATCGAGATTTTGATACTTGCGATGATGAAGATTACACCATCGAGGTCTTATTAAAAAAAATATTAAATAAAACATTTAGCGAGCGAGTTCGACTCGCATAATCGACGGGCAATACCTAACTAGTTAAAGAACGATACAATTTATTTAAATAAAACACTTTTGACGGTTTGAAACGCGGATATTAGTTAAATAATTTTTAATCCCCACAGCCCAAACCCCTGTCCGCAACACAGCCATAATCAATGGGCTGAAAAAATTCGAAACCTGGCCGTGAATTAACGTAAAATTTCGTGTTTGAAACCGTTAAAATTGTTCTCGCGTTAACTATATACGATACAGTTTATATTAATATGCTTTTTCAGGATGGCACTGTACATGTTATTTGGGCCCGTGGTACAGATAGATTATTCACATCAAAAGGACTTTGTCTGTCCTGTACATCTCAACACGATCATGGCTTCATACGTGTTAGATTATTAACCCCCCCTTCCATGCCCCCACAAAAGGCTGAAGAATTAGCTATTGTAAACAAAAATGTAGAAGTACCTGGTACAGACACAACTTATTGGTGCAAAGTTGTAAAATTGCCTGATTATGTGTCTGAAGAAGTACATCATATAATTCAGGTAAGTGTCAAATTTTATTCCCTGCTAGGTTCAGGTCTCTTCTCGCGGAAGCTTATAAGTTCTTAGACCTACCGAGCTGCTTTAATTGTTGTTGGTCGAATGGTAACAATATATGGCTAATAATCAACGCATCGTGGGTTCGCTTCCCTGCCGGGTCCAACATGATTCTAATGATTTTTTTTTATTATATGTACGACTTCAATAGTAAATGGGTGGTAAGAATATTGTAATATATACATTCCATTCGGGCTACGGACACCGTGACAGATGAAGGAGTTTAAAAATCGAAAATAAATTGAAAAAAAAAAAAAAAAAAAAAAAAAAAAAAAAAGGGCCCCCAAGACAAAAAAAAAAAAAAAAATATTAATGTTTAAAAGATGGGTTAATTCGACTCCCGGGCAGGACTTGAACCCGGCATCGTCAGCAGTTCCGAGTTCAGAAAAAAAAAAAAAAACCAATATATAAACTATTGAAAAGATTTTCAACAGCTGCGCAACGAGCACGGAACGCTGTTAAAAATCATTTTCAAATAACTTTAACTAATATATCGCGTTTTAAACCGTTAAAGTGTTTTATTTAAATGAGTACGAGACCAATAATATCTTATGCCACATATTAGTTTATATTTTTTTTAGTAGATAACTTCTTTCAGTTTCAATCTTCCATCACGAGAGGAAATGAAGGCCTCGTTCACCACATGGAAGTGTTCTACTGCGACGCTGATCCGCAGCAAGACATTCCACTCTATGAAGGCAACTGCTTTGCTTCAGACAGACCTGAAAAAACTAAATTATGCTCAAAGGTAAGTTTAGATTTGAACAAAACGATTTGAATCAAAATCATTTAATCCTCACACAAAGAAAAATAATAACATAAATGATAATAGACGCATGTGGAGGGACACCACTCTGTTGTACCTGGAAGTACACACAACGCCGATTTTCAGTGATGACATTTGACATTCGTAGTAGAACTAGTAGAAAATTATTACATTAAAACAATTAACAAAACATACAATAGTAAACAAAATCACAACAGACTTATGTTTCTTAAATTGTCGTAATTTAATAATAATTCATCCTTACTAATATTATAAATGCGAAAGTAACTCTGTCTAACTGCCTGTCTGTTACTCTTTCACGCCAAAACTAGAAAGGACATAGGGTACTATGTAAAAGGGAGTTATAAGGTTGAAAGGAGGGGGTGAAAGTTTGTATGGAAATTCGTGGCCTTTGAAGATAGAACAATGAAACTTTCTTATTTGGCTTTTTGGGAATAGGAGTTGGAGTGGGAGTGGGATGGGAGTTAGATTAGGAGTGATGTGAGTTGAGAGTGTTGCGGCAAAGTAGCACTTACAACATAGATTGGCTGCGATAAATGTGCAATTACATAAATTAATAAACAGCCTAAATAATTAAAAATTATACCTCAAATTACTATTCCACGCGAACGAAGTCGCGGGCAGAGCTAGTTACATATAATTATTCAATTTCAAGGTGAAAGCGGCGTGGGCGATGGGCGCTCCACCGTTTGTCTATCCTAAAGAAGCTGGCTTACCACTTGGTGGAAGGGGGGCAAATAAATACGTAATGCTTGAAGTTCATTACAATAATCCTGAACTCAAAGATGGTGCGTTTTAATGTTTCTATAGTAGCATAAATATAAGCGTGAAGTCGATCGCCTGTGTAGCTAAATGTTTAAAAGTATTAGTATTGCGCTGCCCCGGGTTCGAATTCCGGGGAAAGAATAAATTTTTTGTCAAGCTGGTGTTCTTGCTGTAAATCTAGAAAAAACGGTCACAGAAATGTGTTTGCCCATGACCCATCACGCACAAATTCAAGGTTCTTTAAGAGTAGAGTAGAGGTCAGTAATACGTGTTTGTATTGTATGATGTATAACTGACCAAAATCTACCCAATTTAAGAAGATTTCCAGAATTTGGTTAAAGTTGACGACAGTCGTTGTCTTGCCATTAATTTTCTCGCGGTAGTCGTTTAAGCCCGGAATGAAACAGCTTGGTAGGCTTAAGCTGTTTAAACACCCTCGTATACGAGAGGAGACCTAAGTCCAGCTGTGGGACATTAAAAGGTTGAAAGCAAACACAAACCTAAATTAACTAAGTATACAGCTGCATTATACAACCGCCACCTAAAACTATATTTTCTTTTTAAATTCTAGATTGGGTAGACAGTTCAGGAATCACGCTACATTTGACAGCAAACAGGCGTCAATACGACGCGGCTATAATGGAGCTGGGTTTGGAGTACACGGATAAAATGGCGATCCCGGGACGTCAACCAGCATTTCCTCTGACAGCACATTGCATTCCACAGTGCACTGGAGTGGTATTGTATAAAAATGTCTTCTCTTATCAAAAGCGTGTCAAATGTTATTTTCCCCAGTGGAACATAAGGTGAACATCTGTCTGTTTACCTGATCTCTTTGCTCTCAGGTGTCTGCGTCCTCAGGTCTGTGCTCTGCCCGACCGAAACAATTTATTGCTCCCCTAGGATTTGAGCCCAGATAAAGCAAAACTAGCGTTTAATGTTAGAGGGCTGCTCTCTAAGTCTATACTAATATTATAAAGCCGGAGAGTTTGTTGGTTTGAACGCGCTATATTCAGGAATTACCGTGTTATTTGTCAAACATGGCCATTTTATCGAGAAAGGCTATGGTCTGTAAAATATCAAGCTGTGACTAATACGAGCGAATAAACAGTAGGAAATTTAGAACAAACGTGGAAAAATATTCGTGTTTGATTGTTTTCGTTGTGTGCGCTGCGTTCATAGTTCAATATATCAAACAAATATGTATGAAAGAATTTATTCATTAAATGATCGAAAAAACTGTCCACCACAGTATATGTTTATCTTTCAAGATTAACCTGTAAGAAGGACGGGGCGCGGTGGACGTCGTGGGCAACAATTTACAACTTTAATTTACAAAGATGAGGTGGAGGTTTGAAAAAACAATTTTTGATTTCCAAAATAACTATTCTACACGGACGAAGTCGCACGCACAAGCACAGCTAGTAATTACTATGAAATATTTTCTAATATCAACCAACAATACAGGGCTTGCCGAAGGAAGGAATCGTTGTATTCGGAAGTCAACTACACACACATCTAACAGGGATAGCGGTATGGACCAGACATTTTCGTCGCGGTATCGAACTGCCAGTACTCAATAGAGATTTGCACTATTCCACCCATTTTCAAGAAATAAGGATTTTACATCGACCGGTTCAAGTGTTGCCTGTAAGTAAGAAACGGGGTGAGGTAATCTAGTATAATCCCAACAAAAAAAGCGATTACCTCAAATTCTTCTAAAAACTGTAAGCTGTAGTTTACGCGAGTAGTGCACATTTAAATAAAACATTTCAACGGTTTAAAACGCGTAATATATTAGTGAAAATTGTTTATAAAATATTTTTAACTACTGATAATGCAAAGCATCCGAAAAGTCGGGTCGTAGTTAAAAATAATTTGTAAACAAGATTAGATTTTTCGCGTTTAAATAAAGGACTAACTTTTTAAAACGCGATAGATATTAATCAAACTTATTTAAAAGTTATTTTAATTACGGCCAGACGTTTCAGTCTCCCCGTGACCACGGCAGCGGCAAAGCATCCGAAATTTCGGGCCGTAGGTAAAATTATTTTCAAATAAGTTTAACTAATATATTTCACGTTGTAGGTAAGCCGTTAGTGTTTTATTAAAACGTGTACTACTCCCGCAAACTATAGACCGCGTTTTAAACCATTATAGTGTTTTATTTAAATGCCCACCAACTAAACTGGTGGTTATCGGAGCTGACGGCTTGACATTTGAAGGTGGAGGTGAAATGTATGCACTGACTATTAGTTCTAGTCTTTTTCTATTTCTTTTCTCCTGTACCTCAGGTTGCCTGAAAGAGATCGCTACTTAGCGATAAGGCCATTTTTTATTTGTAACAAATAAATAGTTCCAAGAGTCAGTTACCACTTCTATTTAATAAGCTCCATCTTCTTCCTTCAGGGTGATTACCTGATGACTACATGCCTATTCAATACCCTGGACAAAGAAAACGCAACAATTGGTGGACATGCGATCACAGATGAAATGTGTGTAAATTATATACATTACTATCCGGCGTCAGAACTGGAGGTTTGCAAAAGCGCCATTTCAAATGTTGCCCTAGAGAGTTATTTTAAATTTGAAAAGAGGTAAGGTGTAAGTAATATCTATTTTTTTATGATGAAGAAGGATAGACTAACATGGGCGCCACTTGATGGTAGGTGGAACCCCAACCATATGATATCTAAACAAGTTGTACTGTATTTTGGCTTTGGATATTCGGAAATCCACAGACTGATACCAAAACGCGATTAAACTTCCCTCTAAACTGTGGACACGGATAGAATTTAGATATTTCTACTGCTCGTTTTGTATCCAGGTCTCCAGACGAAGTTTAATGTGTTCCAAATAAGTTATTAATTAATTAAAATGTTGGACCCGGTGGGGATCGAAGCCATACATTGCTACCTTTACAGAGTCAAAAAAGTGGTAGCGTTATGTCTATTCGTAATGGGTATAAAATGTTAAACCGCCAAGACACAGTACCTAATTTAAAGTGTATAAGAAGGGAGCTTAGACAATATACAGGATTACAGGTTGAGTCGACCTAGATCCTTTAAGGGGTTTGAGTTTCCATCGTTTCTGACTAATTTGTGTATAGAAGACGCTATCCCAAACTTAAGCATTTTTAAGCTATGGCACATTTAAACTTTTGAGAAAAATATCCGACTTTTTGTTTATTGTCTATATTAACCCTTAAAGGACTTAGGTCGACATTACCTGTTACCGTGATTATTGTAATTTTTGTGCATGACAGCAATAAATAAATATTGAATTTCACTACACAATTGATATTTAAAACAATCGGTGCAAAATGATTCCCAAAACATTCCAAATTATCAAAAATACACAACTTAATTGAATATGTAAATGTTAAAGTTGCACGTTGTGCATTGCGCGAGAGGTGTGAAAATATTCGACGATGACTTGTAGGAGAGTGTACGGTAGCTGAAGTGCTTAGAGCAACAGCACGGTACCTACTGTGGATGCCGGTTCAAGTTCCATCCGTTGTATTTTTTTTCAATCTAAATATATTTTTAATTTAACGTTATTCAATTTCTGCCAATACTAGTTTAAAAGGTGTAATTTTTACTGTGTTATTTTAGGTGGGATAACATGCCTATATCGTATAAAGCGCCACCTCGTGCTAATTATTTGTCTATAAGACCGTGGACAGCATTGAGAGTAAATAGCTTAGATTTATTGTACGACAAATCCACAATTTCTATGCAGTGTAATAAATCTGATGGGAATCGATTTCAGGTATCATCATTTTAATTATGGACAGAATCCACTATGTTATATTATTTCTCCTAAGGTTTCTAGATCAGCGGCTGCAAAAATGTACGCGAAATCCAGCTCGTTGCTAAACCAAAACATATATCGGTTAACTTATTTTTAATTTAATATGTATAACTACGGCCCAACGTTTCGGACACTGTGCAACTGCGAGGTACGGGACAAGATACTTGCTGGACCCGGTGGGGACCGAACAACCCGTTCATTATTATTAACTAGGATTAGAATTTATAGCTTTGTTTTTAATATTTGGTTGTGTATCTATTTACAGGGTGATTGGGAAGGCATATACATTCCCAGGATCAAACTACCACTTAAATCAGAACCAAGACACTGTCCAAAGGAGTATTTATAAACCATGTTAGATAATTTGTTGTTACAAATATTATTATAACTACATATATGTAATAATATTATAGAATATTAACTTTTATGAACTTCCCCTGACATGTAGTTTAATGCCAGTGTGTAGGAATCTGTGGAATTAAATACGTGTATTCCGTTTTAAATTGTTTTACTTGGTACTTCAGTAACCAAATAGCCAAATTAACACAATGCACAATAGCCAATCTATGGATAAAAGCAATTAATATTTTTTAATCCATAAAATAATATCATTTATACACTATATGACTAATCGATAAAGGCTTAAAGCACAACCCTATATAACGTTAAAATCCAACTGCGACGTTATATTTGAAGGTACTTAGATCACATTTTACTTATTTACTTATTTAATACATTAAATTTTAAAGGAATTATAATAGGCTCAAAAATTTGAGCACAAATTTTTATTCAACTCATACTCATATATCAACAACATTAATGTTTCCAATCATCGGTATCGGTACTTTATTGTTTTAGTGCTTATAAGGATCCAAATGTTGTCCTTGTTGTCCTTCTCCTTTAGCAATGTGCTAGAACGAGATGGCATAACTTGATTGTTTCGTCTCAAAATTTTGCTCTTTGACAACTGACATTTAATATTGTCAAATGTCAATATCACAAGTTCATTGTAAGGTGTATTAATGTCATTGTCAATGGTCGGCTGGATTATGTATGAAAGTTTGAATTGAATATTTTAGTATTTTTGCTTCTTTAATTGTGTTTTAAGTGAAATTTCATTTACGGTATAATATATCCAAAGCCGCACCATGTCTAGAGAAGTCGGTTTCAATAACGATGATTCTCCTAACAAAACAAATACGCACCTACAGCTTCCAAGCCCAATTATAACTAGACGAAATAGAACTGCTTCTACGTAAGTTATTGAATTATTAACAGCACTGGCTCATTTGCTTCCTTATACTTATAAGTTACTGTTTTACAGATCGGAAAGGGCGTTAGGTAATCCCGTCGAGACTGGCAAAATTAAGTCGTTTTGTAGAGAAAAAGGTCATGGCTTTGTGACCCCAGTGCGCGGTGGTGAAGATCTTTTTGTACATATCTCAGAGTAAGTATTGAAAAAGACTAGTTTTTGTATTATACCGATCGTTGTAATAATGATATCTTTAAAAGTTCTAATTTCTTTATATCTTAGTTCACATACCTACTAGATTGGTGTCTACTAAGTACTTATTTTGTTTGTAACACTTTTACATATAGGTACTTCCTTCCTATGTTTAATTAAGTCATTGAAGCGGTTATGATATGTGTAGAATTTGACTTTCAAGTTCCACACATGTATATATATATATAATTTTATAGTTAAATATTTTTATTATTACATATATTTAATAAAGCATTATTGATAATCACATTGATTGACATCTTTAGAGTTGACAAATGATGTTAAAGACTTGTATTGTTTATTCAGTATTGAAGGTGAATATGTGCCCCTGCCCGGAGATGAAGTAATGTACCGATTGTGTCCTATACCACCCAAGTTTGAGAAGAACCAAGCCGTCCATGTCCGAATTGTCCATCTGACACCGGAAAAGCATTTAAAATGGGATGAACCTATGCCATAAAGTGTATTAAAATCGATAACAAACCTTATATTTCTGACATTGGCGAAATACTTAATTTAATGTGTAAATTAGGTTTCTTTTACTTGTCACCTGTGTTAGTTTTCCGAGCGTATCTTGTTTAAGTATAATTAAACGTCAGGCACAACAAATGTAATGACCCATATAATTTTCCATACTTGTCAATGTTAACATTGACAAATATTTAAGTAAACACTTACATACTTACTTTTAACAACAAGTGATAATATTTATTTAATAAGCATTAACTACAGGTTGTAGCTAGCCACTGACAAGTAAAACATTGGTAGGCTCCGGATTTTATTATTACGAATATGAATCCATCAATCCAGAATGGCTATTTTTCTGTCTTTTTGTTATAGCCAATGCACAAATATACTATTTTTATAGTTTTCAAGTTACCATAAGCCGGTGCTCACTAGCAAAATACACATTGTACAACAAACAAATTACAATCTCATTACGGTATGGTATAATTTGTGCCATTTAGTATTATACTAGCACGATTGCTTCTTTATCGGTGTCATCACACAACCAAGACGTCCCATATAGGAATAAGCAGACTTGGTTACCGGTTGCTAGTGTGCATGTTTTTGAATTAATGTATCAAGCTATCTTAGTATAAGTTTCTTTCAATTTCAGAACTAAGTTCTACTAACAATAGTTAAGATAACGGTACTGCAGTATGCATAATTGTAGAGGTGGGTTAGAATGTGGTGCTAAATTTTTGAGAGTTTTTACCATCTATGATATTGATTGTGAAGGAGAAAACAGCTGATGCTATTTGGAGTTGTTTCAGTGCTTTACATAGTGTAGGTAATAAATATAGTGTGCGCGCAAAATGGTTACAAAATTGAATTGGTAAAGTTATACCTTTGAAAACTTTATTATTTTTTACATGCACTTGCACATTTTACATTATTACTTGCACATGAAGGCAGTATGTAATTTAAAAATCGAAAATAAATTGGAAAAAATTTCGACTCGGGCAGGATCTCGGACACATCTAAATATAACAACTTTAACGGTTTAAAACGCGAAATCCGTTAAATTTATTTACAAATTATTTTAAATATGAAGAGTAAATAAGTTTAATTAATATATTTCGCTTTTTAAACTGTTTAACGTCTATTCATTTTTTTTAAATATTTTGCGCGCACCAATCAATCATTCAAGGCCTAAAAACAAGGTCAATTTTGCACAATTAAGTTGTAATTTAAGTTTTTCGGTAGCAACGAAATTGAGAGCCCCAACCAAGTATTTCATGATTAGTGCATTTATAACAAGATGTTACGCATTTAAGTAGCCATGTTTCTGAAACATTATTTTTGTACAATTTTATTCATTCCATGTATTACGAATGAAACGGTTGCCAAGCTTTGTGTTTATAGTTAGGTTATGTATGGAATATATGTGACTTATGAAATGAAATGTTTTATTTCAAGCTTCATTGAATCGTTTATCAAGGTCTTTTTTTATGCAAGATGCTATCGACCTATTTTGGTTTGTATATTGGAAATCCACAGACTGAAATCGAAACACGATGAAGGCTTTGTATTCGTGGACGGTGATTCCTGCCCGGACAAAATGTCAATATTCCTACCACCCACTTAATATCCAGAAACAACACGTTTCGAAAAATTATAAATTGATTAGAAATATTTGGAGCAACTGATTAATAGCCCCACATTGCTACCGTTACACCACGAGCCCATCTTATATGTCTTAATAATGAGTAAACAATCGTTTTGATTTTGCACAGTCTATTACTGTATCTATCTTCTACAAGTAACTGACTCCAATTGTTTAAATCACGATAAATGATAACAAAGTATTGTTTGTATTGTGAAGTCACATTAATAAATAAATAAAACATCCGAAATGTCAGATAATAGTTAAATTAATTAAAAATAAGTTAGCTAACATATTTCACGTTTTAAAGCGTTAAAAGTGTTTTATTTAAATAACAAATACAATTCGTATTTAAATGGCATACTTAGTTGCAGGTCTAACGGGGTTCAAATCTCGAGAAACTAAACAATAGTTTTAGGCGAGGCACAAAGAATATCTAGATTTACAATCCAGTTGTCCCTTAGTGGGACAGACGGATTGATATAGGTGGGCGAGTGTTGTTTTTTGCCATGCCGCAACGAAACAATTTTTTAGGGTTTTCCTGTGCCATGGAGGCATAAACTTACAACATAGATACTGTAAAGTTTGAATTAACGCAAGGGCATTTGCAACATTATCACCGTTGTCCCAAATGGTTTGTCAAGGTTTGCCATTTATCACCTTGTTATCAAATTGATTGTTACACTTGATAAAAGCGTTTGGCACCACTTAGACTACGTACATTTTGATAATTTGTCATATAACACTTTTAGTGAATTAACATGTAAAATATAAGTTAACTAGCCGTTGTAGCGTTTTCATCAAAATTGTTTGCAACCTCTCATCTTTGTAAATAATAACTGACCCATGACGTCGTCCGTGTCCTGTCGTTCTTGCAAGTTATTCTTAAAAGATAGATATATACTATCGCGGCCTTTTAGATTTATTAAAGATAAATAATTCTTTCATATAGTTTTTTTGGTATCTTGAATCGTTTTCGCGTTGCACGAAAACCCACAAAGATGAATAATCTCCCCCTTTTTTAACATATTTCCCACTGTTTCTTCGCTTTCGGTCGAAGTTGAAGTTTTATAGCATAAAGACTTCCTCGGTAGAAGATCGAAACAAAAATATTTATTCAATTCGATTCAATAGTTCCTTAGATTAGCGCGATCAAACAAACAAATCTTTAGCTTTACTTAGCAAAAAAAAAAACTTTGGTTATTGGGTTGAACAACTGCTAGTTATATCTAATTGAAGTTTAAAGCGCAATTATGGCTCTTTATTCAACCAAAAAAATCGTGCTTTCTCCAGAGTTGGAACCAATAGACGACTCTTCTGATAAAGTAGGGCAATGAAATGAAACAAGTAACTAGAATACGTATTTTATTCAGCTTGATTACAAATGACATGTATATAAATAATAAACAAACTGCCTTACAACTAGAAAAATCACTCCATTATTGTTTATGTCGATATTAGCTCTAACGATAAAATAAGGTAAACAAAAAAATATAACATGGTAGAGGTAAAACTGTTTCTTAAAGCTTAGTTTCACCAACTGGGGGTGGGACAAATTTAAAAAGTAGTTAATATAGTACTTTCGGTATACGGTGATGTAACCAAACAAGATAAATTGATTCTTTTTATAATCGAAAGCCAAACGCAATCTGTCGCTTTCCGAACTCCATTGTTTATAAATTAATAAAACGCTTTATACGGTTTCAAAAACATCTTTTTTATTTAAGGGTTGGGGGGGGGGGGTTGTTTAAACTGATATATTTGACGTTTTAAACCGTTCAGTGTGGTTGGTTGGTTACCATTATGCGCAATTATTTTAGTTACACCACCACCATAGTCATAACATGGGACACACTATCTATTATTCTTATATTGAAAATACTATAATAACACGTCTAGTAAGGCAGAAAGGTGCCATATTTGATTTGTTACGCGCAGCTAGTAAATGGCGAAGTTACCTTACACTTAAAATTCTAAGAACTTGCATCACTTATTCTATTAGTCTTCCGTCATGGATATTTTACTTACCACGGGGCCGTAGGGACGAATATATGGATTAGAAAAGTAATGGGCAAAAAAACTTTGGTAGCATCGAGTATGCATACAAAATAGAGGCATCGAATATTATGTGTATGTATAATCATTGTATAGCTCCCCCCCCCCCATAAAACAAATGAAGTCCTAAGGCCCCTATTCTACTGGACAACATCAACTAGTAGTAACTAAAAACAACAACTACCCAAAATATTTAAGACATCTATAATCACTTCACCTAAACAAGTTTAAGGTCGAGTTACCAGTAGGTTACGCCCACTGACCATTTTCTGTCCTTTTTCTTTGTAGAAGGTTGTGGAAAAGAGACAGTGCTCTAGTTACTCGTTTGTCTATATAAGTGTTAATATATAAATTGACATTACAAATCTGTATAAATGCAAGAGCAGAATGTTTTCGTTGATAAAATGCGCCAAGTCTCATCTTTCAATGTATATTTTTGTATTCAAAAGACCCGCTTTCGTTGAAAAAGTTCTTCATTCTTTTCCATTTTCAATGTTGCCGTTCTGTAAAAAGTAAAATGTTAATCAAAAAGTATACTAAATATGACGCTGCTAGAAGCAGAGTGGCCTAATAACAAAAAACATGATGTTCAATATGAAGAAAAATAAAAATGCGCAATTAACTTAAGCAAATATGAATTAAGTAAAATTATTTCTGTATAAATAATTTTAACAATTTTCGGTCACTGTGCTCGTGTAGATTAACATTTTTATATAAAATATAAAAAAGTTAAGTTATGAAATTGCAGTTAGGCTATTCTGTCTAGGGGCCTCATATTATAAGATAGAATTTAAATGCATACTTACAATAATAAATATTATGATTAATGTATGTATTCAACGACCGAGTACTTTTGTATCTATGTACTGTTATTACCTCCTCGACATGCGCTAAGTGGTAGTGTCTCTTGCGCAACGCGGCAAGTCGCGCTCTCTCTGCGTCCAACGCACTTTCTAGTTCCAACGCTCGCACTTTGCTTTCCATTTCTAGACGCCTGGTTGCTGTTAACGTCAGGGCGGATGTGTCTAATGCCTCTGCAAAAATAACCTAGTATTAGAGTTTAAATATATTACTAACGGTTTAAAAGGCGAAGAATATAGCCGTGGTCACGGGCAGACACGGGCTGCTGCGAAGCATCCGAAAAGTTGGACTAAGTTAAGACAATTTCAAAATAAATTTAACTAACATATTTCGCGATTTAAACCGTTAAAGTAATTTGTTTAAATGTGTAATACTCGCGTAAAACTACAGACAGTATTAAGTATTAGAAATAGAACAAACAAAACGAGTAGAAAGGATTTAAGAATTATAAAAACTAAAGTCCAAAGCTTTAGCCAAAAAGGCTTTCCTTCTGTATATCTGGCCATATATGTATTTATCAAACTACAAATAAAAAACAAATTTACTTACCCTTATCCCTGACAAGAGCTGAAGCAGAGCGTACAGCGGCGACCACTGCCCCAGTTGCCATAGCAACCGCTCGCGACGCGGTAGTAAGTCGCGCGAGAGATGGCGCTGCAGGCGGTGCGCGCGCACGTGACGCGGCTACTAACTGCGCAGTACTACCGGCGACCTCGTGTGCAGCTGCGCTCACGCCTTCCACTTTGCCCGCTGTCGCCACCGCTTCATCAGCACTCGAACTAAAAATCGTTTATAATAAAAAATAACCTCATCCGTTCACTTATCCATTTATAAATCGAACCCTCGACGCGTTGATTATTACTCACACTAATAACTTTGCAGCGAAAACGACAGCTTTCGCCGCGGATATGAGTCCCTCAGACCACTGTGGGTTGCGGCGATACATTTTCTGCCGCGTCTTCGGATCGCCCAATTCATTTTGCAGCGCCCGCGAATCCTGCACCAGCACCTTGACGGCGCTCATAAGTGTCGTACAGGCGTCCAATATTTTACCATTCACCTCGAGCTGTACTCCCGAGTCGCCGGCTTTGCTCGCAGCTAACAGGTTCTATAAATAATGTTTAGGCATTTATAAGTTTTTATACGTTGTATGTAAACATTTTAAATTACTTTCAATAACATACTTTTAAACTCGAAATATATTAGTTATCTTCAATTTATTTTGTTGTTAAAAGGTCCCTAATGTCAAAGTCAAATCTTCTCGTTAGCGCCATCTGTCTCATCGTAGTTGGTGTTTGAAGAAACATGGTTTTGGATGTATAAAGAAGTTGTTAACTTGTGATATTAACTTGCAAGAACGAAGGGAATGAGGAGGTTAGCAACAACAAATTTTATTGCCCAAAATAACAATTCTACGCGGACTTTATGAAATGTAAAAGTTTAGTACGAATTGTGTGGTATAATATAATATTTATTTATTGTACTATCGAACACAGTGTGCAAACCGCATACTGACCTCAATTTGAGAAGCGGCTTGTTCTATAGCCCTGTCCATATCCGCGAGTTCGTCGTCGACACTTCTAGCGCCGCTGGCGAGACGATCCGCGGTGGCTGCACTGCGTGACACCGTCTGTACGTTTGTACGCGCTTCGAGGCATATACTTCGGTCTACCGTACCGGTCTTGATAGACTCCAGACACTGTTTTGTTGCTGATAACATACTACGACAATCGTTGTTCAATTCTGCAAGGAATGATGTTTGAAAATTACAAATATATTTTATTAGCACCAAACATCTACTTTACTTACTTTATCGAAATGAGAAATTATTTAGTTGGTTAGGCATTGATCAAGGAAGATTTTAGTATACAAAACATTAGCCTGGAACCAATAGGAGCGGAGAAACAGTGAGAAGTGAAGAAAAAAAAACAGAGAAAATTGTTCACCCTCGAGGATTTCCGTAGCGTGCGCTGCGTAAACGGTTTAAGATACCCAAAACATATGTATGAAATAATGATTCCTCATTAAATGATCTAAAAAAAGACTACGACACTATATCTTTTAAGATTACATTTGCAAGTCGTGGCTAAAGTAAAGTTACAGCTTAAGTTTAAGATGAAGACGAGGTTAGCTAAAACAAATTTTGATGACCAAAATACCAATTCTATGCGGACAAAGTCGCTGGCACAGCTAGTTATTTATATAAAAATTAAATTTCATTGTAACGCCCTTGTAGTAATGCGAGTTTTAAAAAAAGTATATGCTTGATTTAATAGTGCATAGTTTAAAGTACGTACTTTCAACAAGCTCCATATCCGTTGAGAGGTTTGATAATTCAGCCGCGTACGCAGACAACTGCGAAGCGTTGTGTGCAGCGTATATTGCAGATTTGGCCACAATTTCCTCATTGCCTTCCACCTGCGAATACGAATATTACTTTTCAATAACACCGAAACACATTAAATGCATAATAATTTCAAAGACAAAAAAAATATTAAGACTAAGTGGTAATACTAAAAATTATAAAAAGAGTGAGCTTTTAAAAAAAAATAGAAACATTTTTTAAGATAAAGGAGGACAAAGAAAGGGTTCATCTGATGGAAAGACATACAACGTAAACAAGATGAGCCGTCAACCTATTTTAGCTTTGGATATTCAGAGATTCACAGACGGAAACCGAAACGCGATCGCAGCTTGACCCGGACGAAAATTCGATATTCCTGCCAAAATAATTCCAAACATATTTCAAAATTATAAATCGATTAAAAATATCTGTACTGTCTGTAGTTTACGAGTAGTACACATTTAAATAAAACACTAACGGTTTAAACATGTTGGGCTCGGTGTGGATGGAACCCGATACCCGTCACTTATTAGCCATACATCGCTACCAACTTATTACCAACAAATTAGACCAACGAGGCCATAAAAACGAAGTCTCACCTGCGATTTCCTAGCCAGATCTTCAAACGCCTTAGACGCAAGATCTGCAGCCAATTTGTTCGCGTCCTGCGAGTTCGAGTGTTCCAACGTAGATAAAGCATTATTGGTTACTTCTAGGGCTGCTTCACTGGCGCAGCTTAGTATTTTCGCGTTCTCTATAATCAGATGTAATTTTTTTTACATTCTAGTAACCTAGCCATATCTTTTAGAAGAATGTTAATGAGAACAAATGTTACGCAGTCAATTATTACTATATAACATTCATTTAACATGATATTTCTAGAACTCACAAATATCAAACTACCCTCATATCCACAAATATCTACTTACGCTTCTTAATCTCAAGTTGTGCTTCCTCCAGCTGTATTTTTAGTGATGCCAAATCAGCTTCCAGCACTGTATTGTGTTGTAACAAATCCTGCAATTCACACTCGGCGTTCAGTCGACCCTCCTCAATATGCATAAGCCTAGCCTCCATCAACTATTCGAGAAATATACTTAACGAAAGGCCGCGGAAGTCCAAAGCCAGAGGATTCCATGCAATCGAAGAACAGCGAAGGCGCAGGTATAGGAAAAAATAAATCATGCCATTAGATAAATATTTACATGCAACAATAAAAATGCGTAGCGTAGAAAAGATATGAAAACAAAATGGCTCCTTAAATAACAAAAAACAATCGAAGACATATATGGATACTGTACAAGCTCCTTTGGAGTTGTTTAGCATAAGATTTTTCATCGAAGGCATTAAGGTTTTGAAATAGTTGTAACCGGGCGTTATTTCACCACTATTAGCGCAAGTAAAAACTTACGTGTTTGATATAAATAACGAGTAAACACAATACGCAAATATACAGACAGTAAATAATTAAATATATATATAGACATTTCACAACGTTGAATTAAATAAAAATATTTAGTAGTCGAGTTTTAGTTTTCTCAAAAATTTGCTTCTTGTTTAAAATCTAGGTCAATAACAGACAGCGGACGACACAAAACAGTCACCCCCGACACGAACCTGTTTCTCCGTAGACAATTCATTTAATAAATTTTCATTTTCGAGACTAATTTTATCCTTCTCTTTAACCAGCTCATTGTACTCTTCGTCCTTTTGCTTCACTATATTGCTTATTTCATCTCTTAGTTTCTCAATCTCTTCGAATTTAGCTTTATCTAAATCTTCGAGTTTATTCCGAAGCTCCAAAATTTCCGCCTGCTCTTGATTGATAGAATTCCTAAGCATGATTTTATTTGATTTCTCTTCTTGTAGTTGACTTGTCAAAGTTTCGACTTGTTGCTCAAAATTCCTAACTGTTGCGTCATTCGTTTTTTGTATTTGATCTAAATTGTTAGTCAATAATGTTATCTGTTTATCTTTCTCTAGTAAGTTGTTTTCATAATTTAGTTTACAAATTTCCAATTCACCATTAATTACTGTAAGCTTTCCATGTGATTCTTTAATTTCTAGTTCTTTTGCTTTAAGGCATTCTTCGAATTCTACATTTTTGGCCTTTATTAACTCACTAAGATCATGACATTCCTTTTGCAACGCTTGTTCCGAATCGGTTAATTTAAGTTTAAGACTGTCTAGTTCTTTTTCTAATGTGTTAGTGTGTTGTGTCTGAGCCTGATGAAAATCAATATAAAGTATAGCGCATGCAAAATGAGAGCTACATCTAAGCATTAGCACCTATAATCTATGTGCAATAATTATTTACAATACTATTGTACATAATAATAATAATAATGATTTAAAAAATTCGACGACACAAGCGTTCTCCAATGGAGCTTCCGGGTTTTCGCTTGTGTTATCGAGCTTAGCATTTCTAATGACGCAATTAAAGTTTGACTGCAACATTTACTTATTAATTAATTATAAATGCTACTTATTCTTAATGTCATTTCTATATGCATATACTGACCTCTTTCTCCTGTTGATATTTAATCGTCAATTCCGTAATCTGTTTTAAAGCGTCATCTTTCTCTTGCAAAACTCTTTTGTAGTCGTCACCACTCTTCTGTCTCATGCTCTGTAGCTCCTCCTTCACTTTCGCTAGCTCCGATTCGCTCTCCACTTTCTCCTTCTTAAGTTTCTCCACATTTTCTGATGCTTCTTTTAGTTCACTTGCGATTATCGATATTTTCTCTTCTTGTTCGGCTGTAGCGGTCTTGTGTTCGATTTGAAGAGCTTCCATAGATGCTCTCAATGTTTCTAATTCGACCTCTTTTTGCCTCGACTGTTCTAATTCACTGCGTAGATTTGCCATTTCACTTTTGTACGCTTCGATTTCTTCACTGGACGACGTGCTTTGTTGCAGTAATTCAACATCCCTGAGGATTGTAAAAAAGATTAATAAATTATCAATTTACAAAAATAATCGTCAAATTTACTAAAAGTCAAGCCATAAACCATGAAAATCGTATCGGCTGTTCTCATGTTAAAATGTTGGGTAACAAAAGAAGACGTGTCACACATGTACACGGCCAAACAAGGTCTTAGCAGAATTAGGATGTATCCTAATTAAATTGAACGATGAAAATGTGCTTACTTCATACGGTCGTTTAACTGTTGCTGTAGCATTGTTTTAGCACTCTCGTGTTGAGCCGCGGCCGCGCGTAAATTCGCTGTCAATTTGTCGACCTCGGCTTTCTGAGGATAAATAATTTTATGCTATAATAATAAGATTAAAACCACCTTTAGGCCCGAACTGAACAACCAATAGAATAGAATATAAAAAATCTATAGTATATAAACACCTTGTTTATGTAGCGTCATACTCACTTGTCTAATTAGAGCGATATGTTCCTCACGCAGCTGCGTATAAGCACCTTTTAGCTTTTGGAATTTCTCGTCAGTCACCTTTGCTTTTTCTTCAGTTTCAGTTAGTTTTTCTGGAATTAAGAGAATTTTCTGTTTTAAATCTATATCATTAAGCAATATGACGATTTAGACATTAAAATAATTACTTTTAACGGTTTAAAACGCGAAATGTATGAGTAAAACTGATTTACACATAAGATAATTCATTACTTTTTATTTGAGGTGTTTCCACAGCCAAAATGTCAGCCTTTTGTCTCTCCTCTTCAAATTCAAGCTAAAAAACAAATCGAGATATAAATGAAATGTACATAGAACATAACAGGTTGTATGTCTGTTTCACTGATATTTTTTTTTAAAGATTAACAAATTGTACCTTATCTAAGTAAATTTCAAATGGTATCAAACTATCATAAGATAGTGATTAAAAAAGTTACATACCCTAGCAGATTGTAATTGTGTCTCCATCCTTGTGCAATGCTCTCGCATGGATCCCAGCATTGTGTTTCTTTCCTGAACTATTTGCGATACTTCCGTCCTGTTCACAAATAATATATTATTAGGCAGTTTATTTATTACTATGTATTTTAAATGCCGTCCTGTTTACTTGAAAAATTAATGATATACGTTACAAAGAGAAAACTTATTGTAGATAATGTATGTTTCACAGTTGTTGTTATTATTTTTAATAATTATAAGATTCAGTCATCTGTATTATAGAGTAGTATTCATGAAAATGCTTACCGCATTCTCTTCAGTTCGTTCTGCAAGTGGTCAATAAGTCGATCGCGCTCAACAAGCGGATCGGGTAGAGGAGAAGGCGTAGTGCGCGAATGTGTTTCTAAAGATTCGTGACGCTCCGGAGTTGGTACCTATATAAACGATAGCAATTAGTTTGTCCGGCTTGAAGGACCATAAAATTGGAACTGTTATTTATTAATTTTCATATATTTGCGTACGGTTCCTAGCTATATGTGTGGCTTCAATAACATTTTTAAAGACTTAAATTTACCTACCTGGCTTAAAGTTTCTGAAGTATCAATTAGCGAGCCAATAGTGTCCACTTCGTCTGGTGGCGGTTCGGGTATTGACACGACTGGCGCCACGTATGTGCCAAAGTCACTCTAGAATTAAAAATATACGGTTAAGTGTCTTATCCGACAGAATGTAGTAGAAATTGATCTCTCATAATCTTTATATAACATAGAATATACCTGTAATAGGAAGTTGGGGGGGTTCGAAGGTAAAACTGGCAGTGTAAGTAAGTTTCTGTAGTATTGAAGACTGCTCGCGTGTTTGTAGAACGAACTGAGCTTTTTGAACTGTTGTCGGAATCTGTGAAAAAGATCTTTTATTGTAGTATTTGTGCCTTTATTTTAATAGTTTATTGCGAGATGTGCTAAAACCATTTAAATATGCTAACGACAGAGTACAAAAAGAAAACAAAATAAGTGTCTTTCTGTTCAGTTGTATAAAGCATTCGCGGCCATTTTGTAAAGCTACTTGGATTTTTGAGCTGTTTAGCAGTCGATTTAAGACGATTGAGGTCCATTTTCCATTTACGACGGCCAAACAGTTCACAAATACAAAGCATTGTCAACGGACACATTCATGTATTTCGTACAAGTTACGTGAACATTTCTCGTTATTCTTAGTTTTAGATTTATTGTTTTTTAAAACGAACAAAACTTCCTATTTTTTTTTAGTTTAGGTGTATGACAATAAATACTGTCTATAGTTTACGCGAGTACTACACATTTAAATAAATCACTGTAACGGTTTAAAACGCGATATATATTAGTTAAACTTATAAACAGCTTGTATCCGAAACGTCGGGCCGTACTTAAAATAATTTTCAAATAAGTTGAACTAATTTGAAACGGCGTTTAAAACCGTTAAAGTGTTTTATTTAAATACGTGACGATAACCAGAAAGCTATCTGATTCCGTACCTCTCTCTATGCCCACTGAGGGTATCAGCTGGTAACGACGCATGCAATCTGAACAGCAGTCGTACATTGCAGTCGTAAATCTGCGACGAATCCTGCGCACAAGGGATTAACGCAGCCAGACGACACTGACCGCTAGCTGTCATAGAGTTAGCTCGTGCGTTACCAAGACTGTCAAATACTGAAAATCGATGTTAATTTTAATGAATATGATGGTAAACATATCTTCGATATTTTATTCACACTTTAAAATGATTTACAGCTTTTAAAAAAAATAGGAATCTATACTAGGAAAAAGTTATTGATTTATTTATTTGTTTAAAATACTGATTACTCACCTGCTGCTTGTAAATTAAGAATATCATCCATATAGTCAAACAGTTCTACACACAGTTGAAAGCTGAAAAAGAAGTATTACGTATAAATTGAGGTACGAGACTTAACGCACTGCTACAGGCATTTTTTGCTGAAGAAGTAAAAAATTTAATAAATAAATAAAAAAAATGTAGGTACTTGAATGCGGCGGTAGTTGGAAATAAAAAGGCCTTGGCGTGCACGGACGACCGTTTCTAATGATCTCCTTTAAAATTCAACATATTCTTACGTATATACAATCAATTTATTTATAAGTAATATAAAATTAATCCTTACTAGTTGTTGACGTCGTTTTCAGCAATCGCATCCAACTCTTCGACCGTGAGCTGCAGATTCCCGGGAAAGCGCGGATTGCGCGCGTGGAACTTGAGCTTGCTGACGAGAAGTATGCAATATAGGTGGATTAGCCTGCCGTAGCCTTCGCGAAGGTGCATCTTAAATGTTAATAAAGCCTTTAATATCTTACAGTAATAACTTAATAGAAGCCTACTTAAAAACTAAATATAAATTCTGATTTGTATTAAAGTGATCGGAAATTGGTTACTTTTGCTGAATAGCTTGTCTATCGACGAAGGCCTCCAAGGAGTTCCACTTATTCTTGTCTTTACAAAACAAATCTTTTCCCTACTGGACTAGATATCCGTAGATCATCATTTGATCTGTTTGTTTTATATGCCTTTCTTTCCTTTACCATCCCTTGGATACCTATAGGGATGTCCCTTGATACTACTCTTTATTCACCTACTTCATTTGTCTATAATTGTTCTCTCAAGATATGTCCCGTCCAACACTATTTGAGCACTCTCAGCATTTTTGAATTTTTTTTTTTTTGTAATTTTATTATCTCCTTTTTATACCCAAACTGCTTCTTTCGGAAGTGGGCGTGCATTAGGCATTCACACCATCAGTAAAAAAAAGACTTACCCACAGCTTCCCCAGGTTCGCGATCATGTTGATGTGCCGCTGCGAGTCATCGAGACAGGCGGGGTGGCCCTCGCGCAGCAATTTGTGGGTCACATGGCAGAACTTCCAGGCCACGATCCGGTTGTCCTGAAGCGGCTGCCGTATAACCACCATCTGGGTAGGCAGCCACGTTAGAATGTGGTAGTTAATTCAATATGTTCGGTTTCATTTGGTAGAAATTCCTCACCCAGTATGTGATGGCGCTTTGTTCTTGAAACGTTCCGATGATAGCGCTGCGGACATGTTTCTCCTTAACCGGTGCCTCTATTGAATTTATTCCTTTCTGTATAGCTAATGTCTGTAACAAAATAAATACAGTGTAAACTCTATATAGCGACACTGAAGGGACTGTGCATTTTATGGCGTTATAGAGAGTTGTCGTTAAATGGAGAGAAGAAACATTGTATGAAAAACAAGCTAAACCAACCAAAGCCAATTGATTTCGACGCTTAAGAGAGTTTGTCGTTAAATAGAGTGACGTTACATGGAGTTTACACTGTATGTTAAAGAAGTGTATTTGTAAACAAACCGGCTAGTGTTGGCACGATACTCTACGTCGTGGGTTATAGTCGATTCGATGAAATAAAATAAAAAATATAAATGTCTTTACGACTTAAATACTGTCTATAGTACGCGAGTAGTACACATTTAAATAAAACCCCTTTCGAGTCTCCACGTGACCATGGCTTGCTACAAAGCATCCGAAACGTCGGGCCGGAGTTAAAAATCATTTTCAAATAAGTTTCATTAATATGTCGCGTTTTAAACCGTTAAAGTGTTTTATAATTTGAAAGTCTTTACGATTTTTTTTCTTGCCAATATTGCAATAAAGAAGTACGGTAAAAAATGGGTAAAATGCGCTATGACTACAAAGTTTCAATAGATTTTTTACAATTAAATATCGTTTATATACAACGCGAGCAGTACACATTTAAATAACGCACTTTTAACGGTTTAAAACGCGAAATATATTACTTAACTTTGATTTAGTGTTAACTAAAACCCGGTGCGGACGTTTCGGTCGTGTCGTGACAGTTTAAACCGTTAAAACTGTTTTGTCTCGTGTCTGAGCAATTTTATTATAAGGAACACAACGATTTTGTTCATACCATAAGAATAGATCACATGTTATAATAACTCTATGTTATTGGGTGTTAGATTAAATCACTAAAAAGTAATAGTAATAAAATTATCTGTAATATTAATCGTTATCGACTAGTATGATTCATAAAAACACCTTACGCGATAACTCATTCGTAATTATCGAAAACACATGGTGAATCATCTGAAATGCCCATAGATCGAAGAAATCTCAGATAAACAAAGTTGTGGCGTCGAGGCGGGACAGATGTTTAGAAACAGATGTTATTTATACCCTGTGGTCTGTTATAAATAAAAAGAAAGGAGATTCAACTCGCTACATGAGATGGTTCATTTGTATTTTTAGAAACTTTGGTTCAAAATCTGAAACTTAGATGAAAACTTATTTTTTATGATAGAGAGGGACAGACAGGCATGACATACCCCAAACATATAACATCAAACATGATGTGCTGTCGGCCTTTATTTTAGCTTAGGATTTTTACAAAAAAATAGACATAATTCTATTTTATAATACGGTTCTAGCACGAATTATTGAATGCAGTAAAACCCTTTAGTGAAGGACTACCGTGTTTGTCATGATCCTACTTTAGATTAAACGTATTAAAGTAACGGACACATAAATGTGTCTGAGCTTACGTAGCTTCTACTTGTAATGGGAAATTAAAAAAAAAAGTGTTATGTCGTCAAACATTACAGTGGCTTGAAAAATATATGTTCTTTAAAAGCTTTCCTCTGTCTCTAAGAAACCGATTCGTTAAGCTTTGGCAAATTCAAGACTTTAATGCTTTTACCATAGCATTAAAGCCTTTACATTCGTTAAACAAGTAAACAAGAAACTAGAGGATACAACATAATAGTAGTCAAAATACTGTCTATAGTTTACGCGAATAGTATACATTTAAAGAAAACACTTTAACGGTTTAATACGCGATATATATTAGTTAAACTTGTTTGAAAATTATTTTAACTACGGCCCGACATTTTGGATGTTTTGCATTGCGTGGTCATGGGGATACTAATGATGGAGGGTGTCTCTAACATCAAAGTAAAAACTACTACGCTAGCGGCATCTGTTTCGTCGCAGTTGGAGAATAAGTGTAACTAATACATATGGCGTTTTAAACCGTTAAAGTGATGCATTTAAATTAAACAATCAATACAAACCAATGTTTAGATTGCTCTATATAATTTGGAATGTAATACACTTTTCATTTGTATGATCAAGGTATGATTAAAATCGTATCTCAAAGAGTACGTTAAGCCGGCGGTGCCGGTTATCACTACTAATCATGTTTGCCAGGAACTATTAGGACTGTTGAGCTTAACGCTCAGTTAGAATGTGACACATCAACAAAAGGTGACCTTTAATAATAGCGTGTTAAGGTACAAATTCGGATCTATTCTTATCGTTCTCATTTGACCGATAAGGCTGACACAATATCAAAGTCGTGATTATTTCGATAGCGGGAAAACGGAGGAAGGCAAATTCCTGTTCATACAAAATCGACTTTCCTTGAATAACATAGCATTGTGGAAATCAATTGATTCCGTTTTTACCGGATCATTCGTCTGAACTTGAATTAGCTGTTAACAATAATAACATTTTATTGTCTAGTGGCGCGTTGGTCCAGTGAGTTTTGGTGAGCTAGATTTTTATAAGAGCAGATACATGGTGAATAATATATGTAATAACTCCAGTGTACCCGAGTAGTACACATTTAAATAAACCCCTTTTAAACGGTTCAAAACTCGTAAGATATTCGATATTATTTAGAATTTAAATTTAACAATGGCCCGACGTTTCGCGGGGTGATCACGGGTGGACTGAACATCTGTTTCCTCGTAGTTGTTATTTAGCTAGCTGGGACCTTCAGAATTGACTCACGGTCTGGTCACGATCTTTTACCTCGTTGAAGCAGATGGCGCTAGCGTAGCATTTGACTTTAACCAAATACTACCTTTAATATGAAAATGTTAGAATGTCAAAAAATGTTAAGTCAGTCAGAGAATGTTATATTTCCTAATCATGGTTAGATTTAATGTAGTTTTGGTTTAGTCTGAATTCTAATGTGTAGTTATAATTTATTCCTAAATTCAAATTGATAAGTTACTTACAATTCATTTAGTTTGTTAAGATGAAGAATAGCTTTATACACGCGTTTATCAGATATTTCAACTATTTTTAATTATTTAGGCTGTTTATTTATTTATGAAAGGGCACATTTAAAGCAGTCAATCTGTGTGGCAAGTGCTACTTTGCTGCAACACTCCCACTTTCACTCCCATTCCCAAAAAGCCAACGAAGAAAATTTCATTGTTCTAGCTACAAAAATTACGAATTTCGATAAAAACTTTCATCGCCCTTTTCAACCCATAACAATCCTTTTTTGGCATTAAAAACGTCCTTCCTCACGCTCTAGAATATTTGTGTACCAAATTTCATTTTAATCGCGTCAGTAGTGTCAGCACTAAAAGCGGACAGACAGAGTTCCTTTTGTATTTATAATCTTAGCTACCTAATCTATAGAATAATTTAAGACGAAATTATAGACAATACTGCAGGGAATATTAATACACGCCCATAGTGGAAACAGCATGTTCAAAGATCTTACATAGCACAATGACATTCCCACTAACAAAGGTTTATAGACCTACAACCTTACGAGTAAAAACGGTATTATTAGTATGCCTTTAAACATTCAGACATTACGTGTCGTTCGCTGTAAACAAGCCATGTGTGTACACTCATACTTAATGACGTCACAGTTTGCTTAGTCTAGCGCACCTTACAGAGTGACAAGTTGGTAAACTTGATAATAAATTAAATATGACAGCTCTAACGATGCAGGACAATATTGTATTTAAAAAATTGAGAGATGTCTTGAGCTTACAATAACGGAGCGAGATGCGCGGGCGCAGTATTTTGCTATTTAATAATTGAGAATGAATTTTTAAACAAAATGAAACGAGTATGATTTGAAACGGCATCCACAGTGCTCCAGAGCAACCGCACTGAACGCTGTGGATCCCGGTTCCTATCAATTGTTCAATCTAAAATCGAGTCTTATTTTATACAGTGCCATCATGTGTGAAAAATATTAAAGTTTTCAATTGTATTTTCTTTCATTAGTGTCGTTGAAATTTCAGTTTTTCCTTGCAGTACTATTTAAAAAAAACGGGTTTATAATACTATGTTTTGATATGGATACAGAAAATATATTTTCATGCAGAACTAAAATAAATAAATATATGTTGTTAACGCGAGTAGTACACAATTAAATAAAACACTAACGTTTTTAAACGCCAAAATATTAGATAAACTTGTTTGGAAATTAAATTAACTACGGCCCGACATTTCGGATGCTTTGCAGCACCTGTGGTCACGGAGGCGGGTGGAACGTAGTTATAATATGTACTTTACAAATAAGTTTTATAAACATACATATATAGCGTTTTAAACCGATAGTGTTTTTAAATAGAGTAAGAAGATAGAAATAACTTACCAGCTGATGGAAGCGCTTATCTGCTGGAGTCGCCATAGCGTGTTAGTGATGTGCCAGCACCATGCATTAGATTAGTGACGTGCCTCGCTGAAAGAAGATCGTGCCACCCTCAGTTAGTGCTGTTAATCTACTACTTGGTTGTTCGTACGATAATACTACTAGCCATTCGCTGAGGTACTATGCAATTGTACATAAAGCCGTAAAGTGGGAAAAAAAAAAAAAAGGGGGAAAACAACAACTTTTTTTTTTTTTTTTTTTCCCCCCCCCCCCCCCCCAAAAAAAGGGGGGGGGGGGGGGTCCCCCCCCCAACAAAACCACAGTAAAAATCGATTATAGAGAATAGAATAATCAAAAAATATTGAAATTTCCAGCCTCCACTAAATATGTATGTGCTCATTAACCGTGTGAAAACTTACTTAACTTTGTTATAAATTTTAATTGATAAATATAATAGTGTGAATTGATTTAGGTTTTTTAAAATTAGATTTTACGTTGAGTTTCTATTAAATTAAAAATAATAAACTTAATGCTTTTAACCAATATTTTTAAACAGGTTATTAATTAAACGACACTAAAAACACTACTTTTACAATAATGTGGGATTTGAGGTAATTTTATACCTTTTTTATAAATAACACTTTATACGGCCATACGATCAACCAAATCGTGAAAATTGCATGAACATGATTCAATTAAAATGCTCTATCATGCGAATGTTAACAATGAAACATATGCTAGGAAATGTAATTACAATGGTAATAATCACATGCTCATTCAATAAACATTCAAGGTTAATAATTACTGTCTATTATATTAGTCTATAGATAATGAACTATTAACAGTACTTTTAAGAAAATCTAGCTTATGTTCAGTTATAAAAAATGACACCCCGTGGTTCGTTACCTGGACTTTTATTTCAACCACAAGCGTTTAACAAGAAATATAGACTTATATATGTAATAATAGTAGTACTGTACAGTATTCTCTCATTAGTCTTGCACTTTCAAATACATATAGCAATTATGTAAATATCTATAATGAAATACTGTCTATAGTTTACGCGAGTAGTACACATTTAAATAAAACACTTTAACGCTTTAAAACGCGATATATTAGTTAAACTTATTTGAAAATGACCTCCCCGTGAACACGGTTGCTGCAAAGCATCCGAAACGTCGGGCCGAAGTTAAAAATGATTTCCAAATAAGTTAACTAATATACCGCGTTTTATATCGTTAAAGTGTTTTATTTAAATGTCTATAATCAATAAAAATCGGATAGGAATTGAAAAATATTTTCGACTCGGGCAGGACTTGAACCGGCATCGTTACCGTTCTGTGGCGTTGCTCTAACCAATTGACTTACCGAGCCCCACACATCACAATCAATATATATTTATGTATTTTATTACTAATTCTGATTTGTTATTTAGGTATAACTGAATAAATTATATCAATTAGAAGAAGAATGTTGGATCGTACTGTTGGTTCGAGTGAGAATCGAACCCACGACCCGAATACGTTCTTTTCTAAGCCTTAACGATCTTGCAATTAGCATAACATCCGCTAATACGATTTAATTATCTCCATTTTATATCTAGCGTTGGATATCTACGGCATCTCGTCTGTAATAGGTTTAACTAAGGCCTTGTTTACCTGGTATTTTTAACTGCGTGTAATCAATGCCAATATTACCTGTAACAAATAATTGTCTATTAATAAATATTGCACATGGTAACACTAAACGATAGTAGAGTAGAGCGGCTTCATTGGGATCAAAGTTTTATATCCCACTTAGAGCAAGATTGGCCAGTATAGTTTTGTTACAAATCTAACAATTAATTAGTAATAATATATTATTTCGACGAAATTGGATGACCATTAAATTGGTTTTGCGAGTTAATCTTAAACGATAGATCTTTCGCGTCGCGGCCATTTATTTTTTTAGATTATTTGAAGAGGAATCATTCTCTCATCAATTCATTTCTTAAACCTAAAAGATGAATAATTTTCCCTGTATTTTCCATATTTCCCGCAGTTTCTTCGCTCACCTCCTCATTTTTATAAATTACTGCTGTTACCCATGGCACTATCACGGACATTTTTTAGATCGTTTTAAGAGGAATCATTTTTTCGTAAAAATTTTTTTAATATATTTATCTGGTTTGGGACACACACCGAAATGCGAAAAAAAAAACCCTTTTCTAAATACTGTCTATAGTTTACGCGAGTAGTACACATTTAAATAAAACACTTTAACCGTTTAAAACGGAGGGAACCCCGTGACCACAGCTGCTGCAAAGCATCCGAAATGGGCCGAAGTTAAAAATCATTTCCAAATAAGTTTAACTAATATATCGCGTTTTAACCTAAGTTTTATTAAATTTTCCTTTTTTGTCCCGCTCCTATTGGTCACATACTGATGTTTAAGCCTTCCTCGACAACACAACAGAGAATATAATTTTTCATTTCGACGCAGTAGTTCCTGGGATTTGTGCGTTCGAAAAAACAAACTCTCGAGCTTTATAATATTAGTATAAATGAGCATACAAAGTGCTTTTAACCTCTCTACCCTTTATGTGGTTAGGGGCTAAGGCAATTCTAGTATTATACGATTACAGTAACATTTAAATTGGATTGCGTGCTAAGTGTTATGGAATTCCTAATGACGTATAGGAAAATAAACACATTATGACATAATATGTCTCATTTGCCTAGGGAAATTCCTTTTAAAACATCTACATAACTCATTTAATTGCACGATACATACCTACTTACAATTTTAAATTTCTAGTGGTAGTAGAAATAGGAAAAAGGTTTTTGTTAATCCTAAGACACTGGCATACAAACACGGGGGGCCCTTCATAGTTAAAAAACGTTATTGGAAGTTTCGAATCAACGTGTTTTAAATGATTTGAGGGGAAAAATTAGTTTCAAAAAATGCTTTTTTGTTCAATTTGACTAGTTTTTTATTATGTTCAGACAAGATGTTGCTCCGAGTCTTGTGCCCCTCACGACCGAAACATTTATGGTTGCCCAATGATACTCAGGGTACTAAAAAGCCTCGTCGAATCTAAATACCAATCTGGCATTTATTCACACAAGACAATGATTACACAACGCTATTGTTCATTGTGTAACAGACCAAAGTAAAGTTGCTGAAAATAATTGCATTTCTCAAACAATATCTTTCAGTAGTACTTTTTTTTATCGATTTTACTAGATTTTTACATAATCTCTAAATATCTATATCGTCTAAAGTAGCTCACGAGAGTAGTACACATTTTAATCAAAATGTCCGGTCGTAGGTCAATAAGTATAATATTTCGCATTTTAAATCATTCAAAGTGTTTTTGTATCTTTCTTTTTTAGTGTTTTTGGACATATAAATGATTTGATTTGATAATAGATGTTTCAATAACGCAACCATTGCATAAAAAGTCAATAGTTATATGCAAGTTACGAAGTTTTTTTGCTTGAAGAAGAGAAGTCTTCAAAAAGAAGATTAAATAATATCTTTTAATAGGAGGGTAGTTTCGTTATGTAGCTGGCGGTAACCTTCCCTTTTCTTACGCATACCTTACCAACCTACAGTCAAATTTGGAACAGTTTCTCTTCATCTAGGCATTTCTAACGCATATTTTTTCTGAAAGGGACTTATAGGTTACGGTACATTGTATTAGGACAGTTGTTGCCACGCACTGATTCTCTTGTGTATATCGCAGGCGAACTGCAGCGGCCGAGTAGAAATTATGAAGTGTAACCGCTAATTAAGCGTAACGTAACGTTCGATAACTGCTTACGAAACTTGGTGTCGTAAGCCAACATGGATATAGATAAAAAAGTATAAATTAATTATGCATTAATATGAACGTGTATCTAGAAAAATTCAACTCTGTAGTCGTGTTGACAAAAAAAAGGACTTTCGTCTTTAAATTATCTATAAATACATCAAAAGAAAAACGAATATTAAGCTGTCTGTTCCCACTAAGTTCCAAAAGGTTTCATTCCAAAACTCTTATGAATTGTATAATTAAAGTTAGGTCTTAATAAAATAAAAGAAAATAATAAGTAGATCGATTTTTAGTTTTTTTGACATTACGTGTGATTAGGTCGATTATTTAAAATATTTGTCATATAAATCACTCTGTAAAACCGAATACCAGTATTTTTTATTTCTTTAAAGCAGACTTGTTGAACCGCGGTCACCATTTTTTTTCTTTTGGCTTTTAGTAGACCCTGGCGTTGCGCAAAATCAATTACATTTCCCAACAATTTGGGTTTCCAATTTAGGAGGGTAAAGATGGCAGCAATGTTGAGTTTTAAGGGGTATAACAATTTTTGGGGCGCGGAACCCAAAATTAAAAAAAAAAAACCCGGACCCCGGGCGGGGCCGGTAAAACCCCCCCCCGGGGGAAAAATTTTTCCAATTTATTTTCGATTTTTAAATTATAACGAATCCTTTGTTTTCCATATAATTAGCCAGAGACACCACTTCAATTTCCGAAAAGCCACGAGTAAAACAACGGTGCACCATTAGGTGTGCGGAAGAGGACGTTAACCGTTGGCGAATGTCCTCCATCAGCTTCCGCTGTTGATGAACCCGTGCTGCGGATGCAATTACCAGCAACATTACATCACGCATCTGATACGAATATAGAACAATCAAGATCGTGTTGGTCCAGCGCCGTTGTTTACAAATAATCAGCACAGACTATAAATGCAGGATATATTATTATCATTGGATTAACCTATGAAATGTAATGTATCTATACTCATATAGGAAACTGAAGAGTTTGTTTGTTTGGTCAAACGCGCTAATCTCAGGGTTTCTTTTTGTATTGGTCAAAGGAAAGCTATAAGGCTATAGGCTATAAAACATCGCGTTGTGACTAATAGAAGCGAATATACAGCGGGAAAATGTGAACAAAACAGAAGAGAAAAAAAAATTTATTTATTACTAATGAGGGAAAAAAAAAAAAAAACAACCCATTCTTGGAAAAAAAAAAAAAAAACAAAACGGTTTTTCAAAAAAAAAAAAAAAAAAAAAAAAGAGGGGGGGGGGGGGGGGGGAAAAAAAAAAAAAAAAAAAAAAAAAAAAAAAAAAAAAAAAAAAAAAAAAAAAAAAAAAAAAAAAAAAAAAAAAAAAACCCCCCCAAAAGCCGCCTTCCAACGATACCTTAAAAATGTGTTTGAACGAACCATTCCTCTTTAAATGATCTAAAAAACAGTCCGCGACGCTATGTGTCTATCTTTTAAGATTAACTTGTAAGAACGACGGGAAGGGACGCGATCGACGTCGTGGCTACCAGTTTAAGTCTATAAAGATGACGGGGTTTGCAAAAACTAATTTGGATGCCCAAAATAACGATTCTCGCCGAGTCGCTGGCTTCTAAATAAAAAATCACACAGCAATGGTAGAACGATGTAAGGGCCCCAGTAAAAACTTAAAAGGAAATATTTCCTCATTAAGGATTTCAAATATTTTGGAGCACCAACATCATTACGAAATGATTTAAGCAGAAAACGCTTTAAGTAAATAATCTTTGACATTTATTCATAAATTATTAATTCGACTACTCCGTCATTATTCGGGTTTTAGATTTTTTTCTAATAAAGGAGGATAGATAAGCATTGGAGTTCAATTTGAAAGGTAAAATACCCCAGCCACATAACATTTAAACAAGATGGGCTGTCGACTTTTTTTGGCATTGTATATTCGGCAGATCCACAGAAAACCGAAACGCGATTAACTTCACGGCATTTTCATTGCGGACGGTGGTACGTGACTCGGACAATATTTACGATATTCCTACCACCCATTAAAATATCCAGATTTTCAGACGAAACCTAACATGATTCAGAGAAATTATAAATTGTTTAAAAATAGTTGGACCAGTAGGGACCGAACCCTTTTTTCACTAATTGTTTTAAACCGGCAAATTGCCCACACTCTATAATTTTCGGGAATTAAATAGTAATGCAAGGCAACGCATTTTAAAGTGTCAGACGCAGTTAAAACTAATATTAATTGCTTAATATTTGATCGTGCGAAGAAACGCAGAACAAAGCGAACCTTATGTAGGCCATAATACTAAAAATGTATGTTATATTCAAGAGACGCACATGCGAGAGGTGATTCTGTACGATTGTATATCCCTTTTTAACAAATACAGTTGGAAAGAGACAAATATACAGCATATGGTAAGATCTAGAATACGGTCGCTGCGTTTGCATTTCAAATCACGATTTATACCAAATGTCAAGATACAGTTATTCCTGGCATATATAGAGTAAAATGTGATTTTCAATAAATTGAATGCTGACGTAAAAATTGCGTGATTTATCATAGGGTTCAGAACTGTTCCATTACACCGTGCGGATTTGATGGTGCAAATTGCTGTTTAAACCTATTTAAGATTTCTAATTCGAAATAGGTTCCTTTATATGTAATATTTAATTTTGGACACTATAACATATTTTATAAAAAATGTCTACGATGGCAATATAAAGATAAAAAATCGATTATAAATTGAAAAAAAAAGATTACCTAACGCGAAAAAAATCGACGATGACGTGTAGGACTCGGTAGCTTAATTGGTTAGAGCAACAGCACGGAACGCTGAGGATGTCGGTTCAAGTCCTATCCGAGTCGTACATTTTTTCAATTAATAATCAACTTTGAATTTACACTGACAGGAGAAGTTGTTATAAATAAATAATCCGAGTAAAGACTATATCTAGATTTCTATTTCTTTGCATATGCATGTAAAGCGTAGATATAATTGTAAAATTTATTATTGTGAACAATTAAAACCAATTTAATACCATAATGGAAACATTGGCATTGGGTTGCAAGATGAACCGAGATTACAGTGTGACTCATGCGCATATACCTTAGATGTAAATAACAAACATCTACGGGCATTCTTAATGCCTTACAGATAATAAAAATGGTATTTATAACATATTCTAATCTAGCTCTACCCGCGGGTTTGATATGAATTATCTTAAAACATAGAAGGAACGCACGAAAGGGGCTGTCAAAAGAGCTACTTTAAGGTACGAACAACAAAGACATTGACGGTACATAAACATAACGGTGAAAACTAAAAATGGCGGTATTTAACTTAAAATCACATTTGAATTATCTCCAATAATTTTAAATACATATGCCACGAATATTACATTTAAGGAATAATTTTATTTAAATAAAACACTTTAACGGTTTATAACGCGATGTATATTAATTAAACTTATTTGAAAATTATTTTAACTACTAATTATATTTTCTCCCTCTGACCACGGCTGCTGCAAAGCCTACGAAACGCCGTCCGTAGTTAAAATTATTTTTAAATAAGTTTAACTAATATCGCGTTTTAAACCGTTAAAGTGTTTTAATTAAATGTGTAATACTCGCGTAAACTACAGACGGTTTTTAAATTAACTATGTCCACATATCCGTAATTGTCCAATTAACATAAATTTATTATTTACGCCAGTCAATAAACTAGTAAAACATACACAGTTTTGTGTCTGCCCTTAGCTTAAAAAACCGGTTTTTATTCCAGCTTTAGCTATCGTTAGGCGCAGGTGAAATGGTTGTAAAAGCAAAAAAGGCGAAGTTAGAAAAGCCAGCTTGTCAATAAAATGTCAACGTGAACGATAGGTACACGGAAATGCGGACACAGCGATCCGGTTTCTAGATATTTATCGAATCTTCCCACGTTTTTCACAGTACTTGCAGATGCAGCTGTAATATCTAATATAACTATAGGTTATATCTATACATATATCCCAGGTATATTCATAGGGATTGGTTGGGTAGACACGATAGACTTGCGTTTTTAAACGGTATAAAAGCACGAAATAAATTAGTTACTTTTTTTAAATTGAACTATGGGCCCATAAAAATACTTAATTACTGAAATAGAATCAGCTCCAGCTAGATAACTATGAAAAATACAGGCATTCTCGAATTACAGGTATTGAAATAAGCACAATTTTTATGTATGTATGTATTACATATGTAAAACTGTAATGTAAAAAACACGAGACACACAACGGGAACAATCGCGTTGGCGGGTTGTAGGCGGATGCCGACAATCATGCCTGCATTGAGCAACCCATCCGGCTCTCTCGATATTAATCCCATTATTTTCCACCAATAGCTGGTCAATAATTTCTATAAGAGTTGTGCCAACACATTTCTCTGTCCATGTTGTTATCTAGGACTCACACTTGGTCCTCTCTTAATATAATAAATTTAATTTAATTGTACAACTATAACTAAGGCAGTTCAAAAGATAAACTAAAGAGACTGGTCTCTTTCTTAATTTTAATTATAGCAAAGCCAAAATAAGCTGACATGCATCTTCTTTAGATGTTATATGGCTGGGGTGTTTCAGCTACCATTAAGTAAGTCCCATGCTCGCCACATGCTCTGTCATCCTCTATTTTACCAAAAGTAGCTAAGTTTTAGGTGTAATCTTATATTAATGTCTGTTCATGAATAGTTGCATATTGCTTAGAAAGAAAAATAAAATAACAATATTTATCTCAGTAATTGATAAGAAATTATAGTCCCATTGCCTGTTTAAATTGTTTAATAATAAGAATAATTATAAATACTTACAAATAGTATAACCACTTTGTTAATCTTTCAGTATAAAACTAGCTAATCACCAAACAAAACAGTAATATTAATGAATCCATCTAGAAGTATAGAAAATGGCACCAGTAGATAATGTTATCATCTGGATAAAACGATGTTATCACACTTTGTTTGATAACAGTTATTGAAAACTCACTTGGTTTTCATATGAACAGCTAAGTTAAGGAAGTTCTTTGTGTATTTTTATTAAGACTAAAAAATTATTAAGGACAAAACTTTTTAAACTTGTGTCTAAAAGTAGAGAAACCTTTTGGGCAACAATAACAAGTATTAAATATATGTCTTCTACTCTTAGTAATAATTTGTCACATAAAAAAGTATACATGGTTCAAGTAGTATGGACCAACCTAGTTCCCTTCCCATTTTGACTACTTTATGTTTATGCAACAGAACAGTATTTTCTAGAAACATTATCCGAGAAACTTAATGTTTTTAAAGTTATACCCTTGTTGTTATCATGCACGTAAAGTAGGTCAATTGTCTATTTATTTGCATAATCTGAGGCAAAAATTTATACATACAACTATCATTTTACATCAACAATTTACTTGCATGAAATGATTTTGTCGCACTACTGTTAAAAATGTGTTTTCTTGTAAATAAAAAAATCTGGTTCTTTCAATGGTGAATGTAGCCGAAAACAATATATTAGTAGTATTCTCTTACCTGAAACTTTTCGAATTGCTCCCGTTCAGCATCCAAGCTGTTTTTCTTCAATTGAAGGACTCTTGGTAGTGATAATGACGCCATAGGATTTGCACATGCAAATTGCAAAGGACAACTAAATATTAACGTATTTCTTTCCGGTAGTAAATAATACAATTCGAATTAAGAGGCACTATAATTAATATTAACGCATACAATGAACGTATTAAAACTATAATTTAATTAATAGCACAGTCTTAGACGAAAATTCAAAACAATATTTTATTTCGCAAGACACACGTCGATTTACGCCCAATGCACGGAAAACTAAATTTGTAATTTGATTTGACATTTAAGAATGATTGTTGACAGCAGATGTCATGTAGGTGTCAAATTAAGTCAATGAGTGTCACTGTCAATTACTTGTGTCTCTTTGTTTTGGCTCCTTTTTGTCAAAGTTGTTTCAGTGGTTGTTTAATGTTTGGTTAAAATCGTGTTGAACTTTAGATTCACCCTTTTGACGTTTAGAATTAATACATTACTAATTATTAAGATATTAAGAGGAACGGTTGCTCACGGAAAACAAGATCTTACTTTATTCTTATGGTAAACATGGAGTTCTTAGAGTATAACGACGTATCGGCAGAAATAAAAGGCAACATGGTATGAACACACGTTTTATTCTTTGCCTTTTTCCCTTGCAAGACAATTATAAATTACTTAATATCTAAAAAAAGTATTAGCGATAGTTCTACGGTTGTCATCGATCAGTATTTGTATATTATTTATTTCACATTCAGGTCCCTGGGCGTTTAAAAATGACCGATCAGAACATTATATTTAAGAACAGTAAGACTGGAAAAGTTGAACAAATATCCGCGAATGACATTGAATTGGTAAATTTCCAAAAATTCATTGGTTCTTGGGGACTACGAGTTTTTCTCAAGAATGGCACTTTACATCGATATGGAGGCTTTAAGGAGGGTGTAAGTATATTCTCTTATTACATTTTGTAAACCACATAAACTTTAATATAAGTCTACATAGTAAGTATGGTAAAATAGATTTAATAATATACATATATTGCTGTGTGAAGGTTAATTCTAATATTCACGTGTATAAGACAAGGGGTTGGCAATGGGATGTCTATGAATTAACATAGTTAATTTAACAAACACATATGTGGCACAGTCATCCAGTAATTTTTTAATCGAACCTCATATTGTTTTTTTTTTAATCAACTGTTTGTTGTAAGTCACTAACTTCGAAAATTTGTATTATCTTCGTGTGTAAATTTACTAAGGTTTTTGAAATTAAAAACCTTATTATTATTTATATAGTTTAAAATACTAAATTTTTGTTTAATAACCAGGCTAGTTGAAAATACAACAGAAGTACTATGTATGAGGTATGTGATGGCTATATCTGTTTTTCTGAAACAGATTTAGTCTTCACATTTTTGCTAGAATAAGCTTAGTTTTGTATCATTAACACTAAAAGTTGATATGTACATACAATAATGAAAATATTTTTTTATTTATTTTTGTATCAGGAACAAGAGAAGGTAGCAAAATTCTTCAAAACAAACTACAATAAGGATATGTTAGAAAAGGAGCTGTCCCTAAAAGGCTGGAACTGGGGAACAGCTAAGTTTAACGGAGCGGTACTGAGCTATAATGTTGGCTCAAACACAGCTTTTGAAATCCCCTTGCATTATGTATCTCAATGTAACACTGGAAAGAATGAAGTTACACTGGAGTTTCATCAGGTTAGAACCGGTTATTTTCATGGTTGGTTATTGCTCTTGATTTATAATTAATCAGAACCTTTTGTCTTCAAGCTTAATGGTAAACATATTGCATAGTATTGCAATGCAATGTTGCGAGTATGTTTCCTGAGTTCATCATTCTTGAAAAAAAAAACAATCAATTGTTTCAGTAGAAACAGAAATCTGATCTAATATGCTTTTCTATCAGTAAAACGGTCGAATCAATGTCGTTCCCCATAGCAATCAGTGTAAAATATATGTTGTATATGAAATAATTGTGAATATGGCAATATATTTCTTTAAGATCGAACTGACTGTGGCTGTTATTCATTTATAAAAGATATTGTATGCACCAAACACGGAAAACTCGCATCTCACACCCCATACATGATAACTGGTTCCTTACGTTTTATTTGTATTCAATCAAACCACCCTTTTCAGAATGACGACACTCCTGTTTCCTTAATGGAGATGCGGTTCCACATTCCGACCAGTGAGCTGGCCGGTGACATGGATGCTGTGGAGGCTTTCCATCAACAAGTGATGAACAAAGCCAGTGTTATTTCTGTATCTGGTGATGCTATCGCTATCTTTAGGGAATTGCAGTGTCTTACTCCACGGTATTTAATAGAATTTTATTTTATATAAAACATATTTCTTGGGTGCCTATGCCACGGTCAAGGTTTTTTTTACAAAGTTAAAAATCAGTAAATGTACCCAGCTTGAAAGTTTACTATGATATGCCATACTATAAATAAAAATAATATAAGATACCTATTAAACTCTCCACTTACATTTAACATGTCACAGCTTTCTCCTTTGATGCAATTTACAGACATACAAAATAATCTCAATATTTTCTTTCAGTGGTCGTTACGACATCAAAGTATTCCAAACGTTCTTTCAACTTCACGGTAAAACCTTCGACTACAAAATACCCATGTCGACAGTATTGCGTCTCTTTCTATTACCACATAAGGACACGAGACAGATGTTCTTCGTAGTGTCCCTGGACCCGCCGATCAAGCAAGGTCAAACGAGATACCATTATTTGGTTTTGCTGTTTGGTATTGAAGAGGAAACTAGTTTAGAGTTGCCGTTTACTGAGTGAGTTTATCAAATTATAAATTTAATTTGTATAATTTGTTGTTTGAAGGGCTCGTCACAATGGTACCAATGTATGGTTCGGTAACGAGTCGTGGGTTTGATCTCCGCAGGCTCCATCATGTTTCTAAAATCAATTTGTAACATTTTTAAATGATTTTCTTGGCTGATTATCTGCCATTAAAAAAATGTTATGTACTTAAAATTAGTAGTTTAATTTGGTTCGCAAACGTTTTCAGGGAGGAGTTAAAAGAGAAATACGAAGGAAAAATATCAAAAGAACTCTCGGGGCCAACATATGAAGTTCTAGCTAAAATTATGAAAGTCATCATCAACAGGAGAGTGACAGGACCTGGAGATTTCTTGGGGTGAGCATTTATTGGTTCTTTTATGTTGAGTACACTGATTAGGAGCCGAGGGTGATTAGTCCATTATAAATGCTACCCAATCCCACACTATGAAAATTCTCCAAAATCAGGAGATTTCCCAAACCTTCTTGTACCTATTTTATAATGTTAATATCTTTTGATTAGACTTCTAGGGTGTGTATTACTGGTAAAAAAAATAGTTTCAGGCAAGCAGGGCACAGGAAATTGTTATCTCCTGTGCCCTGGCATATGGTCACAAGGACAATGTGAATCATAGAAAAGTAATTGTATAAAAAAGGGTCCAAATAAAATCCCTAATACAACTAATATTTATAAGACATTAAGACACTTACTTGCCCTTTAATAAAATTAATAAATAAATCAGACACAGTACTCTGTCTACTCTGTTTAGGAAAACAATGACTTTGTTTAAACAGTGTGCCTAAGAAGATATTTCATAGCAGGTGTTATTTTTCAGACACCACAAGACACCAGCCATCGCTTGCTCTTACAAAGCGGCCGCCGGTTATCTCTACCCCCTGGAAAAGGGGTTCATCTACGTGCACAAACCACCCGTGCATATACGATTTGAGGAAATCGCTTCTGTCAACTTCGCTAGAGGCGGTGCTTCATCTACTAAGTAATTTTTAGTTCATATGAGTAGTACGCATTAAAAAAAATACTTTATCAGTTTTAAACGTGAAATACACATACGTATTAGATACGTTTTTAACTACGACCCGGCATTTCGGATGCTTTGCAGCAGCAGTGGTGATGGAAAAGTGGAATCATTAGAATCTGTAAGCATTAAATTTGTACATTTCTAAAACAAATTTTTTTTAAACTTTGAAAAATTATTTGTTAATATGATGATGTTGTGACTCTAAAATATAGGCGGAGAATTTACATATATTCTGTCCGTGTATTGAAATAGAATAAGCCAAGAATATGCCAACAGCACATCTTTTAGATGCTCTATGGCTGGGGTATTTCACCATTATGAAGACCATGCTTGTCCTTCTTTATTATAATTTTTTTAATAACAGCTTATGATTCCAGGTCCTTCGATTTCGAAATAGAATTGAAACAGGGCAGTGTCCACACATTTAGCAGTATCGAGAAAGGTGAATACGACAAACTGTTCGATTACATCACTATGAAGAAACTACACGTCAAAAACACTGGCAAGAATGTAAGTTTAATGATCCTTATCAACTCCCCCCTACTTCTTTAATTTAAGTCTGTATTTGAGGGGACATGAGTGGGATAGGGGGGGTGTGTTAATGTTTGCCAGCTATTATGAATTGATTACCCAGAGATCTTTAGGTGTCTGTCTCTAATAGATACTAATAATGATAATTACTTCAGTTCATATGGCTGTACGTTTGTAACTCTTTCACCGCAAAACGGCTTAACCGACTTTCTAAGGGAGTATTGATTTATTTTCTTAATTTCTTACACGCTATGCTTTTTGACAGAACAAATATTATTTTATATTTATTTTTTATTTTTATAGTATAATATAAGCCAGAAGTTTTCGACCGCCTCTAAAGACAAATGGTTAAACGTGTGGCCTAGGATTGCGTTAGTACCAGAGGTGCTGGTCAAAGCCAGTAAACAAAAACCTTGGTCCTTGTCTCAAATGACCGATCAGTGAAACGAACAAAGAAAGTCTTTAGGGCTGGATATTTTGAAACGTCGGGATATAGTTTTTTTTTTTTAATTTTGTCCAGTGCTTAGGAGAAGGAAGGGGGGGGGGGGTTCCCCCTCCTCGGTAAGGGACTTGGTTTACTTATTTACAATTATATATCCTTATGCCAAACTTTACTTATTATTATTACGCTATCTATATCTATACCTATCTGTCGGGATATAGTTAGAAAATTACCAAATAAGTTCAACTAATATACATCGCGTTTTAAACCGTTAAACTATTTTATTCAAACGTGTACTACAAACAGTATTAAAGTTATATTAAATAATATTTTTCCTTTTCAAACCTACAAAAAAAACCCAAGTAAGACAAGATAAAATGAATAACGGTTTTATTTTAAATTTATATAACCTTTTTTATAGGACAAAGCTCTATATGACGATGACTTCGGAGACTCGGACACGGAGAAGGAGCCCGACGCATATCTGGCGCGGGTGAAGGCCGAAGCCAAGGAACGGGAGTCGGATGACAGTGATGGGTCAGACGAGAGCACCGACGAAGACTTCAATCCAGATAAAGCTAAGGAGAGCGATGTCGCTGAAGAGTAAGTAAATGTGCATATTAAATATTAATTACTAGCTGTGTCGGCGATTTCGTCCGCGTAGATTAGTTATTTTGAGCGTCCAATTTTTTTTTTGCAAACGTCCTCTTAATCTTTATAAATTTAATCTGTTCCATGACGTCGTCTGCGTCCTGTCGTTCTTGCAAGTTAATCTTAAAAGATAGATTACATACATATACTACGGACTTACTTTTAGATCATTTAAAGAATAATCATTCTTTTATACATATATTTTGGGTATCTGGAACCGTATTCACGCATCAGGAATCCACAAAGTTAAAAAAAATTCTCAGTTTTTCCAAATTTCCCGCTGTTTCTGCGCTATTAGTTACAGCACGATGTTTTATAGCCAATAGTCTTTCTCTTCCTTCCTCGATAAATGTTAAACAATTGTTCAACTTGAACCATTAGTTCCTGAGAGTAGCGCGTTCAAACAAACAAACTAACTCTTCAGCTTCATAATATTGGTAAGATAATAATAAAAATATTGTTAGTTTATTTGTATCAGAACCAGATCAGTTAAATACTGGCGATAAGTTTCAAACCACAGATCAATTAAATACGTCTATAGTTCGCGAGTAGTACACATTTAAATAAAACACTTTAACGGTTTAAAACGCGATATATTAGTTAAACTTATTTAAAAATTGGACGACCGTCTCCCCGTGACCGCGGCTGCTGTAAAGCATCTGAAACGTCGGGCCGAATTTAAAAAATCATTTTCAAATAAGTTTAACTAATATATCGCGTTTTAAACCGTTAAAGTGTTTTATTTAAACACTGATCAATTCTTAAATCTAATCATTGTGTTAGTTGGGTTAATAACAAATGAACTTATGTCGTATATTCATTAGTATGTACAATAATATGTTAGTCACTAGAATTTAAAAAAAAGTTATAAATGAAGTTAAAGAAGAATGTGAGGTTGACCTCGACTATTCAAACTAACTCGTTGGTCTTATGGTGTGTTGTTCGATTCCTACCATGTTAAGAATTTATATTTTTTCATTTAATATTCGTATTTCGGCTGGAAAATCTAGACATCATATGGGTAATAGGGTTTCGAAGTTGAGGGAGAGTCACTAATCGAAATCCACAGATAAAAAAGTCGTGAAGTGAAAATCAGTGTTCCATTCGCTACATTGCATTTCCAATGCTAAAATAGATCGACAACACATTATCTTATTTATATACTTTATGGCTTTACAGGTATGATACTAACCCATCGTCGTCAGAAGATTCCGACGCCTCAGATGCGTCCAAGGGGAGTAAGAAAGAGAAAGAAAAGAAACAAGAGAAAAAGCCCAAGAAGACGATTACAATTGTAAGTTCCCTTTTATATTCTTAAAAAAAACTCATATGAGTGTTGACGCGTCAACTATATTATAACGTTATGAACATATTTTTTGTTCCCTTTTTAGACTTTTTACTACTTTTTTTAAGGCAAACTAAGCTCATATTGTTATTGTCTGTATGTTGCCTGAAATGGACAGTCTCATATCTATGTTCAAATAAGTAATTTTATATTGCTTTAATATTCTAGTCAGAGGCGCCGCGTAAACGTAAGGAGAAATCTAAGAAGCGGGAAAAAGACGCGAACGCACCCAAAAGGCCGTCAACGGCGTTCATGCTGTGGCTGAACGAGAACCGGAAGAAGATCACAGACGAGAACCCTGGAATCAAGGTCACGGAGATCGCCAAAAAGGGCGGAGAACTATGGAGGGATCTCAAGGACAAGTCGGTAAGTAGATAATACCTGTTTACAATCATTATAAATGCATTTAACAGCGTAAATAAATCAGTTTTTTTAGTTTTACATTTTTCACTTGTTATTGTGGATGGTAGCACTATATACTTTAAAACAGATTATGTCACTGGCTGGCATTAACAGCGTTCTGTGCAGCTGTACCAAGCTGCCGTGTGTTGACGATGACGTGTAAGGCATGGTAACTTCGGTTTGATCGGCAGTACGGAACGCTGTGCATAGTGGTTCGAGTCCCGCCCGTATTTTATATTTTTTTAAGCTACATACATTATTAACTTATATAGTTTTTCTTAATAACAAAACACAGTTGGGGTTTAAACGCGCGACTAATTTTCATCTATTCGATTTTTGGTCTGAATCTGTTCATACAAAATTCTTAACTTTAAGAAATAGCATCCACGGCGATCCGTAGACAACACATGCATACATACATATGAAAAAAATATAAAGTTATTATTCTTAATTTTTTTCGTAACTCTTTGTTCGTGAATTATTTGCTAAAACTAAAATTAGTGAAAGATTTAACCACAACTTTTTCCCCCTTTCTTTTTGTTTCAATTACGTCTACTTATTTGGCCATGCAGGCTTTTAAAATACCAGATAGTGGTAAAAAATTAAAAAAAAAATGGTTTCTCAATAGGAATGGGAGGAGAAAGCGAGCAAAGCGAAAGAGGAATACAACCAAGCAATGAAGAAGTACAAGGACAGCGGCGCAGCGGACGAGTTCAAGCAAAAGAAGAAACAGGCGGAGAAAGAGGAGAAGTCGGCTGATAAGAAGAGTAAAGCGCCGGCGCCGAAGAAGGCCAAAGCGAATACGAGCGCCGGTTCCGGTTCTGGAAAGTTCACCAGTAAGGAGTACGTGGATGATGATGACAGCTCTTCAGACTCAGATGCCGGCAAAAAGAATAAGGGGGTAAGATTATTTACTTTTGTCAAGTTAAAAAATACACTATAGTTTGCGCGATTGTAAATAAACGACAAACATACATTTGAATAATACACTTTAACACTTTAACGGTTTAAAACGCGATATATTTGAAAATTATGTTTAACTTTGGGCAGACGTTTCGGATGCTTTGCAGCAGCCGTGGTCACGGGGAGTTTAACTGATATATGTCGCGTTTTAAACCGTTAAAGTGTTTTATTTCAATGTGTACTACTCGCGTTAAGTTCAAAACAATTGCATTTATAGTATTAAGGAAGCTAAATATCAAACTAGAATTGACTTTGAAACCGCCTCTGTATCTGTACGGTTAAAAGTATTGCCTAGCAATGCGTTAAGAGTGATAGGTGCAGGGTTTGAATCCCTGGGAAGCAATAAATTGTTTCGTTCGGGCAGGGCAAAGAAGTCTGATCACCTACTTGCCTGTAAAAGAAACAATCAATGAAACGGACACAGATATGTGTTCGACTCATGTCAAATGAGGTTAATCACACATTCACATTTATTTTCAGAGCAAAGAATCGAAAAAGGAAAAGGCGAAGGCATCCTCATCTGAAGCAGAGGCGTCATCTGGTTCCGGTGACGAAAGTGGAAGCGGAAGTGATTAAATTAGGTTCTAGGTAGATTAAATAAGTAGCCTGTGGTAAACTTACCTGATTCAGATCAGAAAAAATGACAGCCATTTTGATTAAGCTATGTCAAAAATTCTCGATGAGTTATCATCACTGTCCTGATGCAATTAGGGCTGCTACAGACAAAGTGGCCTAATAACAAAAAAACATGATTTTTAATAAGATGTAAAATAAAAAAACGTAATTAACTGAGGCGAAACTGAATTTATACTATTATTTGTGTAAAAATTATGTTAACAATTTTCAGTCACTGTGCTCTTGTAGATTACCATTTTTAGACTATAAATATATAAGTCAAGTCATAAAATTGCAATTTCGCTACTCTGCCTCTAGCTGCCTCAATCGAGATCAGGAGAGCAATTCTCAATTAAGTGATAAAAGATATAGACATAAGTCTCCAATTATGTCATTTTGTATTTTGATAAGTCGTATTGAATGTAATTCCAGAATAAAGTTAATGTATTGACTCGTTTGTTGCCATCAAAATCCGAAGAAAAATTAGGAATCTGACTGTTACTGTTTTATATACTGTCTGTCGAAAACATTTAACGGTTTACACGCGAAATATTTGTTTTTTTAGCAACGGTTCCAGGTACTTTACAGGATTTACGCCCAAGGCAATTAATATATATTGCGTTTTAAACCGTTAACCATGTTTATTTTATGGTACCAAAACGAGCGAAGAATAATACTAACATTATTTCCTGTAGTATAATTCTGGCTGGTCTAACGTTTAGTAGCACTTTATATATTTCTTAATATTGCAAAACTCGTTAGTAAAGTGGTGAGTAATCTTGTCTACGAACACATAGTTCTCGAATTTTGAAATATCTGTGCGTCCCCACCATTTTGGCCCAACGACGTTTTTTTTGTCTATATCGTCGTTCGAGATATGTCGTAGCGTGCTTGCTAGCCTGCCACCTGTAATTGTTTTGTCTAATTCTGTTTCACGTTACTTGAAGTGCATCGAGGAGTTACAAAATGCGAAAACAATAAAATCTTATTTTGTTGGTTCCGAGTCTAATTTCGCTATTATCTTTCATTAAAACTGTATATAAAAATATAATTTGGTTTACCTATTGCACAATTGTTAGTTTTGTTCCCTCAAAATATATAAATGTATGCTGTATGTAGATTTAAATGACTGTTAAAAAAAATTCAATAAAACACATACTCTAAGTTTCTTTTTACGAAATAAAAACAAAATATCTTATACATAGTATTTTAATACGCCTTTATTTGCTTTAAGAATTTTGGACACAGACTCTCAATTTATAGCCTATATGTATATATATTATATTGTAAAATAATGTGTTTGACGAGCTCAATGTTGGGGTAATCTATTTTTTATCTTACGGGTCTGAATATCGAGATTCCGTCCAGGTCACGAATCACCATTCAGAGATTAGCGTTCACACTGAATTTACGAATATCCAAAGCCAAAATAGAGCAATAGCACATCTTGTGATATGTTATACGGCTTGGGTATTTCAATCCAATCCATGAGTGATCACATGCTTGTCTGTACTTTTCAATCACAAAAAAAAAATGTTATAAAAGTTTCAATTTCCGTCACAATGAGATATTGGAACTTTTTTGTCGTAAATTTGTGGATGTGGTTTATCGGGGGATACATAACATTAATATTAAGATATATTAAAAATTGCCCTTGGCTTTCGCGGCCATCTTGCATCTTGCAGCTACCAGTGTTTTTGAATTTTCGGGCCGTTTATGAGAATTGGTTCTTGTCTTTCCGCTAACACAAGTGGATAGCATCTTCATGAGATAGTGTCTATAATAAGAGATGGCATAAGTTATAAAATGTCTTTTTAATAGTATGAATAGTACTATTTTTATATTACGACCGCCCCCGCACTAGCTCAGGGACTGTCAAATACGAGCGTTGGCGCGCATTTTGTCGACTAAACTTAATTTTGGCTAATAAATGAATATTTTCGAATGTAACATTGTGTTTCCGTCTTAATACCATAAACTTTTCAAAGTCATTTTTACTAAAAGTCTAATCCAAATAACCACCCATACATATCTACCCAGTTTTCGAACACTTATTTCTGAGTTATGGTATTCTAGATCCAAGTTTTTTTTGTACCTAGTATACAAATCCCACATCGACCTATTGAGACCACACGTTTATAATACGTAGTCCCTTACGTATAAGTTATGTTTCTTGGGAATTTTTACCCCTATATTACGACTCGACTTCGCTTCTTGTTAAAAACGAAGACCTTTATAAATGCAATTACATGCATTAAAATTGCACATGCACACAGGTCGTCCCTTGCACATTGCATCCCTTCGTATTTACATAATAGGTGAACACAATTGAAAATCCGTTACGGTATTACCTTGGCTCGGGACACGCTGGCAAGGTCTTTTTGTTAGATAAGTTATTACAGTGGGAACTACTTCTTGAACTGTGATTTTTTTACAGACCGCGAAATAAGCGTGCTACATACATAAATATATTATGAACAAAATCTTAACTAACTAAAAAATGCAGACAAAAAGTGCACTTTTCAATAAAACACTTTAACGGTTTAAAACGCGGAAATGAATAGCGCCAATGCATAGAAAGCCCGATTAAATACTTCAGAAACCGGGCATTAGTAGTGTTTTTCTAATAGTTTAAGAGCTAGAGTTAAAAACATAATCTAGCCAAATGATTGACTCGCGGTCTAATATTATATAGCCCAAGACTATCAACCAAGAAAGTTGTATTTGTTCGTTTGAACGCTCTAATCTCAGGAACTACCGGTTCGAATTGAAGAATTATTTTTGTGTTGGTTAGAACATTTATCGAGGAAGATTATATATATAAATCGCGCTGTGACTAATTGAAGCGAAGATACAGCGGGAAATGTGAACAAAACGGCTGAAATGTTTTCATCGCCGTGGGTTTCAGATGCGTACGCTGCGAAAACGGTTTTAGATACCTAAAAATGTGTATGGAAGAATGATTCCTCTTTTATGTATCTAAAAAAGTACGCTATATGTCTATCTTTTAAGGTTAACTTGCAATAAAGACGGGAAGGGACGCGATCAACGTCATGTTTAACAGCTTAAGTTTATAAAGATGACGGGGTTTGCAAAACTAATTTGGGTGCCTAAAATAACGATTTTCGTGGACGAAGTCGCTGGCACAGCTAGTCAAAGATAAACTGGTAATAAAGAAAAGAAACAAACAGGAAGGAAGGTAAAATCCCTTTTACCTTTTATTTAGTTATGGTTGAAACTTTAGGGTACGACATCCCTGTCGTACCCCAAAGTTTCAACCACAACTTTGGGACCATTGTGGCGTTTGGCAAGACAAGGCATTGGAATTTTGTATTTTTACAAAAATAACTTAATTCTATTATTTTATAATAATCCTATGACTATCCGGATACCTGGCGTTCGGATGTGTAATATAAAAGCTTCTCCCTAAATACTACAAGATAAAACAGTCCGAACCAGAACCGACCGGTTTTTTACGCTACCTGTTACAAAATTACAATTTTAAAACCTCCTTTGAGACAAAAAGCTTAACAATATCTTCGAACATTATTCTACTTAGTATAATAAACATTTCACTACCTCTAGATAATTACTTTTGCCAAAACAAACGTTCCTTCTCGGTACAAAAAAGAAAAACCGTTAGGACGCGATGTTTCGAACGTAAATAAACGGTAACGCTTTGACTGTAGACGCCTAGATATAGCATACAATATACTTGATGGTATTTTAATACTACCGGTTAATACTATAGCTATATATATGTATATATTTAAGGGACACTGCACGTTCTACTAAAAAAATATTGTGTTTTTAGACTAAACAGAACAACACTAAAATTTATTTACCTTTAATGATTCTCTCCTTATCCAAAAATTGCATTATAGTTATTATTCAAAGAAACAAAGTCTTAGGTAACGCTTCTTATTAATTGTAATCTATCCAATTAAAGAAATCGAAATAAAGGTCCAGGGTCTAAGGGTGCAATATTAGAAGCTACAGTTTTTCTAAGTCTTTTAATGAAAACACCTAGGTACTAAGCGTAACGTTAAGTCCTAAAATCTTCTACATAGTACATACTGATACCTATCTAATTTATTAACTACTTTATTATATATATACCTACCTATATTCGTTAGAAGCTAGCTTTGTAAAGTTGTGTCAATGGTTGGAAAACGACATAATAATTTACTAAATTGATATTTTGTACGAGTATAAGGTTTTGCTGCAATAATGAAACGTATTTAAGTAAATTCAACAATACTTAACAAGAATGAGTGACATTAGTTGATCAACTTTTTACTGTTTGATGTTTCACAATACATTAAAATAATGTGTTTTATTTCCAGTACTTTAAGTGCTACATCCTTATGGAAACGAAATAAAAACTATTTCTCGATCCCCTTTGAAATATCAAATCGTAAACAAACGCTGTTTTATTGGCATCCCTTTCTCTCTGACGTTTGCCGCGCTTTTATTTTTCGTACACACGTTGACTGCGTTTAAAATCGAGCGGGAATTAATTTTGTAAAGGCTGGTAAGGGAAACCTATCAGTGGATTAGGGCAAATTTTGACATACTTTTTAAATGAATATATACAAAATGTATACCAAAAAAATATATTTTTATCGCAATGGACTCGTGTTACTTGTAATTTAATAGAATATTACTTTTTTGTAACATAAAACAGCTTTAAATAATTTCGAACCCAAAGTATGGAAAATATAATTGTTATCGATTTTCTTCTGTAATTCAAAGGATTAAGGTCGAAATTCAAATGGATTCTTTAATAGTTACGTCACGGATATACGTAGTACAAGATACGCGGTTACATCGCTTCGGTTGGCAGCATTGAACATTACAGCCAATCAGAGACGACGTAGATGGCGCTGTAGTGATGACGCGAGGTCCCCCAAGCTAGCTTGCTCTGGGAACATTGCTTCGAGCTCCATACATTTTCTTTCGGTTCTCTACGTCTGCAGTTTGGTTGTGTACGAGTTCAAAAATAATTTCAAAATTTTCGCCATAAGGTAAGTCTAATCATTTTTATTACTTAAGCCGCTTATTATACAAAGCTTTGATGTATTTTTGAAGGCGTAATTTGCTTAATCAAGGTTTCTTCCACGTTGGAATTTGCGTTCAAACATGGCTATGGGCTTCGTCGTACTTTCCATACAACGCGTGGGTATGAGAAAGGACGCCCTATTTTTGATAATTTATTTCTCGAATCTTTTCCATCAAACGACTTGAACCGTTCTTCTACAAGTTAAAGCTTAATATATCTACGATGATGTAGCAATTATGTCATGATTAGCTATTGCGTATTTTCAACACAATACGTAAAAACAAAATGGCTCGTACGACCCAAGCATAGGCCACTGAACTCGTTATATGGGGCGATAACTATTTTTATTCAATATTACATCGTTTATCGATTGTAATACGTCTATTATATTGCAAATGTAATGGAAAAAGCATTTAAATCTACATAATCATTGTAAGTGTGGTGCAAATACGTTTCCCGCCAAAAGTGTGCTCTAGAGAACGCCTAGCTCCGATATGGACGCTTCGATTCGGTTGCAGCATGGCCTGCATAACCTGTTGCCGCGCATTTTAGCCATTTTAGTAAAACTTTTCACATTTACAGGAAAAAAGTCAAAATGTCGGACAAGCCGAAGCGTCCCATGTCAGCTTACATGCTGTGGCTAAACAGCGCAAGGGAACAGATCAAAGCCGACAACCCCGGCCTCAAAGTCACCGAAATTGCTAAAAAGGGCGGCGAAATTTGGAGGGCTATGAAGGACAAGAGTGTAAGTTAATTAAGATAGTCTAATTATATTTACGACATTTTAAATCCTGGTAACTAATATTTTTTAATTTTAACAGGAATGGGAAGAAAAAGCAGCTCAAGCTAAAGAACAATACACAAAGGACTTAGAATCATTTAATGCGAATGGAGGTGGTGGTGAAGGCGGCGGTGGTGGCAAGAAACAGGCACAGAAGAGAGGAAAGAAGGCCAAGAAAGCGTCCCCGGTGAGTAACTATTTATCAAGTTATTATTTTATCTGTATTTAAATATCTATATATAACATAGAAAGAAATGCAAATCTGTCAACAAGATTGTAGTGTGCACATTATTACTTATTGAAACTCTTTAAGTCACAAGTCGCATTTTTTTTAGAAGGCTAAGAAGAAGAAGGAAGAGTCTGACGAGGAAGATGGTGACGATGATGATGAGGAAAGCGAATGATCTCCTAAACCAACGCATTTCTGTTCATATTGAATAATTTACTCGGACTTAATTTATTACATAATGTACCACTGGCTTTCCAAAGTCTGTAGACATTAACATTAAATTTCTTTGCATTCTTTTTTAGAAAATATACATTTTGACTTCTGTATTATAGTTTATAACTAATTGGAAATTGTTAGTGACAAGTGTTATTCATAAATGACATATTTAGTATTGAATAAGGTTTGGATGCAACTATTGGTAAGGTGTATTTTTGCTGTGCCTTGTATGTTCTTGTAGGCTTGTTGTGTTATATTCTTGGGTTATGTGTTATAGGCATATCACAGATTCAGGTATTTAGCATTTGAAAACCATCTCAGTCTGCCAGCTAATTGTACACCTAACCATAGTTTCATTCTTGTAAGTGCAGAATTTGGAAAGATTCAGCGCAGGCTAAGCTCTAGTTTCTTAGCCTCGAAAAAAATAATGATAAGTGTTAGCATGTATGAAAAGGGGAATTGTACAGTTAGCCCTCCCTCGTTAAGTTCGCTGTGACAGGATGCTCACCCTAATATGTACCTTGGATAGTTTCATCAAAACTTTGTCTTCAAATTTCAGAACCACATTAAAAGCTGTGCTTTGCCATAATTTTTAGCTACATTTATAACTATGATTTGTGCCCAAGGACAAGTTTTGGTTAAACTGTATCAGAATGTAAAATTAGAGACAATTCATTTACAATGACTTATTGTTAAAGTAAAACCTACCTCTCATTGTAAATTTCAATACTAATAATTGTACCAAACGTAAGCTAAGCTGAAACTTGGATTGAATAAGCCGAGTTAAGCAATCTAGAAAATTTGTGTATGTTGTATTTTTAGTTAGTTTAGGTAGGTTTCAATATGATTAGTCTCTCAAATTTTACATACTTTGTGTTATTTGTAAATGAGAATAGCATTCCTCATGTCAATACGGATTTTACATGTTCAATAAAGTAATTTCATATAAAATTATATTTTTCAAGTTGTTTTTTATTTCACCTCACACATGCATACAATAAGTGTCTGCTATCATTGACCGATAGTATGATAACGACCTACTTATGAATAGTTAGCTCGGAAAGCAGAAAAATAGATGCCGACGCCACGTTGGCTTTTGTCACAGGTGTTATTTCACCAATAATTGTAAAGGCTTTTAGGTTATTGATAATGTGTTCTACCATTTAGATGTGCTTGACTGTAATAAGAAAATTTGGGTCAATAAGTGCCATTACTGCTTATTTAGAGAGTCGGAGTATTCAAGAGCATCCTTTTACTATTTTTATCACAAACGCTAAAACGTGCTTTTTCTGCGTGCTTTCAATAATACATTTTTATTTATTGCATCTTGATAATGATTCTTAAAAATTATTGCCTTTGATCAATTGTCAACGTTTGCTTAAAATTGTTTTTTTAAAGCTGTGGTACCAACCAAGCTATGATACTTGACATCTTTATTACCGGTGTTTGGACTAAATGCGACTAATATCATAAAATAGTATCTATTACTAATCGTAGTAAATATTATGTAGTTTAAATGGGTGATAGGAATATAGAAATTCCGGTCCAGGTAAAAAACAGTAAAGTTTAATCGCTTCTTGGTTTCTGTCTTTTTTGTATCCAGTTACTGAATGACACTGCTTAGGTTAAGTAATATGTCTAAGATTTATTATTACATTTACATGATTATGAATTATCTGTTGCAACAAATTAAAACGAAATGGTAAAAGAAATACAAAGTTCTTAATGATATTTGAAATAAGACAAAGAAAAAGAAATTTTCAATAAGCAAAATTCGACATATTTATAATCAAAACATGTCTGTGGTGCACACAATATATTAATTTTAGATACTAGTCTGTGGATTTATGTTTGCGATTACGATTAGTTCGATTCGAGTAGTAAATATAAATATGGTCTTTGGAGTAGGATAATATATTTTTTGTTGCAATTTGAAATTCGATGTCCAATGATTAACTTGTTAAATGACTCTAATTCAAGATACAATAATAAATAAATCAAATTATGATATTCTCGTGTGCAAGTTACTGTATTTGTAAAGATTGTTTAGATTATGAGTAGGTTATAAAATAATTTGAACTAAAATGACGATGTCTGGCGATGGTCAGGCCGGGGCTTCCCAGGTGGCTTTAGTAACAGGAGGATACGACCACACTATCAAACTATGGCAGGCTCACAGCGGCGTTTGTTTACGTACTATGCAGCACCCTGATTCTGTAACTATATTTAACAATTTCTTTAATGTTTAATTTTCGCGTTTATAACCGCAATGCTCTCATTTACTATCATGTTTTTATAGATATGTTGTATAAAACAGCTGAAGATCGTTTTATATTTTATAGGCATCATTATTTTCTTTTAAATTATCTAATTTAAAATCTGAATGGTTAAAATAAGATTTTTGGTTTTTAGCATTATGGATTTTGTTGCTATTTATAATAGTTACAGCTATATTATCTAACGGGGAATTTATGGGGAAATGGGTGAAATGGTCAGCTGATAACGTGGACTGATCACCCGTCCTACCACAGGTGTCCCCGAAAGAAAATAATAATAATAAATATTATCTAACGATCTAAGTGCCTTTTGTATTGTGTTAATATGGCAGCTTGTTTCGCTTTGAAAATTATGGTTACATATACAGTTATATCTTGTCAGGGCTTTACAGAAGGTTACATTTTTTTCAGCAAGTTAATGACTTGGAAATCAATCCGAGTGGCCAAATGGTAGCAGCGTGTGGTTATCAGCATATACGAATGTATGACTTGGCAAGTGCCAATCCTGATCCTATTATTAATTTTGAAGGAGTCACTAAGAATGTTTCTCGTGTTGGCTTTCAGGTATGTTTTATTAACTATTCTAACACATAATTTTGAATTGGTTTCCACAAAAAGATAATATATAGCCCATTGCTTGCCTTTCAAAACTAAGTGTTGTTTCAAGCTAGACACGATAGCTCTGTTTTTAAAATTGGGCTAGTAGCATTTATCCTTTTGCTTGTAATATAATCAGGTGCACTTCTTTTATATTGGCCTAGATTTAGGTATTTCCTCCGTGGGATAAACACAATCTCTGTGTCTTGAATGAATTGATTGTTATAATGCGTAAAACTTGTTTAGGAGAATGGCCAGTGGATGTACACTGGGGGTGAAGATTGCACAGCAAGAATATGGGATTTGAGGTAATTACAACTTAGGTATTTTACTTTTTGAACAATTTGTGCCAAACATAGGAAAGTTGGTTTTTAATGTTTTAAGACTCAGGTATTCTATAAGGATGGAGGTTTTTTATAGTTGTCGAAACTGAATACAAGTTGATAGAATTATATTGTAGAATTTAAGATTCTAGGACATGCAATTACTTTACTACAGAACATATGTTTCAATAGTGTAATACCTGAACTAGTAATAATGAGTCTTAATATTCTGCCTTATTTTAATATGTTACAACTTTTAATAGGGCTGGAAGACAATTTCAATGTCAGCGAATATTTCAAGTGCCCGCACCAGTGAATGCGGTAGTGCTGCATCCGGATCAATCGCAAATCATGGTTGGAGGTCAAAGTGGCATCATTCATATTTGGGACTTGAAGACAGACCACAATGAACAATTGGTGAGCATGCCATGCGTCTCTTTAGCGGCTAGGTGCTATTGCATAAAATTCAGCAAGACTGTAATAATTGTTCAAATATTAAATATATATTTAGACATTTTCACTTTCAAAAGGTTTTTAAATCTTTATTTAATGGCCTTAACCTTTATTTATTAGGTTATGTCTTGATCAAAGTTATGGTATGATTTACAGATACCGGAAGCGGAGGCGTCAATTCAAGACATAGCTATAGATCCAGAGGGGAAGTTGATGGCGTGTGTCAATAACAAGGGCAACTGTTATGTATGGTCACTCGGGGGTTCCCCGCCGCGGCCGGTACCGCGCAAACATCTCCACGCGCACAATAAGTATGCGCTTAGGTGCAACTTCAGTTTGGACTCAACGTGAGTAGGTCTACTTAGTATTTATCCTTAAATGCTTTGAATTAAAGCTATAAGTGGAATAAAACATTTTACACTATGTATATCAGTATATATTTGTTATGGACTGTTTGAAACGCGACACTTATTAGTTAATTTACTTTATCGAAAAACGGGACAATATAAAGCCTCAATTAGGTCTTTATTTTTAAGTTTTGTTACAGTAATAAATAATAATAATTGGACCGAATATTTTATTAACTTTACAGTATGCTAGTGACGACATCTGGCGACTGTTCAGCGAAGGTTTGGAGCACCAAGGATTGGTCCCTAATCCGTGAATTGAGACATGACTCACAGCGTTGGGTTTGGGACGCCGCCTTCACTATCGATTCTCGGTACCTCTTCACTGGTGCGTGTTCAAAGTTTCCTCATTTGATTGGCACATTACATAAAAGTCGCTTATCCTATATGGGGCATGGGGCAAACACATTTGAACACTAATAAATCATATAGATAAGTATATGATCATACTTCTATGCCCTGCCTGACGGAAAATGTTGTTTTCACATGATTTAACCCAAGAGCTTTCCATGCCTAACGAGATTCATTTTGCTATATAACTAACTAATATTTTTTTTTTTTCTTTTACACTTGTTTTTATTATTCTGATGTAGAATGAGATTTTCTTTTCTTGTATCACTTATAATGTTGTTATTCAAACCCACGCGTGATGTATTTTAAATCTTTTGTCAATATTTCTTCTAGGTTCTTCGGACAGTTATGCACGATTATGGGATCTAGAGAAGGGGACGCTCGAGCGGGAGTATTGCGGACATCAAAAACCAATCACAGCGCTTGCTTTTAGAGATCAGGCTGTATAATTCTAAAAAAGGTCAAAGTAGAAAGATTGATTCTCCAAAATTCTTTGGTTGAAATCCATTGAAACAATCCTACAAAGCCATAAAATAAAAATGTATATCTATGGTCTCGCATAACACAGCGATAAAAATACATTTATTCCTCGGGAACAGGAATTTTTCAGTTAGTTTTTTTTCGCAGAGATAGTTATATGTACAATTACTAATTTAATAGCTGCAAGCAACTAGGCTTTGACGTTATTAATACAAAAGTGAAAACTAAGCTATGCATTTATTTAATAAGGTTTTTGTTTTAAGATCATAAGGAAAATGTAAATATTTTTTAGTATCCCTTGTTTTATAACACCTATCATAGAATGGCACTTCATCAACTGTCATCTTCTTAAGTGTTTTTTGTCATTGATGTTACAATAATTATAAAAAAATACTGTCTGTAGTTTACGCGAGTAGTACACATTTAAATAAAAAACTTTAACGGTTTAAAACGCGATATATATTAGTTAAACTTGTTTGTGACTTGTTTGCAACAGTCCGGAACGCCGGGCGTAGTTAAAAATCATTCACTTCATATGTATTCATATGTAAATTGTTTTTTAAACTGTATATACCATTTATAGTTAATAAAGTGATTTGATAAATATTTATTTTTAATAAGTTTTTAGTCTATGGTTATCAGCTACCACAGATGTGGACCACAAAACAAAACTTGCTTAAAATTAAATGGCATAAAAAAAAAGACAAAATTAAGCAGACATTTATAATTCAGAATAATAACACCTTACAAGCTAAATATAATTCAGAGTCTATTGCACTGCAATTTATAGTCATGTTGTACATAATAAATGCATCGGTTCAATAAATACTCTAGGTAACTTTTAGAATTATTAACATGGATTAATGTCATTTCTGATTTAAACTTTTCACTAACATATAAACTTCAAGAATGGTTGTGAACTCTCAAAAACATAAAATTAAGTACATATAAATTTCAAAGCAATTGGAATGTTTTAAATGCAATTCAAATTCGACTAGATTAGATCAACAAAACCGTTACAATTCCTTAAACTAAAGTCAATTCTTTGAGATTATCGTTCATTAAAGCGGTTAAAATATAAGTCAAAGCATATAAAATACCTAAAGTAAATTATAACTAAAAACGTGTGCCGTTTTGGAATCAAACATGCTTACAAAAAAGTACACTTTGTATTGATATAGTGTCTTAGGAGTTAATATTTCACGTTTTAGAAATACGAATTGATTGTTTTGATATAATTATTACTTAGTTTTGTTCTATAAAATGATGTGAAATTACCAAGTCACACAGTTAAAAAAGAAACAGTAAGCGCTTCGCCGGAATTACATAGTAATACTAATTATAGTCTTAATTTAATATATGACGATAGATTTGACAATTTACAATGCGGAAGGATAAGAAGGCAATAATATGTCAATCTATTTATGATAGTATTGTTACAATTTTATTTTTTATAAGACCAATATTTTTGTGTCAAAGTTATCATCCTATATTAAACATAGTATAAATTAATTTGTTTTGAATTTTCTTTAATATTGTTTTCGTTATACGTTATCCAGTGGTAATTGCTCGACTTCCCCCATCTCAGAGAACATTTCATCATCACAACTGTAAGTGAGAACAAATTTGAGATTGATTTGCGGTTTCGAGAGCGGGCGGGCGATCAACATGACCTGTGTTAGTGCGGGCGGCGGTAAGAACGGATTGTAAGCTGGTAGAGAAGTACTCGATGGCGTTAGGAGACGAACTTTGCAACCCTGGAAATAGAAATGAATTCAAACCGAACGTACAATGTATTTTTTCTAATTTGAAATTTTATATGTTAATGTTAATGGTAGATTATTTTTTTTTTAGATTAACATTTACATCGGGATGGGATGTTATCAAAATCAACGACAATATCAAGTCACATTTATGCACGATCGCTGAAAAGCGTTAGAAACGTGTTAAATAATTATAACATACAAAAGTAGTTATAAGTGATTTTAAATTTTGGGATCATTCATATAGAATCAATGTCTCTTTATACATGTGTCATCAACTTCACTCCATATAAGCTCATGGGTCTCCAGTCTCTCTCTCTGGTGTCTACGGTTTGAAATCTATATAATATTGTTGTTATCTTTCCTCAAACATTTATAATGATATAAGTTAAATGTTAATTGTATTTGTGACCGAGAAACTTATCTTCCAATACGCTTAAAATAGAATTCACCTTTAATACATTTTACATACATACCTTAGGAACAACAGCTTGAAATTTATAATCTTCAATTGGAGATTCATGTTTACTCCTCGTAGACACAACAATGACACTAACATCTGGCCTCGGCTTGTCCTTGCAGAAGTGCAGAACAACCGTCACACCATCATCTTCAAATGCCGTCACAGGTTCCACTTTACTCGGATGAATACTTTGTAACGACACATTTATATCTGACAATGATTTCACTTCACTTTTAACCTTTTCACTTTCACCATTTGTATTCTCAGGAGGAACCAAATCGAATATTTTATCAATTACATTCACGTTATTGTTGATAATTGTATCTGTGATATCCACCATTACATCATCATTTGGAGTGATGGATGCCTCTTGCGGTTTTTTAATTTCTGGTTTCTTTGTGAAGAAATCAAGATCCAGAAGTGCTTCAGTCTGTTGGCACTCGTCTTTAGGCGATACTTTTTCTAGGGCATTCATCGGTATCTTTTTGAAGGATTTACTGAAAACAATGAATTATGATTAACAACTATTTCTCTCAAAAGTTTTTGAGATTGATTTATATTTGTCAATCTTTTGCATTATTGTGGACTATTATAGATTCTGATACCTACCAATAGATAATAGCCAATATATACAAAAGTTTTGGGTGATGTGAAAGAGTCTAGCCCTTATGTTTTAAAGCCTTGGTTACTATCGTACAAATACACTAACACCTTAACTACCCACAACAATTGAACATAAAATAATTAAATTTAGATTCAAACTTCGACGCCATCAGCGGGATCCAAACCCACGATTATAGACATCCTTGCTGCTGATCAGCAATTGTGTATCACGAGATGATTTGCTTAGTAACTAAACATTTTCTATTACTCTGGTGCCATAAAACTTTAAAAGGATAAAACCTATTAAATAAGGATAAAAAACCTACTGGTTGAAACTTTCAACGCGTTTTGCGTTATTGGGTAACGATTGTTTCAGTAATTGTTCTCCGAGAGAGTCCAGCTCGTTCCAGCCTTCTGTCTTCCTAGGTTTATCGCCGATGAGGCTTGGGTCATCTGAAAGTGGCATATAATAATAGTCATTATAGTGATATGTTTTATCGATTTAAAAGCTATATCAATGTATTGTCTATAACTATAGTTTACGTGAATAGTGCAAAACTAAATTAAACACTGCTTTTTATGGTGGAGGATAGCAGACAGGCGTGAGGTCCACTTGATGGAAGGCCCCCAGCCATTTATGTCAAGATGCACCGTTGACCAATTTTGATGTTCACCAGGTCAACGGGCAGACCCCCCAATACTTCAGATCATAGTTAAAACTTAATTAAATCATTTCGCGTTTTAAACCCATTATTATTATATTTATTTAAGTACAAAACACATGATTTTTTAATTAGTATACCTTTGTAAAATATATTTCATTCTCTTTGCTTTTATTCTAACGAAGTTCATACAAATAGTTAATTAATCTTACCATTTTGCATTAAATTGACTGGCTTTAGGACCTCAACACTATTACTTGCAGCCTCACTGGAAAATATGTCTCCCAATTCATCAATAACTCTATTGTCTTGTTTCTCATTATCTTTGGTAGAGCAACCGCCGGCAAAATCTAACAGGACATCATTGTGTGTAACTTGACTGGCGACAGACAACTTAGTTTTATACTTCTTGTCTATGTTGTATTTGTTATATTTTTCAAAAACTACGTCCAACGCGTCGCTCGCGTGTAAAATGTCGGCTGTGAAAAAAATAAATAATTACAGTACATTCTACACTTAATTAACAATATCAAAGCCTATTCGCAGGCTCAAGGAATATGTTTATATTAAATTTCATGAAATTCGGTTCGGCGGTTTTGGAAGTGTCATCCACAAACACTGTGACAGGAGTATATAATACATGTATCTCTTTAAACCTTGGCCTAAACAGCCATGAACCTCTAAACCTTCCTATTTCATACAAATATAGCAGCATTGCTTTTCTTGTCCTTTAAGTAGAATATAAAAAATATCAGGACAAATTTAGTCATTTTGAAGGTAATTAGCATATCACCATGTTGTATACTTACAAAGATTCTCAGCTTGAGCATCAGATGCAGCGAGTTGTTGTAACACAAGCCTCATTCGAGCGCAGCTTGAATGCAATTCATGAATGAGCTGTTCCTCATCAGGAGAAGCCTCGGCAGCATGATCCAACATGTCCCCAAGCAATCCTGCACTGTCTAAAGCAGCACTCACTTCTAATGCCCTACGGCTGTTGGCTTCATTTCTTTTCTCTTCCTGCAAGAGATATGATAATCATAAAATTCCAAGACTAAGAGTCATGTAGCATAGGCATCATGGGCTGTCACATTATTTTTATTCTTATTAGCCATTCTAATATTATAATTGCAGGCAAGTATGTAGTCTGCCCTTTATGTATGACTGACAGACAAAAGCTGTCTGTATCGAATTTAAAGCCTGGGAGTTTTGTAATGAATGTATTACAAGACATTTTACAAGTGAGACTGAAGCAGATTAGCAATGTTTTAAGATTACTAAAAAATATTTAGTGTTCAGTCGTCATAAAATATTTTTAGGTAATATACATAGTGCCTTAAAATATCAGTAAATGAGGCTTCTTTCCCACACAGATTAAATGTAGAAAAAAAATTACAACCTTTGAAAACTTTAATATTATTTCACATGTTATTGCATATGAAGGCACTATATAATTTAAAAATCGAAAATAAATAAAAAAAAAATTTACTCGGGCAGGACTTGAACAGGCATCGTACGTACCGAGTCTGTAGCTCAATTGGTAGAGCAACAGCACGGAACGCTGACAATGCCGGTTCAAGTCGTGTCCAAGTCAAAAATTTTTTTATTTATTTTCGATTTTTAAATTATAGAATAACCTACCAACGAATTAGGCAGTGTGAAACTATTTAAAGTTACAAAGATTTATTATCTACAAGGTAAAACTTAAATGAATTTTTTTCCCTATAGACTCCTAAACAACATATTAAAACTATTCTATGAACATGCTATTCCAAGGCAAAATACAAAAGTATAATGTTTTATTAAAATCAATTTGTTATCAAATTGTTTCAGACTCACAAACATTGTCATACACTTTTGCCTATATTGAACAGAAGAGACTCACCTCTTTAACCATACTTTTAATTAATCTATTTGCATGTTGGAGATCTTCTGGTTTCTTGCTCTGTAGGAGTTTTTGCAGCAATTTAGACTTCTCGTCATCTTCAAAAATTGCATTCTTTATCCTGGGTCGTGTAGCAACATCCTCAGGAGGAAGGGGTGGTGGTGTATCTTTGATAACACCTTGATTCTTTAACATATCATATGCTACTTTGAACTTAGTTTCTTTTGGGTATTCAATAGACCAGGCATGCAATAGTGTTAACACCTAGAAAAAATCAATCAGATAATTTAACATGTATTGACTAATTACAAGATCATTAAAATGTATAATAGACACACTTCATATATACTAATGTTATTAACAATACTTTTGGGCTACATAATATAATAAGATTCAAACATCTTTGCCATAGGGAATATTAAGTCAATAAACACACAGACAAAGGGGTGCAGGGGAGCCTATGCAGATTTTACACTAACTGTTAAGTCACTCCAAAAACTCATAATAAACTTTAAGATGAAAATGCAATAAAAATCACTTACCCTAGTTCTAACTTCAGCTGCGGTTCTGTCAGCTAAGTACTTCGGGGAAACTAATTTTATCATTTCATTTAGAAATCGGAATTTCCCAATTTCAGCCTGAAAATTCGTATCGCCCTTTCGCATGCAGCGGTCCAACATACACAGAGCTAAAAGAGCTTCACGCGCATTTTGGACGTGGATACGAGACGCCAGAGCCTGAGCTGCTAAATGTGGACCTTCAGCCGAGTCCCGCATTATAGCACAAAACGCTTCTAAAGCAGCGGCATCAGGCTGTGGCAACGATTCGTGCGTTGCTTTTACTGTAAATAAAGATAACATTAGTCTTATAAAAAACTAAAAGAGAAACATATTATTGCATCTACTTACAAATTAATGCTTCCAAGCTGGTTAGCGTAATATTCATCTTTTTTAAGTTTGTTCAATTTCTTTTTAAATTTAGGTAGAACATCATTTCAGTGCATATCTTTCCATATCAATAATTTTTATTTACGAATTACGATAATGTTAGGACTGCGCTGTTAGCTTGACAATTGGCTAAACTCAACGTGATAACAGCTGGGGGTTGATAGCATTATTTATCGACTATACCATTGATAAAGAAATATATTGATTAACAAGCTTAATAAATACATAAAATGGTCTTTTATATGGTATTCAGTATTTATTTGTTCTTTAAGTTCATGATTGTGTGAAATTTAATTAAAATATCCGCTGTGAGAGAGTAGACTCTGTAGTGGAGTAGGTAAATTGTCATTATCAATTTATTACACAACTGTCATTTTTTAAATAAAAAATATCACTTTAGAATATATAAATACAAAGTAAATATATAATCCACTGTCTAGCATAAGTTTTGCAATGCAATATTTATGTAAAAAATCGTAAACAAATGAAAAAATGGCGAATACGGGCTTATTGCCATTTGTACGTGGTGTAGATTTCACTAGCAATGATTTTAGCGTAAGTGGAAAATAATATATCGCTGCATGATGTCATATTAACCTGAGGAATATATTTAGGTCCTTAATATCGTTCCCTTTTCAGGAAGGTAAATTTCCCGAAGCTATTAGGCACATGACAGGGCTACAATGGCTGAGGCTCGATAAAACAAACCTAGCTGACGTACCAGAAGAATTGGGAAAACTCATGAAATTGGTAGGGCTTTTGTTAACTTATTCATTTTAGAAACAGCAAATCTTAAACCAATATAATTAATATTGCTGTCTGTTTCTTAATAAACACTGCTTTTTTTTACAGGAGAACTTGTCATTAAAGAAAAACGATTTAGAAAAATTATTTGGTGAATTGACAGAGTTAAAATGTTTACGCTCATTAAACGTTAGGCACAACAAAGTGAAGAGCTCGGGTATACCGGCAGAATTATTTCTCTTAGAAGAATTGACAACACTAGATTTATCACACAATAGGTTAAAGGAAGTGCCCGATGGACTAGATAAGGCAAAATCACTATTAGTTTTAAACCTGAGTCATAACAAGTAAGTAATAAACTTTCACTTTAAAGATTTACTTTTAGATCCAGAAATACTTTTAATAAACAAATGTATTGGTTTTGTGATAAAACTGATTATCATAATCATTACCTTATATAACTATGTGTTAATTATATAAACATGAATGTTACTAGGTACAAAGAATTGATTGATAAGGTTATACTGGGGGTTAAACAAAGAAGCAATTTTTAATTTGTATATTCTAATTAAAAAAAAATCTGTGCCTTTCCTAAATCAATAACATACATAATCTATGATTAGTAAAAGCACAAGAGGTCCAGATTGTTATTCCAAAAAAACAAAATAGGATTTTATTAATTAATAACTGATATTATCATCGTTGATATTTTGTTTCAGAATTGAAAGCATACCGCCTACCCTGTTTGTGCAGTTAACAGACCTATTGTTCTTAGACTTATCAAACAATCTCTTGGAGACTTTGCCCCCTCAGACTAGAAGATTGGTGAATCTTCAGACACTTATACTCAATGACAACCCCTTAGGATTATTTCAGTTGAGGTAAATAAAATACTTTTAATAACATCACCTCTATGATTATTATCAATGTGTTTAGCATGAAAAGTCCTGGGTTTTAATTTTCAAAGATGAGTTGCATTAAAAAGGTGATGCTTTGTTACTTGGAGTAGAACTAACAATTTTGTATTTGCGTACAACGATGTACATAATTTTGAAAATATTGAAATTTGTATGTACTTGCTCTAAACCATTATCATAACGATAAGGCATATCATTGATCACATAAATATTTATATATTCAAAACTGTTTGCATGTCATAAAAAATGAACTCTTTCTCTCATTGAAATCAATTCAAATGAGTATGAAATTAAACATGTTCATTTCTAAATTGCATATAGTATTAAGTGGTAATTACATTCCACTTTGTTTAATCAATATTTAATGTACTTTAAATACAAATAAAGTCAGCGATAAAGAGTAAATAAATTCTTATAATTGGCTAAAGTTTTTGTGAGTCAATGGAAATCTTTTGATTTAGACAAACCAATTGTAAACATTTAACTCCGACATGTTTATTTAAAAATATTATTTTTTCTTGCAGACAGTTACCATCACTACAAAGCCTCGAGACGCTGCATATGCGAAACACTCAAAGAACTGTAGCCAACCTTCCAACCTCACTGGACACACTCTGCAATCTGTCAGATGTAGATTTATCCAAGAATGCCCTCACCAAAGTTCCGGATGCTCTTTATTCATTGCAGAACTTGAAGCGACTGAATCTTAGTGACAATGAGATAAATGAAATATCATCAGGTAATAAAAAAGAAACTTATCACAATGTTAATTACAGAGTCCAGGTCAGACGTCCGTGCCCTGTCTGCCCTAAATACTTAATGATATTTTTTGGAATTCAAACTCACTACATCTGATTTTATTTGACATTTAATCACTAACATGTAATAATTAAAGCTTAAAATTTAATTGCAGTCAGTAAAGAAATATTTAAATGATTGTTTTTTCTCCCTCATTTCATTGATAACAAAAGTAGTGTTTAACATAGAATTTTGCGGTTGCTCTGAGTCAAATTACTTATAAATTGTGTAAGGCTTTCAAGGCCATCGTTCAGCATATCATTGTCTTTCGGGCTGTTCGGACGATGTGAGCGAGAAGAGGTTCTCAACTCCTCGATTGCTCGAAGAATTATGGCAATCGAGGAGTTAAGATCTTCTGATGATGCCGTCCACACGTGATGGCGAAACGTCGAGAACCTTTTCTCGCTCACATCGGCCGAACAGCCCAAAAGACAATGATATGCAAATTACTTATGTTTTAACTATTTTCAGCAATGGACATGTGGCAGAAATTGGAGAGCCTAAATCTATCTCGTAATAAGTTGACAGCCCTCCCGGCATCACTATGTAAATTGCAAAACTTGAGACGACTGCACGTTGACGACAATAATCTAGACTTTGAAGGAATTCCATCGGGCATTGGGAAACTCGGAGCTTTGGAGGTGTTTTCAGCAGCTAATAATTCTCTGGAGATGATTCCAGAAGGTCTTTGCAGGTAATATAAAAACCTTTCTTATATTATGGTTTAATATGGCTGTTGCTGGTAGATTAGTGTCTACTTTTTAATAATAAATTAAATATAACTATAAATGATTGTATTAAAAAAAAATTATATTTACTAAAGTTTAAAGTAAAGGCTTCGTTTTCTTTCCTTTTAACTAAGTAAACCTTATTTTAGTGAAATTGTGTTGCCAAATTCTACCTCCGGCATATAGTTTCTTGATTTATATAATTATTATAAGTTTTTTAAATTATTTTCAGATGCGGTTCCCTCAAAAAATTAAACCTCAGTTGCAATAAGCTCATAACTCTACCAGATGCTATTCATCTACTCTCTGACTTAGAAAGTTTGCAATTGCACGGCAACCCCGACTTGGTGATGCCACCGAAACCCGTCGAACGACCGAAAGGTTCAGGCCTCCAGTACTATAATGTCGACTTCTCGCTGCAAACGCAACTGCAGTTGGCTGGAGCGGCTACCCCTGAGCTGACAGCACCGAATAGTGAGTAGTTTGTTGCAGAACATCTTGTATGGTGTCGTCATATTTTTATTAAATCTAGACTATACTTATGCTAGACGTTATATTCACATGCCGTACTATAGCTTTGATCAATCTGGAATTATTTTTGTTTGTTAGCTTATCATGAAAGAATTATTTTTCCTGTAAGAAAAACAAGGAATTTTCATGAAGTATTCCGAAGTTTTAAATACCCAGTCCCTTGGCGTTATTAAGCAGTAGTATAAGAGTGTAAAGTAGTAAACATAAAAACATTTATAATAATTTATGATAAAAAGATTTTTAGTAGATTTGACGCTAGGGACACCCTCCATCTTCAGTCCCCTCCATCACCCTCACTGCTAAAAACTATTCAATATGTTGAAACGTAAATAAAATAAATGTAATGTTTTAAAGTTTTATTAGAAAATATATTATTTAATTAAGCCACTCATTACATACGTGTTTTAAGTTTTTTTTGTAAATTCATTGTAAGAGAATTAATCTCATGAGAATTCTTTCAACCTAATTACAATATCTTAATAAATAGCCTTTTAGTCTATGGAAATAGATTTTGGGATAGAACGAAAATACAATACAAATATTTATTTTTAGCTGGTGGGGGTAAATCTGACCCTATAGCGCGTAAATTGCGCCTACGTCGTGGCCGCGCGGAGCCCGAACAAAAGGATTCAGCCTTAATACTTCGCGGGATGCAGGAACAAGCTAACACGCAACACACCAATGAACTTACGGAACAAGCCAATAGTGAACTGAAGTAAGTTTTCAATGACGGTAGAAATTAAATTTAACTACCCTCAGTAATATCTATGTTTAGCTTTAACTAACGGTGGGGCTTTTAGTGTTTTTTTTTTCGAGCACAATTAAGTCTGTAATACTGAAAGTAGTTGCTAACGCTTGCTCAGTTTTATTAACAGGACCATTCATATCTTTACAAAAGTATTTTTAGGGAGTTTAATGTTGCAATGTAGTCTGTTTAAATATTTTGTCTTTAATTTAAAATGGTTTATTTATTACATTTTGAGTCATGCTTAAGAGGTTTTCAAAAATACTTGTAGACCAAAACGCTGGGATGAGAGCTTAGAGAAACCACCGTTGGATTATTCGGAATTCTTCGACGAAGACACTGGACAGACACCTGGTCTACAAGTGTGGGAGATTGAGAACTTCATACCAGCACCAGTGGATGAAGTAATTATTTATTTCTCTTTTTTAAATATATATTCATAAACATCGTTTAATAAAAAAATATATATTATACGACAAGGCTTGAACCGGCTTCCGCAACGTGCTGTTGCTCTACCCAACAAGAGAATATTAAAGTATTCAAATGTATATTCTCGATATTTTTAAATTTGAATTTTGTAAAAAATATTTCTTAGGTAGGACTTACACTTACACAAAGATAGTCATAAAATTTAAAATATACTTGATTTTGGAGATAGTAATTTTAATAAAACACTAAACTGTTTAAAACGCGATATATATATATTTTTTAACTACAAATACACTACAACGACGATGTTCGGATGCAATTAAAAAATTAGTTAAGTAAATTACAATTAATGAAACCGTTTAAAATGTTTACTTTAAATTTGTACTAATCGCGTATGCTACAGACTATATTATAAGCGTACTATTTCTTAGATTATATTGTAAAGCTAATTTACGTTATAAACTTACGTGCATTCTTATAAATATAATATAGTGCATTATACTATACATTTTTATAGGTTGCCCATGGAAAATTCTTCGAAGGCGACTGCTACATCATCTTGAAGACAGCAATTGCGGAGCAGGGTCAGTTGTCTTGGGACATACATTTTTGGATCGGTTCTAAGGCCACAGTAAGTTTGCTACGATTGCATCATCATGATGAATTGTTGAATTCTCACTTTTAGCACACTCTTTCTGGTTATTTACAACATCTTCGCGACAAATGCGTCCATTTAGAAGGTTATAAAACCAACACATCTGTTTGTATTTAGGAGTAAAAATTTCACCGTTTTTGCTGAATATTCGGTATACTGCCGAGTATACCTTGTAAGCCTAATTATTATTATTCTTTGCTTGTAGCTCGACAAAGGCGCCTGCGCAGCTATGCACGCTGTGAATCTGCGCAACTTTTTAGGCGCGAAACGCACGCAACGACACGAGCAAGGCGACGAGAGTCCCGAGTTCTTAGCTCTATTCCCGTTACCACCTGTTTATATTTCTGGCAGTCACACGCCGTCGGGCTTCTTCACAGTGGATGATCCTGTAAGTATACATGTTCTTTTGGTTTGAAAACTGTATTATTTTTTACGTATAGCTCATCAAGGCATTCTTAAATTATATATTTAAGAATCGAAAATAAATTAAAAAATTTTCGACTCGGCCAGGACTTGAACCGGCATGCTGTTGCTTTACCAATTGAGCTACCGCGTCCCACACCTCATCGTCGAATTTGTTCAACTTATTGATACATGCACCTCTCGCGCAATGTAGCAATCTCTTCCAGGCAACCCTTGTTAGGAAAATAATTACAAATACCTTAAGGGAATTTGCAAGAAATGCGATCTTTTTTATTATTTTATATCAAATTATATATATTGTTGGAAATCATCAGAGAAGTTCAACTACCCGCCACTGAAGGCACATAAACAAGCCTCAAGCAACGGCTCGTGCACTATTTTGCCGCTCGTTGTACGGAACGGACGTGCTGCCCGGTCGATAGGATTTTGTTGAATTTAAATTTATTTAGTTGTTGTCCGCTTCCGCTTCTGATTTCTAAAAATATATAAATACAATAAGTCTTAAACGCTATAGCGATGCCTTAAATTTGTATGTAATTTTAAGCGTACACTAAGAAACTTAATCGTAACTAACTACAGACAGAATGTATTATCTTCGCTCTAATTAAAGTTTTTTTATTAATTTTATGGGTCGTTAACGTTTTCAATATTCTTCACAGCATTATGTGACGAGGTTGTACCGAGTACATGGCGCAGGGAGCAGCATTCATCTGGAGCCAGTAGCGGTACAAGCGGACTCTCTAGACCCGCGATATGTGTTCGTACTAGACACTGGCTTGGTGATTTACTTGTGGTAAGTGTGTACTTGAGCAATTGCTATAATCATCCGATCTTGGGTTCGATCCCCACATGATCCAACATGCTACAGGAAATCTGAATATTAAATAGGTTGTAGGAATATTGAAATTCCGCCCGAGTCACGAAACATATTTACATATGAAAAGGCTGTGAAGAAGTTCCTAATGTTTAGATATTATATATTAACATCCACCAAGTGCATGCTTGTCTGTCCTGCTTTATCATACGTAAATAATCAAAAAGTGGCGATTTCTTCCAGGCAACTTTTGCATGTAGAAATAAAAAGATAATTTTAATAAACAAGCAAATATATTATTATCTATAGTGCAAACCACTTAGCTTTTGTTTCTTGTCTATTCATATCATAATTTTTGGTCTCTTTTAAGGATTGGTAAAAAAGCTAAGAACACACTGAAATCGAAAGGTCGCCTCTTCGCAGAGAAGATCAATAAAGAAGAGAGGAAGAATAAAGCAGAACTTATCACGGAACCACCCGGGAGGGAGCCGAAGGGATTTTGGGAAGCTTTGGGCTATGATGGTGATTTAGCCTATGTACCAGAGGTATGTAACAGGCTATCTGGTGATTTGGGACAGATTAACATTTTTTAAATAGGTATAGTTAATTTACAATTAGTGAGCTATAATTATTAGTAACACTAGTTCTCTCCCGCGGTGTTGCACGTTTTAATAGTTCTAGATATGTCTTTAGTAACATGAATAAATCTCCAAAAAAATAAATTGTTGAGCTTTTGTGAGTAAGGCATAATTTTACAATAGTGGAAGTTACCATGGCTCAATTTAAACAATTTGTTTTAGTTTCTAACAACAAATATTTTAAGATTATAATAATTTACGGCTCTTCTACGAGTATATAAGTATCTAACTGTTGAGACTCTCAATGCCGTGGTTTTCCAAACAAGCAGTCTTCAACATGTTCAGTAATATAATCTTTTGAGTTTGTATTCCACAAAGTCAGTCATGTCGTTACAAAATAAACTGTCTAAATTTTACGCGAGTAGTACACATTCATATACATATACACATATATAAGCGATATACATTAGTTAAACTTATTTGAAAATTATTTTAACCACGGCCCGACGTTTCGGATGCTTTGCAGTCGCCGCTTCGTGGCCACGTTACTAATATGTTTCGCATTTTAAACCGTTAGTGTTTTATTTAAAAATACAGCATGGTATTTATATCTGTGGTTCTACAAATGTTTCTAGGAGCACGTGCCAGAAGACTTCACCTGGGCGGCACCTCGGCTCTACCGCGTAGAGCTGGGTATGGGCTACCTGGAGCTGCCTCAGACCGAACAAGCTGTCACCCGTTCCGTTCTGAACACTAGGAACGTGTATATATTGGACGCGCATCTAGATGTCTTTGTGTGGTATGTAGAAAACTATTTATTATTAATCCAGATAACAGAATAATGTAATACGGCCTCTGGTAAATATAGTCTAGTAATACAAATTCACTTTTAACGGTTTAAAATGCAAAACATATTAGTTAACTTATTAAGGTCACGGCCACTGCAAAACATCTGAAATGTCTGGCCGTAGTTAATTAAAAAAGTATAATGTCACGTTTTAAACCGTAAAAAGTGTTTTATTTAAATATTTATTACTCGCAAAAACTACAATGATAAAGTTTAACCATTCGAAAGTCTTGAAATCGGACTGTAATCGGATGTTAGGCGATTATATTAAAATTCTTAGGATCTGATTTAAGAGAATTGGGGATTACAATATATGTATAATCGATAAATAGAAGTCTAAGTTTAATAATTAGTAATTTATAGATTATCCATTTAAAGAGTGTCTAAGACCGTCCTCGTTATTAGGAGACTTTGATGAACTCCGCATTCGTCTTAACCTTTCAGAATACTAATATATAATAATTTTTGGCAATACATGCATGGCCAATAATCCAAAGAAATACGTCGATACTGTTATCCTCCCATTAAGGGCACTCCACGTTTGTCTGCCCTCTATCAAAACATAAATGTTAAATCATTTCTTAAATTTAAAAGGTTTGGCAAGAAATCGTCTCGGCTGGTCCGCGCGGCCGCCGTCAAATTGGCCCAAGAGTTGTTCAATATGGTGAAGAGGCCGCCACACGCACTCGTCACCAGACTACAGGAGGGTACAGAAACTCAGGTAGAAGCGTTGTTATCTATACTAATATTATAAAGCTGAATGTTTGTTTGTTTTATTGGACGCGGTAATCTCAGAAACTACTGGTTCCAATTGAATTATTTTTGTGTTGGTTAGAGCATTTAGTGAGAAAGGCATCAACCATCACCCAGCAATAGAATATAAGAAACAGTGGGAAATGTGGAAAAACGAAAAAATCATTATCTTTGAGCGTTTTAGTAGTGACCGAATGATGCCTTATTAAAAAAAATACCGCGGCAGTATAGTAACGGGGAGTCATTGTTTTATATGATAATGTTTAATCAAAGAAATTCTCTTGTACTAGGTAGTAGACACTAATGAAAGTTTACTAATAAAATTCCTAGGTCTTCAAAACATACTTCCTTGGGTGGGAGGAAGTGATAGCAGTGGACTTCACTCGTACAGCCGAATCGGTGGCGCGTACCGGAGCCGACTTGACTACGTGGGCCAGGAACCAAGAGACCAAGTAAGTTAAACTTTTGCTCCACCGCATTATAAACCGTTAAAAGTGATTTATTTGCGATATCACGGCGCGGGCGGTATACGAACCTCGCTCGTTGCTCTAATGGTAGTAATGTAACCAACGGGTAGTGAGCCTGAACCCCACCATGTCTTTAATCAACTTACAATATTTCCAAAACATGTTGGACCACTTCTGGAAATCTGGACTAAAAATGGAAGGAATAACGAAATTCCACCGTTCCGCAAAGGAAAAGCTGTGGAATTAATAGCGTATCGGTTTCAATCTGTGGGTTTCCGAATATCCAAAGCCAAAACAGCTCGACAGCGCATGTTGTTTGTTTGTTGTGTGATATTATATGGCTGAAATATTTCACCTACCGTTAAATGAACCCCAAACTAACCTGCCCTCCTCTATAATAAAAAATCTTATTTAAATAAAACACTTTAACGGTTTAAAACGCGATATATTAGTTAAACTTATTTGAAAATGATTTTTATGATTTTGATATATCGCTTTTTAAACCGTTAATGTGTTTTATTTAAATGTGTACTACTCGCGTAAACTATAGACAGTATTTAGGATACCATCATGTTAAAATTAAGTTTCCAAATTATAATTATTTCGTTAAAATCTCTTTTTTCCCGCAGAACGGACCTATCAGCATTATTCACGCCCCGACAGCCAGCCATGTCAGCGAACGAAGCGAAGACGTTAGCCGATGAATGGAACGAAGATCTCGAAGCGATGGAGGCGTTCGTCCTTGAGGGTAGGCATTTTGTGCGACTACCCGACCAAGAACTGGGGGTGTTCCACAGCCACGATTGCTACGTGTTCCTCTGCAGATACATTATGCCGGCGGAAGAGGATGATAACGAAGATATAGATGACGATGAGGCTGATGCTGAGGCGGCGACTTGGGTGGTCTACTTCTGGTAAGGCCAATAAACCAATAATAAATATTATAATGATGGTTCTATTTACGCCTTCTGATTGGAGTATGCAAAGATTTTGTTTACCTTTTAATACATAACAATATAATATCAAAATCATTAAAGATCCAAATTTGAATAGATATAGATAATAACATTGACTTTTAAACTTTCTACTTAATTTAAATGGCGCAAATTGGTGGTAAAACTCAGCTGTCAGCTTACTTATTTAAACCAGGATCATTGGGTCTTAGTTGTAGTTTACGCGAGTAGTACACATAAAAAAAACACTTAACGGTTTAAAACGCGAAATATATTAGTTATACTTATTTATAGTTTGTTTTAACTGTGGCACGGCGTTTCGGTTGCTTTGCAGCACATATGGTCACGGGGGCACTAAACGTGGAAGATGTTCCTAATGTCAAAGTAAAGCATTCCTACGCTAGCGTCATCTGTACCGTTGTATTCGGCAAAGCTGGCAAAATTGACTAACGGTGTCCTCTCGTTTCTCAATATAGCGTTTTTTTAAAAGAAGTTTAACGAATATATTTCGCGATGAAAACCGTTAAAAGTGTTTTATTGAAAAGAATGATACGACTAACTAGAACATGGTGGATTCTTGGTAGAAACAGCTGTCTATCAAGTTACTATTAAGGATCTGCAAGCACCGAAAAGATAAGTGCCGTTGTTCACTTCCATGATTCCTCAGGCAAGGCAGAAAGGCACCAAACATGGGCTGGTTAACATTTACCTTTGGTCTGGAAAGGAAATTCAAGCAGCTCTGCAAACGGCTGGATGTGGTCAGGACTCATCAGCAGCAAGAGAGTCTGAAATTCATGTCGCACTTCAAAAGGCGCTTCATCATCAGGGATGGCAAGAGGAATGTCAAACCGGTATGTTTTATATGGCCATTGATTATATACCCAAAGTTTTTTTATGATAGAGGGAGACAGACAAACATTTTTTCACTTGATGGGAGGTGAAATACCCCAGCCATATACAGTCTACACCAGATGCGCCGTCGACCTATTTCGGATATGGGTACTCGGAAATCCACAAACTGAAATCAAAACGCGATTAAACTTCACGGCTCTTTCACCTGTGGACGGTGGTTCGTGACCCGGACGGAACATTCCTAGCACCCATTTGAGTGGGGAAATAAAAGCCCTGCTTTTAAATAAAACACTTTAACGGTTCAAAACGCGATATATTAGTTAAACTTATTTAAAAATGATTTTTAACTTCGGCCCGACGTTTCGGATGCTTTGCAGCAGCCGTGGTCACGGGGAGACTCGTTAAAGAGACGAAGTTAAAAATCATTTTTAAATAAGTTTAACTAATATATCGCGTTTTAAACCGTTAAAGTGTTTTATTTAAATACTTTTAATGGTTTCATTAATTCAACTTACAATTTGTTGTAACCACGGCTGCTGGTAGGCATCCGAAACATCAGATCGTTGTTAAAATAAATTGTGTAGAAGTTAATATATATCGCGTGTTAAACATCGTAACTTTACCTTTAATGGTCTACTAACATTGAAGTATTACATCTAACATATATTTCGGTCAAAATGCTCATCTATCCAAGAGTTGTGTTGTACTGTAGTGGCCTTATTTATATCAGAGGTTCTATTAGTCTGTGGGGTCTTAGTCGGTTGGCTGACATAACCTATATGCTTCTTCCTATGGTGCCGTGGGTATCCGAAAAGATTTCCCCATTATAAAAAAAATCCCGCCTTAGTTTTAACTGTGTTTTTATCTTTGTCCAGGAGGGCCGTCAACCCGTGGAGTTATTTGAGCTGCGAAGTAATGGCTCCGCATTATGCACTCGTCTTGTTCAAGTGAAAGCGGACGCCACACAACTCAACTCTGCTTTCTGGTTATTGTTAAAATATATCATTCTTGACTTAATCATTAATTCATTCTCAGTGGCTAGTAAGATGATGATTAAAGGAAATATATATAACTACCCTCATTTATGGAAACGTCAAGTAGTGCTTTACAAATACGTCTATCAAGCTAAAAACTTCTTAGTTAGACTCATATAGAATAACTTTCAATAAGATGGACACTTAGTTATATATTTACGAAAGATAATTACTAATCAAGTTTTCATTTCTCATTTCAGTTACATCTTAAATGTTCCGCTAGAGGGCGCTAACGATACTTCTTCTGCCATCGTATACGCGTGGATAGGAAGCAAGAGCGACGCGGATTCGGCCAGACTCATCGAACAGATAGCTGAGGAGAAGTTTAACAATCCTTGGGTCAGCTTGCAGGTATGAACTGATAATTAAATTAAAAATAACTTTTATACAAAGATACACGCCTACAACACTATTTGCTCGAATCAAAACTAAAGCTTGTAATTTTAATATTATTAATTTTTATTTATAACGCGATTAAACTGCACGGCATTTCAAGGAATTTCGGTATACCACCCACTTAATATCCAGATTCTCAGACGACTTCCAATGTTTCCGAAACATTATAATTTGAGTAGAAAACTCTAAATTACCCACATGAAATATTTTTACCCAACTTACTATGCAGCTATGTTTAAGATCCATATTTTGTAATTTGATTGAAGCTAACACATACTATCTAGCAAGGATGTTGCATATACAGTTGGTTGGTTTTATTAATACCTTTTTTGACTGGCCTATTTTAAAGGTACTAACGGAAGGCAGCGAGCCCGACAATTTCTTCTGGGTGGCACTTGGCGGTCGAAAGCCCTACGATGAGAACGCAGATTTCCTTAGCTACACACGATTGTTCCGTTGCTCCAATGAAAAGGGATACTTCACTGTTTCAGAAAAGTGCACCGATTTTTGTCAGGTTGGTACAACTGATAATAAAAGCCAATCTGGCTTGACTTAGCGCATTCAATACGATTTTCCAAATATTTAAACTAGCTAGAAATAATAATAGCATTTATCGTGCGTCCTAGAAACATGATTCTTCTTAGCACTCTATAATATGAAAGAAATAAAAATCGAAATTGATCAAACCGTTTGAACATTATCCACGTAGTAAAAATACTTAAAATTTCGCATTTTAAACTGTTAAAATTGTTTTATTCCGACATATTACCATTTTTCAATTCATTGTAAACATATTTTATTATTGTTATTTAAATTAAATTTAGCAAGTCACCATTAACATAAAAAACACTTCCTCTGCCAGGACGACCTCGCTGATGATGATATAATGATTCTTGACAACGGAGAGCAAGTGTTCCTTTGGCTTGGTGCCAAATGCTCCGAGGTGGAGATCAAGTTGGCTTACAAAAGCGCACAGGTGAGACCTTACATAACTCCTGCTTGTTGAAAATTCAGCATCCAGTTAATTCACAACTTTTAAATATATTTTAAAGGATTTCAGTTTTATTTGGCTGTGCTGTAGTTTTATGCAAATTATAGAGCAAGCTGATAAAAATCCTAATAGTAAAATAAAATAACTGTTAGGTATGCCATGAAACAAAGTTAATGAGTTCCATTGTGGTGGCTTATGTTAATAAAAGTGTTCGAAAATACTTTTTAAACAGAGATGGGTCTTTAGTTTTAAAAGTACTTCCCCTTTGCCTTCAAAGCTAAAAGCTACTTCTACACTAACATTTATTACGTAATTCTTAAAAAATATTGTGGCCATCTACAAATACTTGGCTCTTTATTTTTATTTGTATTAGGCTGGCGTCTCGGCAAAGTAGCTGTTGACATTTTGCCATCACAAGTGGAATCTTTAAGAATTGGCTATACTTTGAAGTCAGTCTATGATAAATCTTTATTTACTAAAGCTTTTATGTATAGGTATACATTCAGCATATGAAATCCATACAACCCGAACACCCACGGAAACTGTTCCTCACCCTGAAAGATAAAGAGTCTAGAAGATTCACCAAGTGTTTCCATGGCTGGGGGGAACATAAAAGGCCTCCTGAGTAAAAAGTTTCTTTACTTGTATTTGGATCATTATAAAGTATATTATGTATTCACATTTTTATCTGTAAAGTATTATTAGACCATATGCTGTACAATGCAGTATTACAAATTCAAATTACAGTATAATAACGGCATGGCCTTTAGCGCTGAACGAATCCTGTGCAGAAGTCAAAAATAAGGTATCGAAGGGACGGAAGCAGGCGCGGGGCGAGTGAACGTCATGTGCGCTAGCGTTGATTGGTTCCCCAGTCGTGTTGTCTTTCTCGAACCTATACGACGCTCCGCTTGCTTCTCGAGTACAGTCACGTTTTCCAATCAATTACGTGCGCGGTTGTAAGGATGCGCAACTATATTCGTTCAGCGCTAAACATCCGTGCCGTGACCTATACATAGAGTATCAAGAACTTAATTTACCTATTAAATCACAATGCTATGAGTCAATGTTGTGTTAGCTATGTTTCAACACATTCTATATCACAGCATAAAAATATTAAACCCAGTTCAATGAAATAATCATCACATAACGAAAAGCAGTCATTTAATTATAACTACAGAATAATTATAGCCTATATAAAATGTCTCATTGATTTAAAACTATTAGACTATATAAAGTTTATACCACCTAGCAGTTGATACATAATTTTGTTATATTATACTTCAAATATTTAAATTTTTATAGCCAAGGCAGTGACTAAATTTAACACCCCGACAACAGTTACTGGTCTGGCCAGGTTTTGAATGTGTAATATTTTACAATTCAAAATTGCTTTAAGATACTAATATTAACAGCATTGTAAAGAACAATATCATCACAACACAAATAAAAGACTGAACTTTGCCATCTCATCTTTATTTGTCACTTTTACTTATAAAATTAAGCACAAGTTATTAAATCATAAGTCAGCAATATAAATACAATAAAATATTTGACTAGCTTTTGTTACAGACAGTTACAGGCGAAAAGCTATTGTAGATATGCAAACTGTATTTAAGTGTAAGAGATTTGTATATATTTTAGGATGCTATGTAACATACTAAGTGTAATTGATACTGTGTTGAGAGCACAAATATATTTTATATCCTTGTAACCATCCTTTAATAAATGACGTAACAACTGTATATTGTTTTTTTACCCGCTTACGTTTGTTTGAGAATCATCAATCTAAATTTAAACCTTTAAACTAGTCGTCGTCGTCATCGTCATCCGAAGGGACAAATAATTCGTTCTCCTCTAAGAAATTCGCTATATTCTTACTAATAGCTGCGCCAATCAGTAGTCCAGGTACGACAGCGCACACCACACTCAACAGCCCGAAAGGAGTCTTCTCTGGTTCGGGAAGAATCGCTCCACTAGGGGTTGTTGTTGCTGGCCTTTTATGAACAATCGTACCATTTTTGTAGTTACTCTGAATAACAAGCCGAGTAAGGCGCGTAAAGTACATTTTGTTTAGGGTTTTCGTCGGCTTTAGTGGACGAGCGAAAGATCAAATTAGAATTTTTTCAATGTTTTGTAAATCCAAAATTAGAAATTTCGTATGACAGATGAGTGACATTTACATGAACTGTCAAGCAACAGATTATCTAATATGGCACAGATTAATAATTTGGAAAAATTAAGTTGTATTCTGTATCAGTCTTTGGCACTAACAAAAAGACAAATTTAGTTTTAGATAAAATGTCAATTCAAACAAATTAGAAATTATATACACAGGAAAGAAAGTTTTGTTCATCAAATGTATTACTTCACGTTAAAAAAATTTTGGGTTAAAATAGAAATTACGACGAATTGAAATATTTTACATTTTTATTCCTCTATTAGGTTCTAACAAAACAATATCTACATTCTCAAAATCATATGTATACTTTGTCGGCAAGACAAAAACGTAAAATAATAGAAATAAGAAATGCATTTTCAACTGTGATAAAAGTAAAGGATTTCTTCAGCATCACAATAACCATTAGTAGGTCACTTCGATTATATTAGTAGTCAATTTTCAATGTTAGAATAAAGAAACTTATATTCACTAATTTAAGGATTTTTAAAGATATGAACCATAATGTGTATTTATATATAACTAAGTGAAATCTATGGTAATTATTAATAAAATTTGGTTTATCGTGGCATTGGAGGCATGCTGGGCATAGGTCCAGTCATTGAAGTGTTTGTGCCTAGTAACACCTGAAAAAAAAATAGAATTTTTTTTATATAATTATAATTAAAGAGAAAAACTGTGTTGTGGAATTATGATGTGGTCACTTCACAAAGATAATACACACTATTGAGAAATGGTTCTCATGGTTAGGCCATCACAATAGCAGTGGATAGCATCACCAGATGTGCATTTCTTAACTTAGCAATGACTGAAGAGGCTGAACTGGTGAAATATCAACAACCATATGTCAATTACAACAGCCCCACAGCTTTAATTGCCGAGTAGCTTTAGAAAAAAACTGATTATAGAATATACTTTACTAAATACTAAACTAACCTGTTTTTGTTGTGACTTTTGCATTTCTTCAACTTGCGCCCGCTCCACCTCAAATATGACCGGGGCAAATAAAATTACAGAGGAACTAGCCACAACCCACATTAATGAACGTGAGAGCTGATAAAAGTTCTTCAGACCTGACCTAAAATATCAACACAATATTAGACAATTCATAAACAAATGCAGTCGTCATTATTATATTATATTTTTAGGAATCAGAAGCGGATATACTAAAAATAACACAATAACTAAATAAATTTAAATCGAACAAATTTCTATCTACTGGGCAGCATGTCCGTTCCGTACAACGAGCGGCGAAAATAAAGTGAACGAGCAGTTGCTTGAAGCTTGTTTTTATAGCCAGTGTGGTGTGTACTTGAGCTTCTCTGATGATTTCTAACAATATCATAAAAACAAATAATACCACTAGAAGCATTGAGAACTGCTTGCTGAGAATTCTCACTTCACAATACATAAAAGGGTTTATCAAAATTTGTAATATGTGAAATTACTTTGACGAGGAAGCTAAACAATAGGTTTGTAATGTTCCAATAAAATAATATGGTTGCCCTAACTCAGAGTTCTTTACATATCAATAGTAAAGCCAAATTTATGCCTATTAAATAATAAACTATCCTTACCAAGTCTTTGTTGTTATTGTGTATGTACTGCTTCTAACACAGCCTGGAAACATTTCAGTCAATCCCCACAGTCTTTCAGGTAAGGTTTCATCAGGTTCCTAGAAATAACTTAAATTACTAATTTCTTTCTTAACACATTATTGAATTCCATACATTAAAGGAAATGGTACTTACATCATCATATTCTTTAAGAGATAGAAACGGTGGGTTACTGGCAGTAGGAGATGTGCCCAACTGTGAACAATAGTTATTTAATGTTTAGTATTCTTAATTTCTTATTAGTATCCCTTATGAAACACAAACTATTACTACGCGAAATATGCTCATTTCTGTCACATATGTTACGAATAATCTATATACTTTCAATTACAACATTCTTCGACTTATGTAAAGCAAATTTAACATACAGCAGGGGTAATGAACATGTCTTCAGGTCTGCGTTCTGGGGTATCATCTTTGCTGGCCGTCAAAGATTCCATTCCGCTATCGCTCTGTTCGTTTTCATCAGGTAACTCCATGAGCATAATAATGTGATTTTAAAGTAAATATCACTACGTTAAACTTCTGCGCTCTTTACAAGATAACCTCGTGTAAAATTCACAAAATTTTTAAGAAAGGAAAAGCAATGGTTAATCAGTCAATAGTTTAAAATTATAGAATAAATCTGATTCTGATTGTCAATAATCCTTTACAGACTATATATTTAAATTGTCAATGTGTTCGTCTTAAAGCCACATATGTCGTTTTTAAAGGAATTTTTTATAACATAAAATAACGAAAATAACAAAACACGATAATAATTAATATGAAAAATTACTTTTGAAATCTAATACTTGCTTATAAAAAATAACAGGAGGAGTAACCATAGACCATTGTCACTTGACGTATATATTTCAAGGATTGACTTTGTCATATTTTTTGCTTATTTGAATTCTAAAAAAATCTTGAAAATTCCTAGCACTATTATTGAATTTATTCAATATTAGATTAATATTTCTTGATATGTAAACATTTTTACTTCTTTCCATATAAATCGTTTTTGGTTGCTTTCAATTTTCTTTGCTTAGTTTTCCCGAAATTTATATCTTGAGTAAAGACAACAGCAAGTGAATTAAAAGTGGTCTAGTTCTATGTAAATTATTTGCATTGTTTAGTGGGTTAGACTTCGGAAAATCAACACCAAATCTGTCATCCAGCCTAGGTAAGTCAAATTATAATAAAACACAAAATTATAATTTATTGGAATGTTCTCCATATGAATAGTATAATATACTGCAGAAATTATAGTAGTATATGATGAAAAATAAAAAAAGTTGTTTTGATCTTGCCTTTTTATACCATAAACTGAAATATTAATTTTAAAAAGATTTATATATTAGAAAGCTTCTTTATAGTAAACTCTAAAAACTTCTTGTTTCTCAGGGTTTTTTTTTTATTTTCACCTAATATGTTGTTTTTCTATTTTGCTTTCAAAATTAAAGTTATAAACATTCATTAATACACTTCTATTTGTATAAATTGTGAATTGGTTCTTTGTCCATCGCATTAGACATTTAACCATTGACAAAGAGATTACACAAATGAAAATAAAGCACCATAATGTCAAATTGGAATACAATCAAAACAGCTAAATATTGTTTGTAGCTTATAGAAGTGGTACATGTGTTAGCTACAATGTGTCTAAGTCTTTATAATATATCTGAATGAACTACTAAGCCTAATTAAGTTAGTTCTTGCTATCAGTGCTAAAATAATAACTGTAGGTGCTAATAATAGAAAATTGCATAAGGCAAACCTCACGAGTAAATGTTACATCACAGTTAATGGTTTGTCAAGAGTGTAATCACATGTATGTCATTTAGAATCATTGTCATGAATTGCTCAATGAGAGATTATAATTATTCTGTTCTGTCTTGTTTTCTATAGAGCAACAGTATTAATACCGTACTTAATATGAGATTAAAAAAAATCTGTTTTACTACATAGGGCACATTTCCATGTTTAATTTATTAATCATTATATAATATATATTTAAGTAGTTAATTAGATTTCTGTGCCATGACCAACAAAAACATTTTCCTGGGATTTAAATCCGAGAGCTCTTGTGCCCATGCAAGTAGTTTTAAAACTGAACGATGAGGGTGGAGAAAGAGCATGTTTTAATATGAAGCTACAATTTTAATTTAGTTTTATAACAGGACTGTTTGAGTTTTCTTAGCCATTGGGTTTTTTATACATTGACTTACTCTGCGTTATCATTATGTTAACTTTACAGTTAATGTCATGAAGTGCAGAGATAGGTACATTTCCACAGGTCAGCCGATGTAATAAGCCTGCACAACATGTTTATACACCTAATTATAGTAACCTCAAACATAATTAAGTGTTGAACTTTGATTTTGTAAATAGAGTGATAGCTCGCTGGTAAGCGTTGAGAGATGGACAAATAACGATGTCCCTGCATGGCATGATGCCAAGTCTTTTAGCCCACTGTTCCAATTATGGATGGAGGGAAGTCGTGTGATTCACTTATTCATAAACTTTGCTTAAACCAAAACGTAGCTTCGTATGGTTCGACCTTCACTAAGTTCAGCAAATGGAACGCATTAAATAGTTGAAAAAAATTAACAAATATACATATATAGGTATATATGAATATTTGGCATGTGAAAATACAATACTAACTTTATTATTTTTTATGTTATTTCCAGTGTTTGAAGAATCTCGACATTAAATGGGTGGTAGGAAAATTGAAATTTAGGCCGAGGCCACAATTCACAATTCACACATGAAAAAGCTATGAAATGTAAATTAGCGTTTCACTCAGTCCGTGGATTTCTTAATGTCATAGCAAAAATAGGTCGGGTACCTATACCCGGGTTAATATAGATGTGTGATATTTCGTTTCCTACCGAGAAACATGTGGTTTTTTTTGTTTCCTACCTAGAAACATGTGTTTTTAGGTCTTCTGTTGACGAAGGTTGGCTTGTTGAAGGTGACCTAGACTAAGTTATTTTCGTGAGTTCGTGCAGCTAATTAATAGGACCTTTTCATAGCTATTGATTGTTAAATGGTGGTCTCGGCGAAATAGACTAAACGTGGAGTTTTATTTACAAGAAGCAAGAATACTTATGTTTTAATGTAAATTTAATTGTCACATCAAACGCATATGAGAGATTTGTTTTATATAAATCTATTTTTGAAATCTTTAATATTTTCCACGAGAAGATACTATATAATTTAAAAATCGAAAATAAATTTAATCAATAGCTAATAAAAAAACGCTATTTACAATGTTCGACTCGGGCAGGACCCGAATCGGCATCGTCAGAGCAACAGCACAGAACTGACATTGCCGGTTCAAGTCGTGCACGAGCCGAAAATTATTTCAATTTATTTTCGATTTAAAAAAAAATCTACTTTTACATCTCAGCTACTTAGAGTTTAGACATCGCTTTGGGTCCCACCTATGTCATCGATATTTTCTATCCTTTAAAATACATTTGCAATTTAGGACAATAATAAAATTATTTTCCATATGTTTTAGGTTTTGGTTTGTTAGAAGGTATTGTACTTTTTTACAACCACTGAAATACAGGCTCGATTCCTTTAATATTTTTTTTCCATTGACATTTAAATATAATAATAACTAATATTTACAAAACACTAAAATAATTGGTTCTAATTTATGGTCCTAAATTATGCTTTACATGTTTACAATATTACTTAAGAACGCCGCTGTGCGATTTGCATTTCAGTACGATAAATTGTATCGTAAGTATGTATTAGACCAACGAGAAGACCGTTTCTGTAGCCAAAAAAGGTGTGTTGCCTAGAATTGCGTTAAGCCCCCTAGCGCTTAACGCAATAGGTTCGAATTCAAAGAAAACGGATAGATTGTTCCGGTCGAGGAGGGCAGAGAAATCTTATCAACACTTTGTAAAAGAAACGATCAGTAAATCGGACACATCAAAGCTCTTGCCCCACAGGGAAAACTGGGAATTCACCTTTTAAAGAGGTACTGTCTGTAGTTAACGCGAGTAGTACACATTTAAATAAAACACTAACGGTTTAAAACGCGATATATATATATTAGTTAGTTATTTAGAGATTATTTTACCTACGGCCCGTTTCGGATGCTTTTCCGTAGCCGTGGTCACAGGGAGACTACAGGTGGAGTCCTCTAATCTAGTTTTATTTAAATTTCACTTTTTTAGAGTAAAACAAATTTGAAATGCCACTTTCCGTGGTATACAAGTGGTCGAGTGTTAAAGCAATTATTTTTTTTAACGACAAGACGCGATTGTTGTCAAGCAAAACAAATACGTTTTCCTCCTTTATCTTAACGATTTCCTGATGATGTCATAGAGAGGAAAAGTTCACGGAAACCTATTCCTCGTCGCGGTCCAATGCACCTTCATTTGTCTTCATTGTGTTCAGTCATGATTGCTGTCACTTACTACTGTCTACTAATGGTCAATGGTCTTGAACCTTGTATAAAAATTCAACTAGCTATAGTATGTTTTTGAATAAAAAACTTTTAACGCGATATAAATGAATTACGTAATTTATTTCTCATTTTAAACAATTAAAAGTGTTATATTTAAATGTGTACTACTCACGTAACACTACATACAATACTTCGTGTGGTTTTGAATCTTCTAATTAGCTGCAAAAGTTCTTAGTGTAACACTTTTTTCCTACCGCCCATGTTATATTCAGATTTCCAGACGAGTTCCAACATGTTTAAAAAAAAATTGATTTGATCTTATTGTCCTTAATGTTAGTTAGATGTTTAATATAACAACTCTATTCGTTTCTTGAATTTAAAAACTAAATGTTTCATAACTAAGACTATCTTAAGAGATAGAAGAGAAGACAATTTTACCGTGTGCCAAATAGCATTTTGTTGCACAATATATGTAACCTGTTCTCGAATAATGTGTCACGTGTTGAGTCATATTTAGAGATTTCCAAATCATTCCTGGAAATCTTGACGTCATAAACCACGTGGGGGGTGATTCTCAAAAAGTGATATTCAAATTCAAAATTGTTTATGGGCATTATAACATATTCATAGTAAACTTGTCACTAAATTGCGTAAATCAATAAAATATAAAAGATTTTCTTTTAATATGTTTTCTATATTTTTAAGTTAAATTTTTCGTCACTATATTATAGTATATCTTTTTCTTTCTACGTATTGTTTAGAGTACGTACGTAGTTACTTAGATTTTAATTGGTATATCTAAATGGGAAGAGGCTAGCTAGGAGTCCATGATACAGGGAATCCTAGTGTAGGGGCTAGTACACCCTATAACAAAATGTAAATAAAGAACTTGTATTTGTAAAAAAAAAAATAAAAAATTGCAATCCGTACTAGTCTCAGCTGTGCTGCTGAATGCTTGTCTCACTTAGCAGCTCTGGTTTTCTGACTGGCACAGTAGGAGAAGGGTGAAGTTTAAATGAATTTACATAATTACGTCCGAAATAGATTGTTAAACCATAACATACATAATCAAAA